AGTGCTGCAACAGGTTTACTGTGTGCACCTAGTGCCATTGTACAGTATATAGTAAACCGAAGACATTTATGTAGATTTTTATTTATGCATGGTTTCAATCTTATTCTATTTTAACTTGTTTGTACCGAGAGCCAAAGCAATCTCCTATAGTTTGTGACTTCCTGTTACTCACATGGCAATAAAAAGGATTCTGATTCAATTCACTCACAGTGCCATGTTGACGTAAAGGTGCACTTTTGCTTATCCCTGTAGGGAAATTCATTCTCTGCATTTGAGGAACAGTGATTGCTGTGGTGGAGCACCCAGAGACCCATCTCCATCTGCTTTACAAGCAATAGATTTATGTTTCTTTCATTTTCATGTAACAAAAAAAACATAACATTACATTGAAACTCCGTGACAGCAGCATATATAATAACTAGGTCAGTTAAAGGAGCTATACCTGTTTCTGCAAGGTTTGAATGTTTAACACCAACCCCCGGCTCGCTCACAGGCTTCTCATTTCCCCGACGCTCTCCTCCCACGGAGCCATCTAGTTACATTTGTGATCTGATACGTATGCTAACATTAGCATTAGCGCAACTGCTTGTAAGCTGTACAACAATCACTGTTGAAATGGTACAAAAGCAACGCACTGATAACACAATATATAAGTAAAATAAAATTGTTAGTTTTGCATCCAAATGTATTAATTTGAACATTGGAATATATTTGAAGATTTAATCATAATTAAGTATATCCTGCTTCTCACAGCAGCAGTAGAACCCTTCATTGACTTGAATATAATTTCAAAACGTTCTACCGATAATTTTTTCTTGATAATAGAACTCTCAAACCAATAATGACCGCTGCCCTTTGGCAACGCAATCTCTGTTTGTAATTCAGGTGTGTAAAATACTAACATTACTTCACAAATACAACGAGCTTTCAGCGCCTGTCACTAGTTAATGTTTGTGCAGAGGAGCTAGTAGAGCTAGCCACGCTCAATAAACAAATACCAATCAATCAACACCTTTAAATGTTAATCGGAGACTACATTATACATATACATTCTTAACACACATGCTCGGAAGTTTTCAGACTTTGTTGTTAACGTTTTCATGACAAAAATACTGTTTTAATGTGACAAAAAGCGATCGCGAAAAACCCGGAAGTTACCATTAACATGAAACGAACATTTTAGGACACATTTGAAGAGGATCTGATGGATTTCGGTTCGGTTTATAAATGTGTGACTCACCGCTGATGTTCAGAATTCTTTGTTTTTGAGCTACTGTAGCTAGCTTAGCTGTTACCTGCCTAGCACGTCCCGGCAAAACCTTTGGGAGCTAACTATTTTATTTGCAGTCATTAAATAAATTTCAAATTATAAGGGCTGTCTAATATTTGTTCGAATATATGTATATTTTAATTTTAGAATTATATTTGAATTTCGAAGTCAAAGTCCTGGTGTTTAGCAGCGCTGTAGAGACTAGAGGACACAGACTGTTCACTGTTAAGCAGCGCTGTAGAGACTAGAGGACACAGACTGTTCACTGTTAAGCAGCGCTGTAGAGACTAGAGGACACAGGCTGTTCACTGTTAAGCAGCGCTGTAGAGACTAGAGGACACAGGCTGTTCACTGTTAAGCAGCGCTGTAGAGACTAGAGGACACAGGCTGTTCACTGTTAAGCAGCGCTGTAGAGACTAGAGGACACAGGCTGTTCACTGTTAGCGCTGTAGAGACTAGAGGACGCAGGCTGTTCACTGTTAAGCAGCGCTGTAGAGACTAGAGGACACAGACTGTTCACTGCTCGTTCTGTGAGTGGAGGAGAACGAGCGTCCCGCTAAGTCTCTACCATGGATCTATGATAATAACTGGATAGGGTATTACTGGCTTACAGCTGTCCCACCCACGGCCACAAGGGGCGCCCGTGGTGCTGCAGACTAAATTCACGCGGGCAACCCAGAAAAAAGTCCCCTAGAACTCAATGTAAACTAAAACAGCTTGACCTCAGCTGACAGAGAACCTACAGCTTTCATAAATATCAGATTTTGTGGGGATTTTAAATTGTAAATAAATCACAATTTCTTAAATCACAAGCCAGAGCCTAAATACGATATGATGCAAAGAAGTAACATTGTTCAGTTTTTGGTTTTCTATTCCCTGCTAGACTTTGAGGATTCTCCATTCACACTGTATGATGCATTGTTTTAAATTCTCAATCACTATGGCAACTGACCTAATTTCACATCATCTGATAGCTGCTACATTAAAGTCCTAGAATGATCACATAATGTTCCTTTATCCTACCCTCTGGCTGTTGTGGAAGCGTGTACCATTCTCTTTTTCACAAGAGTCTGTCTTGTGATAATTGACACCTTGATTAGGTCTTTTGCAGCTCGGGGCACTAGTTCAAAACAGATCCAATGAATTGAGCACCGATGCAACTGTTGACTGTGTAAAATATTCCAATGTCCTGACTTAGAGCTAACTCAAAGTCCGAATTTACGCGTATACAAAAAAAGTCATGAAGCATACCAGGCTGTTTAGATTGCAGAAACTGATGTACTGATAATGTCCATTGTCTGACAAAGATCAGTTAAGGCGTGGCAGATGTGCAGCATCATGGCTGGCCTTAGGGCTTAAAGAATACAATCCAATTTGCCTCAACAAATGTAATAGTATTAGGGCTGGGTTAAAAAAAAAAAACAGACAAGTGGCCAGGGAGGAGTCTTTTAAAAGGGAAAGTCAGGCAATTTGGACACTGGGCAGTTGGTGTACAGAAGACAGAGATCTGAAGACTTTGTGAAATATCTGCCTAAGAATTTCCAAATAATAGATCTGAAACAAAAGAGCCCGGGCCTCAACCATGAGGATGTTCAGACGAAACTTTCGACTCCAAGACGTCACAGTCATGTACTTCACTGCGTTAGCCACTCTGATGATCATCCTTGTAGCGTCTTATCAGGCACCCAGTTCTGCAGTGGATGTCTCCAACCTGCGCTCCGACAGGGTCTTGCCGCCTCTGCCCATGCCCTTCCGGGTACTGCTAGACCCCAGCGGAGAGCTACAGCTGGCCTGGAACATCAGCTATGCAAGACAGGAGGTGTACATGCAGCTAAGAGTGGCCAAGATTCGCCACGGGATCGTATTGGGAATGTCAGATAGAGGAGAACTGATCAACGCAGACCTGGTGGTGCTGTGGGACAACGGGGAAAGGAGCTATTTTGGGGTGAGTATAGATGACTCCCATTCCATTACGATAACTGGTCAAGCTTTTGTTTGTCCCAACAGAAAGAGTCTTGCGAAAGACAAATGTTGTGAACAAATCAAACCACACCATGCTATCTTTTTAGAAAATGTTTTATATTTTGCATACAAGAGCCCTGCAAGTCACTATTTGACTGTTTGGGCTGAATGAGGGTGAGTATCTCGTGCTCACCTTTCTGTCCGAAAAAGCTGATCTGAAGATGTGATAGAAGTATTGTTTCTCATACCTTGTTTTGTGGATTGAAAGTTTGGTACTCCAGCTTAAAAAATATATATAGATAAACAACAAGCAGAGTTTAAACTCATACAAAAAACAACTGTTTGAAAATAAAACAATGAAGGAAGAGCCTGCCTTTTAGATTACCAACTTGTTGTTTTGTATTGGTTTTTATTTTAAATTATAAATAAAAATCAGCATTAACGTGAGTATTTGTACCGTGTTTCACATCAAATTAGGAATGGCCAAAATAACAACTATTAGTAATATCCGTGTAGTATTTGGCCTTGAAATGCGATGCGGTGTCTGTTCATGGCACATATTGCAGAAGGAGTGGACTGACGGAGTGCTGACGTCACCCATAGTTTTCCCTTTACGGAAAAAGCTGATTAGAGCTAACTCAAACAGGCTCCATTAGTGGGACTCTGGAGCCAAATGTGAGGGTAGTTTGGTGTGGGAGCCAAACTGACAAAGCAAACAAAAAGCCAATCAGGAGCAGCGCTGGGCTGTTCCAAAGTCAAAGTGTAATTAGAGGACAGAAGGCACCTGATTGGTTACTTAGGGTCATAATGTTGATTTACGAACACAATATGCATACCAAGGATTTCATTATACTGACTTAAAATACATATACTAAAAATATGCTCAATAGGTATAATCCTCCAGCTGCCGTAGTCCTGACCAAACTGAGCATGAATATCTTTAATTTTTGTCTTCTTATTTTTTTAAAGCGTCAATATCTGTCGTCAATATCTGGCGGTGGGTTCTTGGGCGCTGTACTAAGGCGACCACTGCTCCTGACGTAAGCATTAATGGCATCAGGATGGGTCAAATGCAGAGGACAAATTTCTCTACGGGGACAATAAAGTGCACTTATACTTACATATGCAAAGTCTTTTAGATATTTGTCTCAGTGGTTGGGTTCAAACCGTTAAGTTGGTTTGAATGTGACTGCAACGCTTGTCATCACTTTTTAATCTAAGACACTTTTCAGTTGTAGTTACAAAAACAAACAAACGTGTTGCACTTTAATTTAGTACGATTTCAAGTAAAATGTTCATGTTTTAGTGCTCTCAAATCAAATTCCATAAACAATATATTTTACTTCTTCAAATTTATCCCAAAAAATGAAAGCTTTATATATCAAATAATGTAAACTATTCTACTTAATTAAACTTCTATTCAAATTATTCCAATTCTTCAAATGTAATTTATTTTCCAAATCTTAACTTCAGGTTCTCAGGTCACACACAACTGAGCTGCGTACGACCTCATGTAATCAGGTTGGGCAAATCCAACCTGATCAGACAATAAAGGTACAAGAATTATTCTTTCTTTTATTTTTAAGAATTTATTTCCGAGTGGAGAAAACCAAAAGGGAACTGAGTGTTGAGGTCCATGTTTGCAACTGCTGATGCATGAGATCGTTTTGCTCTAAGTGACAGGCAGCTTGTTTATGATGACTTAGTCACAAGGGATTATTCTATCAGTCGTTGCTAATGAGAGAGCATTTAACAGCAGCAGCTCAGGTTCACTGGGGATTCATCAGTCGAGATTAGCATGTTCATACTACAAACAAACTAACAAATCACTTGTCACACCTTGATATTGCCACAAATACAAAATACCTCCCCATTAATTACAGTAATTCTCATGACTCTCAATCGAAGTTGCAGACATCACCCTTAGAGAAAACCTTTTTATGAAGCTGTACGTGTGTCCTTGTATCCTTCCTGCTCTGTCAGGATGGATGGAGTGATGCTGAAGGCCACGTGTCGCTGGACTGTCAACAGGACTATGAGCTGCTCCGAGCCGAGCAGAGAGAAGACAGCTTCTACCTGCTCTTCAGACGGTCCTTTGCCACATGTGATCCCAGGGACTTCCTCATCCAGGTGGGGACGCTTTATGTTCTATTTTCACTCTTTGCAGGTTTATTCTTCAGTTTTGTCATGATGTAGATCAAAGGATATTTCAAGTCAATCTGAGACCTGTTGCCATAGGCCTCCCTTGGTAAGGTAACTTAAAGCATCTGAGAGATTGTAGGTATACCTCATTCCAAAATGGTTGTAATTTAGGACACAACCGGAAGTTTGGAATGAGGTATTCCACCCGGTCTCCGGCTTACATTCTGTACATTAAGGTTAATTGTGGGCAACCCTATCAGGAGTTTAAAAATATCCTGTAAGTGAATGAGAAATATGTCTAAATTCGTGACTTGTTTGTACCGTAACGAGTTTGTGGTTTTGTGTAGTTCCTCTTCCACAATTGTAAAGAGTTTTGTGACTCTGGTCTGTGAAAGGCGCTGTATGAATTAAGATTACTCACTTGTTTCCTTACTTCCCAAATCAGAAATATCTTGTGCTGCTTATCCTTCCCATTACAGAGAGGGTTGGGTCACTATTTCAATACCTCCCTTTCCCTTTTTGCCCCTATCTTTATAAAAGGACCGTAACAGACAGGCCGTGCAGATATCCTAAAAACTTTAATTTTGAGTAAATTTACTTCCTGTCTATGCTATCGCTATGGCATTGTGGTGAGTTGTAGTGAATTTTTTTTGTAATTAGATTGATACATTCAGCTGAGACTGACCCAAAAGTGTCGACATGCTTTCTCTCTGAGGTCGAGCTTTGACTGTGGCCACTCAGAGAGATTAGTTAACTTTATAAAATCACAATAACAGCACAATCAAAGAGCACTGCTGTGTCCCAAAAATGCCCAGTATCCTCACAGTTTAATTCCTGTTTGAGCATTATTTAGGAAACTCTTGTAAACATCTGCTGAACTCCAGTGAAACTCAAGCCGATCCCCGCACACAGGAAGTGAAGTGGGGTTATAACTAAAACACTGAAGTGGTGCGTGCATAGAGCCCATTCACAGAGCATCAAGAATAAGAAAAGAGAATTACATAAACACACACCAAAATAAAAAGTACAGCTACAAATAGATATTTGCAGAGAGAAAAAGTAAATTAAATGCAATTTAAATTTGTATTATTAGTAAATAGTTGCCATCAAACAAAGAGAGGGACACGTCATGGCCAGCTATCAAATTCCCTCATGAGTAATTTGATGCCACTTTGCTCTTACACTTTTAATAAAAGTCACACTCTTAGGGAAAGTCACAGACTTCTCTATATTGTTTACACCCAGAACAGTGACGATATTTAACAGACAGATCCTTAACCCTTTAAGCGCCAGAGGTTTTTTTCCAAAACGCTCAATTTTGACATCTTAATTTCAAAAGGCTATAACTTAAAAGTGATAAGAGATAAAGGCTTTCTGTAAATTAGAAAAATATAAAGGATGGTCCAAAGTGTATGTAGAGAATAAATCCCCCCATCTAATTTGCATATTATGACGTCATTTGGCGTTAGAAATAGTGGATTTTAGAATTTTCATACAATATTTGTATTTTTCTAACTGACAGACATATATTTATCACTAGAACATGAACACACACAGAGCACACACTAACATTGTAAATGTTCATGAAAATAGTAAAAAAATATAAAGCATGATGCTGCTGTGAGCAGTCTGCCCAGACGCGCGCGTCACTGCGACCCTGCTGCTGCAGCTGTCTCCCCCACTCTCTCTCTGTCATCTCCCCTGCCCTCTCTCTCGTCTAACACACACAAGACAAGGCTTCTACAACACATTACTGTCCCGGTGATTACGTGAGACTTGAAAATAAATATGTGGGAAGCACTTTTAGCGGAGACTTTGGCGGAAACTTCAGCGGAGGCTGGAGGTCGCGGCGCGGCGCCCCGACCCGAGTTCCAGGCTTGTTTTCCGCAAATCTAACCTGTCTCCAAACCTCCCAATGACTTTGCCTTACTCTGAGAAACACTGTTCCCACTGCAGACCCTGTGCAAAGTGTCTAAAGTTAGTGTTTGGTGCGGTATAACACTCGCAGGCTGCCCCGCAGCTGCATTCGCTTCGCGAGTCCTGAGGCCCAGAGAGAGAAACTTTTATCAAAACTCCAATCACACTCTTTTAATCCATCATCACAAGTGAGAAACCTGGGCGTAATCTTTGACTCTGAGCTGACTTTTATTCCTCACATCAAGAACATCACAAAAATAGGTTTTTATCATCTAAAGAACATCGCCAGAGTCCGCCCCATTCTCTCTCGGGGCAACACGGAGACGCTGATGCTTTTATCACCAGTCGCATTGATTACTGTAATGCCCTGCTCTCTGGTCTTCCCAAAAAGAACATTTCAGGTTTACAATTACTCCAAAACTCGGCCGCACGTGTCCTGACTAAGACCAGGGGGCGTGTCCTGACTAAGACCAGGGGGCGTGTCCTGACTAAGACCAGGGGGCGTGTCCTGACTAAGACCAGGGGGCGTGTCCTGACTAAGACCAGGGGGTGGGGCCTGACTAAGACCAGGGGGCGTGTCCTGACTAAGACCAGGGGGCGTGTCCTGACTAAGACCAGGGGGCGTGTCCTGACTAAGACCAGGGGGCGTGTCCTGACTAAGACCAGGGGGCGGGACCACATCACACCGCTTTTAAAATCGCTGCATTGGCTCCCCGTGTGTTTCAGGATCGATTTTAAGGTTTAATGGTTTTTAAATGTCTTAATGGTCTTGGGCCTTCTTATCTTTCAGAGCTGCTTTTATGAACCTTCCCGGCCCCTGCGCTCCTCCGGCAGCAGACTCCTAACCAGTGAAGCATCTTTCCAGAACTACGGCCCCCGTCTCTGGAACAGTCTGCCGGAGGAGCTCAGGGCCGCAGAGAACGTTCATATTTTTAAAAGTAGGCTCAAGACGCACCTTTTTAGATTAACTTTTGATTACTTTGTATTATTCCATTTCATATATTCTATTTATCTTCTATTATTTATTATATTGCTATTGCTTTTATTCATGTATTGTGTGATAGTTCCTTTTAGTCTCACATTTTAGTGTTTTACTTATTGTATTGTTTTTAGTGTACCCAGTGTTTCCTCTGGAGGAGCCCTCTGCACTGGGAGCCCTGTGCGTGCGCGTGTGTGTGTCTTGGGCCGGCGGGATTGTTTTTAACAAAACTGTAAAGCACTTTGTGTTGCATCTTTTGTATGAAAAGCGCTTTATAAATAAAATGTTATTGATTGATTGATTGATAATGTGCAATAGCCCGGCTGGTTGGATGTTGATATGCTGCATGATGTGGTGGACAAATGGCTGTGAAACATGTTAAAGTGAATCTTGTGCACTTCAGAGGATAATTCACCACACACTCCACTGATTATATGACTGATTTCTAAAGGGAGCATCTTTCAGTGGACAAAAAAATAAGAGCACATCACCATGACAACAACATGAAAAGTTGTCAATGAGACCTTCAAAAGCAGCAATCCTAATCGTGTATTTTTATTAGGATGGAACTGTGCACTTTATCTATGGACTCCTGGACAAACCACTGGCCTCGCTGGAGATGTTGAACTTGTCCCTTATACAGACCGGACTACAGAGGGTGGTCCTGCTGCGGCCAGACACCCAGCCCCCTACCCTACCCCCCGACATCAGAACTCTGGAAGTTCGCTCTCCAAACGTGGTCATTCCCAGTCAAGAGACCACCTACTGGTGCTTCATACAGAAGCTGCCCAAAAACATGCCAAAGAACCACATTTTGATGGTAAGAGGAGCCGCATGTTCTAAATGTATATCGCCTGCATAATCATGACATAAGCAGTGATGGGGAAAAGTTGTATTCAGAAAACATAACTCACATAACTTTTTTTAATGTTGGTGTTATTCCAAATACAGTCAGAGTATTAGAGTAATCCCATTTTGGTTGGTTCACATGTGAGGAAGGATGTAGAGCGAGATCAGTGCAGCTGTTGCTTCACCGGATAATGCTTATATTTACAAAAGATTTTTACATAATTGGATCAAGAAATTTGTCACAAAGTTCTGTTAATACAATCTCCTTTCTTTAGGTTGTAAAAATAAAACAAACGTGTAAAAGTTTGGTGCATCAGTAGAATCAGCATTCTTCATTACAGCATTCTAAACATTCCCCCCTGTTTTGCGTGTGTCAGTACGAGCCTGTGATCACAACGGGGAATGAAGCCATCGTGCACCATATGGAGGTGTTTGAGTGTGATCCGGAAGTCCACGAGGTTCCGGATTACAGTGGCTCCTGTGACGACAAAATGAAGCCCCGAACACTCAACTCCTGCCGACACGTGCTGGCGGCATGGGCCATGGGAGCAGAGGTGAGCTTTTCTTTTTCTTATCTAACACAATAAGAATTTCACACACAAAATTATTGTTTCAATCCTAAATTGCATTACACTGTAAATCTACTTATAGATGTAATGAAAATGTTTGTGAACACATTTTCAATTAATCATGATATTGTAATTTGACTTTCTACCTTTTCTGACTATTATTTACAATAACACAGTCTTCCTTAGATTAGATTCCATGATTAAGTTTGTCCATTAGAGGATCCTTATTTTGCCCATTATCATCAAGAATATGTTTTCTCTAACTTTTGGGATCAACCAATCACAGCGTCTGAAATGATGACTCATACCTAGCAACGGGGTCGGCCACGCCTCCTCACTAAGATAACAGTTGTCAATTCCTTGCTCAGAGTTCTCTAAAGCTCACCGCACACCGAAACGCAGCGCCTCGCGGCGCGTCATTTGACGCGCGTTCATGACATGTGTCAAATTACACCGGAACGCCTTGGCTAGCGTCCTTTTCCAGCTGATCGCAGATGAAATGGGTGAGTGACGTTTGGAAGTTTCTACTAATATTTTGGGGGAGGAAACAAAGTATTTACGTGAAATTATGCTGGCAAATATTACAAGAAAAGACTATTTGGACCCATTTTTTAAACAGGCTAATAACTAGCTCTGGGTAACGCTGTACTTGGGTTATCAAGCTTTCCTCGTCCATTGTGACCGGTTTACTTGAGCAATAGCGCCGACAAGTGTGTAAATTTGAGACCGCGCTCACAGCTACGTGATAAGAAGCGCAGAAGAAGAAAACTACGGGTGCTTGGAGGGACAGTTTCAGCCGCGGCGCCGCGTCTGGATTCAACAAAACTGAATCGTGGCGCCCGGTCCAGCGTCGCCGCGCGTCACTGCAACCTTGGTGTGCGTTCTCTCATAGAAAATAAAGGAGGCGGCTCTTTTGCCGCGCGTCAAGGCGTTTCGGTGTGCGTTGGGCTTAAGAGTTTTCTGGAATAACTTTTAAGCAAAGACTCTGATCAAGGACTTTTTAGGTTAAGTTAGGAGCTCTCTGGGAGGACTCTAGAATCTTTAGGCATACGGCCCCAGGTCTATTAGAGCTCAGACTTTGAATGTGGGACGCATTCAAGCAAATCCATACAGAATTATATAAATGCCTCATAAACAGTAAAACCCGAAGACACGGCGTGGAACTACCGATATGACGGAATTATCTGGCAGAGGAGTGATGACCGGACCAGGGTTGAATACAGAGTTGAGTGGATGCAGTTGTGTCTCGTTAGCAGCCCAGCAAAGACCGGCCACGCCCCCAGCAGAGACCGGCCACGCCCCCAGCAGAGACCAGCCACGCCCCCCAGCAGAGACCGGCCACGCCCCCTGTCTCACACATGCTCTGGGAAGAGAGCACAACAAACAGAATCATGACATGGGTTTTCCACTTGAGGACAAGCACAAAATAAGATAAAACAAATCCAAAACAATGTTCTTATGACAGGACTGTGTTGAGATGCCCATCTTTGTAAGAATTGTAAACCATATAGAAAGTATAGTTTTTCGATTTATTTATGAAGTGGCCACAACCACTTTTAGGAAATTACTGAATCTTTAAAATTATTGTGTGTTTAAGTTTAATGTCCAAGTCTATACTTTGAGTTTGAACATATATGTGTATTTACCAGGACATAAATAATCCGTTAAAGCTTTGAGACCTCCAAAAAACAAATTGTGTAATAGAATCATTTGATGGATTTTTATTTCACATACTTGCATTTTGCATCCACAGAAACATGAAGTCTTAGAAGACCCCTCACAGAGCTCAAAGCATCAAATATTGACTCACAGAAATCTTTTTTACAAATTTGCCAATGATCAAATGTTTTCTGATTAAATTAAGACAGTTAGGTTGGATTTGTCCGCACCATTTTGCTTTTTGAAGAGTCTTTCTCTTGGCACAAACAAAATGAAAAGAAACACTAATGATTTTAAAGGCATATATTCTAAACGTTTTTGAAAATAAAGTAATGTTATATAGGCCAACAATAATCTGAAATCAATATAATTTGTGCACTTTACTTGGGAAGCATTTGAAGGTTGCATAGAAAAACATACCTAATGATAATAACCTTCATAAGCCCACATTATGTAAAGCCTGGCAGGACTAGTGTCCTGGTGGTTTGCGGGTACGTACTGTCCATGTCTGTACTTCTGCTGACATAACCACATAAAGCAAAGGCGGCAGGGGAACAGTGCTGTCACTGTATTTCTTCATCACACTCCCTACTGTAGCACAGAGAGACCTCTCTCTCACTGGATTATCTACCAGACAAACAAGAAAACAAGTGGGAAGCCTTCTGCACGCAGCAAAGACAAGATCAGGGGGGAATATTGGGTCCTGTCACATTGCCTCATAATAGTGCGGTTCCATAGAACAGTATCATTCAGCATAAACACAGGACAAGGACAATCATATTTCATATCAACAAAGCAGAGAACTGTCAGTATGTGAAAGATTTGGACATTTATCATGAAGGACCAGCTCTATACCTTGACAATAAATTTACTTTTTTGAGCGTTTAACCATGTTCAAAAATTGTTGACAGTACATGATTAGATTAAAAACATGAACTGTGTGGTCTATGGAGGAGAGTAAAGGAGAGTACTGGCCATGAGAAATGATGTAGAGCAAATCCATTCTAGTTTAGGTGCAGTCTCATGTCAATACGTCCATCTTACGTGCGTACAGTACTACTAGTGTAAATATCACAATAGGTTAAAATAGAAAAAATATTGCGCGCTGATGCTGCACAACCACGCGCTGTGCTGTGACGCCTACAGTGTAAATTCCCAGAGAGTGGAGATTGCATGTTCTTCCTGTGTCCTACCATTAAAAACACTTACATCAGGCAAAATCTTCTAGCTCCGGCTCGGCTTGGCTGCGCCTCAATACCCGGTCGCATGTACTACAGCAGCTATTGTTCCTTACAGAGGCCCTAGCGGTAACAAAAACCTGAACAATCTGTGATCTTGATCCCACCTCCCGTCCTGCTTCCTCCGTCCTCCTCACACCTGTAGCCCACCCTCTTCCCACCTCCAGGACATGCCCCGCCCAAGCTCAGCTGCCTCTTCTTCTGTTTTCAAACACATGAAATAAATGCTTTATCGAGTTTGGAACTTCCATTTCCTCAAATCTCCAGATCAACCCTTTAAAGGTACTCTGTGAAAGTTCTACAGTTGCTCAAAATGATATGACCTTTTTAAGTAAATTAACCTCCACCATGTTTTTGAATTGTTGTCATAGACTTTGACCTATAAATGTACATGCATTAGGACTCACTCTCCATGAATGCTCCATCTTAAAATACATAGGTTGATAAGGGACAAAAGGATGCGAGAATCACGTTTTCGTTTCACAGGTGCTATACTAATACTGTTGCTTCCAATGAGCCCTCACAAGTTTGAAAACGGGATCATAGAGTACCACAGTTATGTAAAAGTGTATGTAAAAAATCTAGAAACCGTCGTCATAACAGCAACACAGATATGTAGGTATTCACCCTATCACTGACCATAAACGCATATAATTAACTCTGACTACTCTGTACCCGTGTTCTTGTTCCCACAGCCATTCTACTACCCTCCGGATGCAGGCATGCCCATCGGAGGCTCTGAAGGCTCCAAGTTTCTCCGTCTTGAAGTCCACTATCACAATCCTCTAATCATCACTGGTATAATCATACACCAGCAGCTTAATTCAAGTGAACTCATCACAGAACACATGGCATGGGGCTCCAGACTCCTGAGATGCCTCGGGCAAAGAAAATCATACGTTTATTTCATCTTAAATTGCTTTAATGCCATCCAATTAAGTTTTCCTATCCTGAATTGACCCCAACATAAAAATCCTGATAGTCTTTCATACGTTACTTTCATAAGTTTCGGTGTTCTAGTTCTGTAAAAGCCTCAAAAATGGTTTTGGATGAGGTCATGTCATTTAGTCTGCATGAACACACAGACAAGCAAACAACAGATGGACGGAACCAACTGCATGAAGACTCCACTACAAGCCGTTATATTGTGTGTGTATTTAATAGCTGTTATTATTTGTCACAATCATAGACTTTTAAAGGCATATATTCTAAAAGTTTTTGAAAATAAAGTAATGTTATATAGGCCAACAATAATCTGAAATCAATATAATTTGTGCACTTTACTTGGGAAGCATTTGAAGGTTGCATAGAAAAACATACCTAATGATAATAACCTTCATAAGCCCCCATAGATTGGGCAAGACACTTAACCCCACTTTGCCCAAAGCCCCCACTGAAAGATCAAGGCTATGCTCACAGTCAGAGAGCAGCCGTCCTCCTGTGGACTCACCACCTGCAGAGGGTCAGTGAGGGGCTGGTGCATCTCTGACTGCCACCCCCCTGACCCAGAAATGGATTAAAGGGTAGAAAATGGATGGATGGAAAATTAATGGACGTAGTCACGCCTATCTCCGCCGTTCTAACTAATGGGCCAAAAAATATGCTCTGCTGGAGCCATCCAAAATGGCCGCGAGTGGTCCCGCCCACAAGAAAATAGTGAAAAAACGCATCCAAAGGATGGTGCACAGCGGTGCACCCCAAAAAAGCCACAGAAAAGTGGACTATTGCTAAAACTATCACTGAGTCCGCACCAGGAGCCAGCGGCAAAGTCCAGTTATGGTCAAAGCGCTCGGACTAAACAGAACGACACTCTGTAGATGTAACCACACAAACACACACAAACGTGCGCATAAACGCACATACATACGCGCCCAAACACACAAAGACACACAACAGTATTCCATTGCACTTATAATATAACTGTTCACTTTGATTTATTGTCATTTATAGTGTTTATCATTGTAAAAAAAAATGTATCTCTGATTTACTCTTATTGACATAAACATAGCGCCCCCTAATGGATGAATACTGTCCATTCTTTCTGAGATAGTTTGTCATGGGTTCTACTTTCAATATGTACATTTTGACGTTTTATGGATGGGTGCATTTTGAAATATTCAACACTTTGTGGATGTGGGGGTGTGTGCCATAAAACTTATTATTTTGCATCAAAAACACTTTCTCATAATTTGTTGTTGCTGTTTTCTAACATGTAAGATCCTGGACATGTTTGAGGAGACGCTAAAGTTAAACTAAACTATTTTTCATAATCATCGCACACAATATTCTGTGAGTCATCAAAAATGGCTGGCAGTCAATGAGAACCGTTTTTTCAAGGGAGTCCTGTACAAAAATTACACACAATTAGATTATAAAATAGTTACATACAGATTATAAAACAGTTACATTTCACTGAAGATGTCTCAAGTGCTCTCAATCTGGATCTGAAAGCATTCAATGAAATAGATCATTTTCAGTCTTTTTGCAACACGTTCCATGTAGAAGGAGCAGCAAATACAAAAGCTTCTTTAGGAAAGAAAACCTTGTTTTTGATGAATACTTAGACTTATGACGTTACTGTGTGGTGTTGGTCGTTTGTGGTGGTACTTGGAGAGACAAGTATTTTCAGAGGTGCTACTTAAAACGTTTGAGAACCACTGATCTACAATACAAGCCGTTATGTTTAAAGAGCATCCACTGTATATCTGATTAGAAAGAAAACTAACTGAGGAATTATGGCTGAACAATAACAATAATGACACCTGCAACTTAGCAGTAGTTTTTTTTTTGTTTTGGCAGAGGGAGAGTACTGGCCAGAGAAATTATGTAGAGCAGTATTTTTTTGGCAGATGGTAACAAGCTGTTAGAATCTGGTGCAGAACATATTTGCCTCTGATCTTAATGTACTGTCCCTCTCAAATAAAGCCAAAACAATTATCAAAAATCTTCCCCTGCATCTGCACATTAAGATTCCTTTGGTATGCAGTACTAACTTCCAAAGAAAATTGAGCATGTATGTATTTGTACTGCCAATGGGGGATGATATCAAAACACGTCACACACTAGTCCTGAAGTCTAGGGTGTGAATTTCACCCCGGAGCATTCAGGAACACAACCTAACACAATGGCCAAGAACCTATGACTTTGTTGTCATTCATGGCTCTGAAATGTGAAAAGTCTTTGCCCATGCTGAATGTTGGATGATCTGTTCTGAATGCTTTTGATTTTGCAATTTACTTTTGATCTCATTTGTGTCTACAGTCGTCCAGGATCAATAGTTTTGTAGATATCTTGTGCAACGGTCCATTAGAGAAAGCTTCCAAATGGTTCCTCCTATAGGGCGGCACGGTGGCTGAGTGGATAGCACTCTCGCCTCTCAGCAAGAAGGTCCTGGATTCGAATCCCGGCCGGACCAGGGCCTTTCTGAGTGGAGTTTGCATGTTCTCCCCGTGCCTGCGTAGGTTTCCTCCGGGTACTCCGGTTTCCCCTACCTCTAAAAATATGTACAATAGCTCTGGCATGCGCCTCCTGTTCGGCGACCCCGCTCCCATCTCTGTGTGGAGTGAGAGGACAAGTGCCCAAAAAAATAACAATTGTAAACCGCTTTGTGACTCTGGTCTGTGAAAGGCGGTATATAAATAAAGCTTGCTTACTTACTTACTTACTTACTCCTATAAACAACTGTGATGAAAAGTAAAGGCGCCATGCTGACCCCTCTTGCAACCACTGGTTCACAACAAAAATGCAAACATATAAACATGTTTTTCACAATAAATAAACCTTTAATTACTGTTTTCCAATACCATTAGTTCTTATTTTTCGGACAGTTTTTTACTTTTACTTACTGTACCTTACTGACCAAATATCTGCCGTTTCTATTCTAGCTGCATACTTCTGAAATGCTGTGTTAAATCCAGACCAGTATTAATACTTTACTTCAAATTCAAGATTGATTGATTGAATTCTCTAGGTCGTCTAGACTCCTCAGGGATAAGGCTACACTACACTCCCAGTCTGAGGAAGTACGATGCGGGTATCATGGAGCTGGGTTTGGTTTACACCCCCATCATGGCTATCCCTCCGAGACAGCAAGCCTTCGACCTGAGTGGTTACTGCAACTCCAAATGCACCGCAACTGTGAGCTCCCAGTGATAATGTTTTCTCTGGCTGTAGTGGGCATGGTTGGAGTGTGTGGTTGTGTCTTTTTGTGCCCAGGCTTTGCCCAAAGAAGGGATCTATGTGTTTGCCTCTCAGCTGCACACGCACCTCGCTGGACGTGCAGTCAGGACAACCTTGATTCGAGAAGGCAAGGAAGTCGAGGTTCTCTCGCAGGATCCACACTTCAGCGCACATTATCAGGTAACTACTGTGATCAGAAGCAGTATGAGTTGAAAGATACAATGTTATAAAATAAAGCAGTCCAAGGGTACACATCTTTAGCATTATTAAATAAGTGACTAATAGTTTCAATGCATCTGTGTGCAATCAAATCTACTGTACCTGGTAGACCTGACTCCTGACATTATTGTTTGCATCTGTAGAGAATTGTGAAGCACTGTAAGCAGAAAACCTGTTTATACATGTGCTATATAGATCAATCTGGCTTTTCTGGGGAGGGACAGCTGCATTTGTGAGGTCTGTAAGCAGTAGTGACAACTTTTTAACGGATAATCAGTAACTACGGGAAAATAAATAAATAGAATATTTAAATAAATATAAATGCAGACACAACATTAGACAGATCTGATCACAACAGGATGCCATAATGTAAAGTGCAATGGGTAACGGCCCCTAAGGTCCGATTTTGCTTAGGGTGCCCTGAAGGCTTGGGCCCATTTAAGTGCCATTGGTTAGTTTTTGAGATCTGAACCGTTATGGCCACATAGGACAGTTTTTAATAGACCAGCAAAAACAAATATATTGTTTTCTGCGATTAGTAGCAAGACCTTTGCTGAGACAACTGAAATAAGCTTAATCATAAGTACTGCAGTGCTGACTAAAGCCTTCTGCATGATTCAACACGTACGATATACTGCCATGAGTCCCACTGTTGTTTGTACCATCAGGAGGACAACAACAAATCTCCCTTTCGACTCCCAGATCAAAACTGACAAGTACCATAATGTTGTTTAGAGGCCGCATCCAACATCTGCTACATTTTATTTGCGTACAATCACTGGAGGCTGAAGCACACACAGCGACACGCAAAGCCGAGAGAGACATCTGTCCTGTCGGCTGATCCAATCTGGGCCCTGTATTGATGGCTCTGTAAAGTACGTGTACCTGGGTGGTGTGTAGTCCGCACTCTCATCGTCCGTATAGAGATGTTATCAGAACCATGCCCCAATCCTATTACAGCCAGTCAATAATTATGGAAGCGCCACTGGGAAAATGCTGTTTTCTTGGCTGGAATAAACCACGTATAATATTGCTACTAGAAATAAAAGCAGGCAGCAGGCCATCTCGCATTCACATGAGCAGGTTTTGTCACGGGGTGGGATGATGGAGGACTCAAATGCAAGACTGCAAAAAAATAACAATTTAATAAAATAAAAGTCCAGGTGAAACCTAAACTCAAAATCCAAGAATACAGAACTAGGAACAAAGACAGAACTTTACACAACGAAACCGGACATTGACAAAACAATGGACCAGCAAAATGTGGAGAGGGGCACAGGGTAATTATAGACAGGGACACAGGTGACACACATCAGGGCGGGGCAGACAATCAACACAGGGGAAACAGCACAGAAGTCAAACTCAAAACCAAACCACAGAGAAACAATGTCAAAATAAAACCAAAGTACAAAAATAAAAGCCACACCATGACAGGTTTAGGTTTATGGTTTAGAACTGCACATTTTTAATTGGGAGCCAGATCATCCCCGTTAAACAGCGCATCCATTTCAAAATCCTCCTCATCACCTACAAAGCCCTCCATGACCTCCTCCTCCAGATCTCACTGAACTTCTACAGCCCTACAGTCCCTCCATAACCTCCTCCTCCAGACCTCACTGAACTTCTACAGCCCTACAGTCCCTCCATAACCTCCTCCAGATCTCACTGAACTTCTACAGCCCTACAGTCCCTCCCGCCGACTCTGATCTGCAGACTCACATCTCCTCACTCCCACTGTCAAATCTAAGCACCAAACCTTGGGGGGACCGAGCTTTCGCCATCTCTGCTCCCACTCTCTGGAACTCCCTCCCCCTCCATCTCAGAAACTCGGACTCTCTAAACTCCTTCAAAAAACAGCTCAAAACTCACCTTTTCTTCCGAGCATTTGACCCTTAGTTTAAACTCTCTACCCTTCTTCCTCACTCTATTCTGTCGGTGCACACAGAGTACCTTTCTTTGCAAATGTATTCCAATGTAGTTTGTATACTGCACATGGCTAATAAAATGAATCTGAATCTGAATCTGATCTTAGATTTTTAGTTTGTGTGTCTGTCTAAACGTGTGTGTTTGTGTCATGAATTTGTGAAGCGTCTTTGAGTTCTTGAAAAGCGCTATATAAAACTGATGTATTATTATTATTATTATTATTATATATAATGGAAATTTGTGGTTAAGAAAATGTGAAAGTTAAAGCTAACAGTATTTAGGACATTACTATATTTTTTTATAGGGTTTAGGGTTAAGTTGCTGTGATTCTCTTTCAGTCGGAGCAGGTGTCAATAAATAAACCTGCCATATGTCTAAAAGTCCTATTAACCAACATTAAGGATGTTCTTTTATATTGTCCTCACTGTAGACACCTCGTATGATCAAACTAGAGTTGATATGTCCTGACAACAAAAAAACATGTCAAACCTTTTGTTTTTTAGTTTAAAGAGGATGAGTCCAGTAATTGCAGAGCTAATAGCTGTTACATAAGACTAGAAGTGTGACTTTTTTACCAAGACATTTGAAACATAGGCTTTGTGGAGCGTTGTGATGTCACATGAAGACTACCTACATTTGGGTCCCTGTAATGTGTCAATATGCCTTTTGTTTAGATGATCCGGAGTCTGAGGAAGATGGTTCATATTTTACCAGTGAGTACAGCCTTTTAATTTTGGTTGCATTTTAGGTTTTAGCAGAAGAACAGCTTGAAATTCCAAAGCTCTTGGTCTGTGTTGAAATTGTCTTGCAGTAGAGGCAGTATCTAAACTCAACAGTATGATGGGCAGTCCAGGAGGGCATGTTGCACAAGCATTTCCATTCTCTCAAATTGTGTTTTTTTAGGGAGACGTTCTCATAACCAAGTGCACGTATAACACGGAAAACCGGATGAAACCCACAGTGGTAGGTCCATATTTGTCTGCTTTCCAAAAAGGGACACCAATCTTTTTTAGGGATTCTATATCACATGTATAGAGCAAACACGTCAGCCTAAACATTCACATTCTGAGGATTTCTCATTTAATATTGGTAATCCAAACATTTACCTGGACTGTGCTTTTATATGCTGGTCACATGTTTGTTTTTGCGTCCATAGGGAGGATTTGGAATAATGGAGGAGATGTGTGTCGACTACATCCACTACTACCCTCGCACGCAGCTAGAGCTGTGCAAGACCCACGTCGACCCTGGCTATCTACAGAAGTACTTCAATTTCATCAACAGGTGGTTCCCTCATTTGAACATCAGATTCAGTTTATTTGCCATTTGCTGTAAAAACACCACATTGGAATACATTAGCAAAAGTCTCCAGTGTGCACAGACAAATACAGACATAAAACAACATTAAAAGACACAAACAAAACAGTAAACAAATGTCACTGTGAAATTGATCGACTAAAACAGTTTCAAAACAAGTGCAAATCATTAAAGTGCTCTGTTCACACTGATAACAGCCTGTGGATAAAAACTGTTAGCGTAACGAGATGTCCTGCATCTCAGAGAGCGATATCTTCTGCCAGAGGGAAGAAGCTGGAACATGGCTTTCCCAGGGTGGCCAGAAGAGTCATTAACAATCCTAAGAGCTTTGTTTAAAAGTCTGGATTTATAAAGAACCTCCAGAATAGGAATCACTCATGTACTCTCTTGCCCATTTTGCCCTTTCGCACACATTTAATTCACAATTCTGCTGCTTGTAATCTGAGACTCATATTGTTTGAGTCGTGCATTTGTCGCTGCATTTCAAAGGAAGCTTTGAGTTATTTCAATCTTGCACATTTGTAAATCAAGCATCCATTTTGTATAAAGTCGGGGTACCTAACTTGCCTTTGTCTAACCCAGCAGAATGAATGATTTTGTACACATCAGACCACACGCTGCCTTCATCTTTATATAAAACACGTTCATCTTTTGCATGCTAGCGAACTTGCATACTACTTGCTAATCCTAGGTCACTATTTGACACATTGGGTTTATAGATCATCAGCTTCCTAAGGGTGGTATTCTCTTTTTCACTATATTATCTGAATGTTTGGTACCCCAGCTGTAAAGGTCTAAAGTCCACAGACACTGGTGTATGAATGTGAGGTGGGTCTTGCCCAAAGATACACAGCAGCATTCATCAGTGAGAGCTGGAGTCACATCAGTCATCCTGCTGTCATTCAAAAAAACATTTATTTCTGAAATTAAACTTAAAGTGATTGTCTGGAGTTTGTCAGAAAAAGAGACAGAGAGGTACTAGATTTTAAAAAACGACGCAAGCTCCTCCTCCTTCCTTTCTGATTGGTCTACGCCGACGTTTCCGTAACACATTTAAATGTTAATGAGAGAACACATTATACATATACATTATTAATACACATGCACGGAGGTTTTCAGAATTATTTGTTAACGTTTTAATGAAAAAAACAATGTTTTTATGCACAAAAAAGCGATCGCGGCAAACCAGGAAGAAGCTATTATCATGAACTGCACATTATAGAAACATCTGCAGAGGATCTGATTATGGATATAGGTTCATATATAAATGATTATGGATATAGGTTCAGTATATAAATGATTATGGATATAGGTTCAGTATATAAATGATTATGGATATAGGTTCAGTATATAAATGATTATGGATATAGGTTCAGTATATAAATGATTATGGATATAGGTTCATATATAAATGATTATGGATATAGGTTCAGTATATAAATGATTATGGATATAGGTTCAGTATATAAATGATTATGGATATAGGTTCATATATAAATGATTATGGATATAGGTTCATATATAAATGATTATGGATATAGGTTCATATATAAATGATTATGGATATAGGTTCATATATAAATGATTATGGATATAGGTTCATATATAAATGATTATGGATATAGGCTCATATATAAATGATTATGGATATAGGCTCATATATAAATGATTATGGATATAGGTTCATATATAAATCAGGCCAGGAGGTCAATTTAACACATTTCCTAAAATTTGTAATTAATTTAGAGTTACAGACTATCACTTTAATAAGAGAAATGGCTTACAGAGAACAATGGCTTTCAGTCCATTTTCAAAATATTAAAATCTTCTACTTTTTGTCATATGATTGTGTGCTAATTATCAATACTTATCATTGAAAGGCTTGACATATCTCACTTTGTATTTGAGTCTATCATACGTATATTAGTTTCACATTACAAGTAAGTGAACTGTTGGTGTGAAGGAGGATGCAAACCTGATACTTCTATGTCGACTCTTCTTCACCCACTATTAGAGAAATGTGGGGTGGGATTAAACTCTAAATTTGTGTCCCCACCAAAGCTGGGTTTAAAGTTGAAAAAAATTCACATCCTGACCGGAATTTAAACTTTGGCTGCCAAACTGGAGCCGTCCAATCCTAACCACGAGACCATAAGCAAGTGTAAAATGAATGAGCGATGACATCCCTTATAAATAATTTCTTGGTGGAAACCTTGTGATACTTGTCTCTTGCCAACACACATTTTACAACGCACTTAGAAAACATATGACACATTTATAGACACTGGTTACATGGCGTCGCGGATCGTTTTTCAGAAAGCAATGACAGTCGGACTTTTCTTTTAGAATGTAAACAGCTTCCATTCAAAGAATTTGGCGCCTCGTTGTTATCAACAAATGCACATATGAGCCCTTCGGGTCATGTGCTGCTGCTATGGAAGCGAGGAGGAGGCGGGGCGTACAAATATGGATTCAACCTAGGACATCTTATATTTGGTGAGGATTTAAGTCCTCTCAGAATATTGGAGGGGACATGTCCCCACAGTCCTTACGTAAACCTTCGCCCTTGCCTGGATCCATAGCCTGTTTGTAGGGAGCAGATCCCTCTTTCAAGCTGGGCTTTCTCGAGGTTTCTCACCTTTGTTTCCCCACAGTTGATCCTTGCAGGATATTCTCAGTAAAGAGATGATTTAAGGACTTTTATGGACATGTATGAAAATGTTGTCATTAGTCATCCCACTACCCTATGGACCACCCTATGGACCACCCTATGGACCACTCTATGGACCACCCTTTGGACCAATGGCTCTGATGAGTTTGTTATAATTACTGCATTTCATGTCTGCGAACTCTTTAGTTTTCTACACCTGTTATGCTTTAGGGCACCACACAAATAAGTTGAATATAATTCAAACTGGCAACCTTAATCTCAAAGGACACACAATCTATCAAAATAGCTAAAACATGGATATATTAAGGTGCACAAAAAGTAATAATTGATATCCTTTCACTATCTGCCGACAGGTTTCAGGGCGATGACCACTGTGTGTGCGGAGACATGAACGTGGCACAACAGTACGAGATGTTGAAGTGGGATGCGTTCTCTGCAGAGGTTCTGGATTCTCTGTACAACACTGCGCCGATCTCAATGCACTGCAACCAGTCCTTTGCCAAGCTCTTTCCAGTGAGCGTTCATAACACATGCCAGGGTTTGTTGGATTGGAACAGTTATGGATTTCAGGAAAGCTCAGAGATGAACTAGAGCTGCTTTTCTGGTTTCAAACGCTTTCACGTATGACTAGGCAGAAACAGGACACGTCTGAACGGCAGTCGACCGACCGAAGAACTGGTTGCCTTTTTATTTTAAATTATGTGTTTCCAGATTATAGAACAACATGTTATCATATTAGACCTTATATAAAACAAGAGTATAAGGTCGAATTATTCTTAATTAAAATCACCAATTTCAATGAGATCATCCAATCAGAGCGTGTCATTGGGATGCTGGTGGCCTTTATATATACATGTTTTTTGTGTTAATCTCAAGCACACAAAAATAGTACCATCCATCCATTTTCTTCCGCTTTATCCGTTGCCGGGTCGCGGGGGCAGCAGTCTAAGCAGAGACGCCCAGACTTCCCTATCCACACACACTTCCTCCAGCTCGTCCGGGGGGACCCCAAGGCGTTCCCAGGCCAGCCGAGAGACATAGTCCCTCCAGCGTGTCCTGGGTCTTCCGCGGGGCCTCCTCCCGGTGGGACGTGCCCGGAACACCTCCCCAGGGAGGCGTCCAGGAGGCATCCTGAACAGATGCCCGAGCCATCTCAACTGGTTCCTCTCGACGTGGAGAAGCAGCGGCTCTACTCCGAGCTCCTCCCGTGTGACTGAGCTCCTCACCCTATCTCTAAGGGAGCGCCCAGCCACTCTGCGGAGGAAGCTCATTTCGACCGCTTTTATCCGCGATCTCGTTCTTTCGGTCATTACCCAAAGCTCATGACCATAGGTGAGGGAGGGAACAAAGATTGACCGGTAAATCGAGAGCTTTGCCTTTCGGCTCAGCTCCCTCTTTACCACAACGGTCCAATGCAGCGACCGCATCACTGCGCACGCTGCACCGATCCGCCTGTCAATCTCACGCTCCATTCTTCCCTCACTCGTGAACAAGACCCCGAGATACTTGAACTCCTCCACTTGAGGAAGGACCTCTCCACCCACCTGCAGAGGGCAAGGCACCTTTTTCCGGTCGAGCACCATGGCCTCGGATTTGGAGGTGCTGATTCTCATCCCAGCCGCTTCACACTCGGCTGCAAACCGCCCCAGTGCATGTTGCAGGTCCTGGTTCGTTGGAGCCAACAGGACAACATCGTCCGCAAACAGCAGAGATGAAATCCTGTGGTCTCCGAACCGGACCCCCTCCGACCCCTGGCTGCGCCTAGAGATTCTGTCCATAAATACAGTGAACAGAACCGGTGACAAAGGGCAGCCCTGTCGGAGGCCAACATTCACCGGGAACAGGTCTGACTTACTGCCGGCAATGCGAACACAGCTCTGGCTCCGGTCATACAGGGACCGAACAGCCCTCAGCAGAGGACCTCCGACCCCGTACTCCCGGAGAACCCCCCAAAGGACACCCCGGGGAACACAGTCAAACGCCTTCTCCAAATCCACAATGCACATGTGGACAGGTTGGGCGAACTCCCATGAACCCTCGAGTATCCGATGGAGAGTATAGAGCTGGTCCAGTGTTCCGCGACCGGGACGAAAACCACACTGCCCCTCCTGGATCCGAGATTCGACCATCGGCCGTAGCCTCCTCTCCAGTACCTTGCAGTAGACCTTACCGGGGAGGCTGAGGAGTGTGATCCCACGATAATTGGAACACACCCTCCGGTCCCCCTTCTTGTAGAGAGGGACCACCACCCCGGTCTGCCACCCTATTGGCACTGCCCCCGATCGCCACGCGATGTTGCAGAGACGTGTCAGCCAAGACAGTCCTACAACATCCAGAGACTTTAGATAATCAGGGCGGATCTCATCCACACCCGGAGCCTTGCCACCATGGAGGCTACCAACCACCTTGGTGACCTCAGCCAGGGAGATGGATGTACCCGCCCCAACATCCTCAGCCTCTGCCTCTGTAACAGAGGACGTGATGGGGGGATTGAGGAGAACCTCAAAGTATTCCTTCCACCGCCCGACAATATCCCCAGTCGAGGTCAGCAGCTCTCCACCCGCACCATACATGTTGTTGGCAAAGAACTGCTTCCCCCTCCTGAGGCGCCGGATGGTTTGCCAGAATCTCTTCGAGGCCGACCGATAGTCATGCTCCATGGACTCTCCGAACTCCTCCCAGTCCCGGGTTTTTGCCTCTGCAACAGCCCGGGCCGCGGCACGCTTGGCCTGCTGGTACTGGACAGCTGCCTCAGGAGTCCCCCGAACCATCATGGCTCGATAGGACTCCTTCTTCAGCCTGACAGCATCCCTTACTGCCGGTGTCCACCACCGGGTTCGGGGGTTGCCGCCGGGACCAGCACCAGAGACCTTGCGACCACAGCTACGAGCCGCCGCATCGGCGATTGAGGCAGAGAACATGGTCCACTCGGACTCCATGTCCCCCTCCTCCGCCGGGACCTGGGAGAAACTCTCCCGGAGGTGTGAGTTGAAAGTCCGTCTGACAGGGGGCTCAGCGAGACGTTCCCAGCAGACCCTCACTATACGCTTGGGTCTGCCAGGTCTGACCGGCTTCTTCCCCTGCCAGCGGATCCAACTCACGACCAGGTGATGATCGGTTGACGGCTTCGCCCCTCTCTTTACCCGAGTGTCCGAGACACGCGGTCGAAGGTCAGATGATACGACAACAAAGTCGATCATCGACCTCCGGCCTAGGGTGTCCTGGTGCCACGTGCACTGGTGGACACCCTTGTGGTCGAACATGGTGTTTGTGATGGACAAACTGTGACTGGCACAGAAGTCCAACAACTGAACACCGCTCGGGTTCAGATCAGGGGGGCCGTTCTTCCCGATCACCCCTCTCCAAGTGTCACTGGCATTTCCCACATGGGCGTTGAAGTCCCCCAGGAGAATAACGGAGTCCCCGGGCGGTGCACCGTCCAGTACCCCTCCCAAGGACTCCAAGAAGGCCGGGTACTCTGCACTGCTGTTAGGCCCGTAGGCCGTCACAACAATGAGAGACTTGTCCCCCACCCGGAGGCGGAGGGACGCGACCCTCTCATTCACCGGGGAGAACTCCAACACGTGCCGGCTGAAATGGGGGGCAATGAGAATGGCCACCCCAGCTCGCCGCCTCTCCCCGCGGGGAACTCCAGAAAAGTGGAGCGTCCAACCCCTCTCAAGGAGTTGGGTTCCAGAGCCCAAGCTGTGGGTCCACACTGAAACTAAACACCCTATCGCAGGATTACACAAACACTATCTCTAGTCGGTATCGCTCAACCTCCCCCACAAGCTCGGGCTCCTTCCCCCCCAGTGAGGTGACGTTCCACGTCCCAAGAGCCAGCTGTTGTGTGTGCGGACTGGGTCGCCGAGGTCTCCGCCTTCGACCGCTGCCCAGTCCTCTCTGCACCGCTTCACCACCACGGACCCCTCTGCAGGTGGTGGGCCCACAGGAGGGACTGCCCACGTCGTCCATTCGGGCTGAGCCCAGCCAGGCCCCGTGGGCTAAGGCCCGGCCACCAGGCGCTCGCATACGAGCCCCGACCCCAGGCCTGGCTCCAGGGTGGGGCCCCGGCTGCGCCATGCCGGGCGACGTCACCGATTTTGTATTTGTGCTGTCCATGGTGTCTTCTGGACTGCTCTTTGTCTGACTCGTCACTTGAGACCTGTCTGCCATGGGAGACCCTACCAGGGGCATGAAGCCCCAGACAGCATAGCTCCCAGGATCATCCGAGTGCTCAAACTCCCCCACCACGTTAAGGTGGCAGTCCAGGGGGGAAAAATAGTACCACACAAAGTGAAAGGAAGCCAGGTGCAAAAAATAAGTTGTCATTAACCCTAGCAGGTGGATTAAATTGTACCTTTCAGATCGCTGAGAATCATGTGGATACACTGCTGATAATATGGTATATAAAATGGGGCATGACAAAATCTCAAAACACATGGTTAAAAATAATACACAATTATTTACACAAAAAGTAATCCTATTCAATTCCAAATATTAGCAAATGTGGCCGAGAGAAAACAACAAAAACAAAACAGACAATCAGAGTTGCCCAATGCTCATAGCACCAGTCCCTCGTTGATCCTCCGGCAGGTGGTGGGTCCACAGGGGGATGGCTGCTCCGTCCGGCTTCAGGCAATGTGGGGTTAAGTGTCTTGCCCAGGGACACAACGACAGCAGACATTAGCAGGAGCAGTTGGAGTGTAGGTCAGGTGGGGGGCTCAAACCCACAACCTTCAGACCCAAAGGCCAATGCTTCACAAACTGAGCCACCGTTGCCCCATTAATGTGATAATTTTTATTTAATTAATGCATAATAACAACAAAGCTTGACTGTTGTGTTCGCAGGGAGACTGGGAGAATCAGCCGTTACCAGATGTGACATCTGTCCTTGAGAAGCCACACTTCCCCTGCGAAGCTCCCAGGGCTGATGGGAAAAATCTTCCCAGAGAGGAAGTCTAGTCCTAATGGAGGCCGTGCATTATGGCAAGAATGAGCCGTCGGCTTCCTAAACATTATTATTATAAAGACAAACTGGATATCAAAGTGTTTTATGGAAGTTATTACAAAAATTTAAAATATTGTCTCCAGAAGATTTCTGTACAACATCTCCTCGAAGTTTGAGACTTGCATACATTTGATCTAAAAAAATAAAATGAGATTCAGATTCATTTATTTGCCATTTGCAGTAAAACCACATTGGAAAAACTGTGCAAGACTACCCCAGTGTGCACCAGACGACACACACCAGAGCTCTTGCCACGGCGCCATCTTTACGGCGCCATGCGACAAGAGGATTAATTTATGAAACAGGTGATATTCAGTATTTTCTACAATGTTTTTGAAATGGTTCATCGGGTCCACACTGAAACTAAACACCCTATCGCAGGATTACACAAACACTAAAATACTATAAAAATGTGCTTTATGGGTTTTCTTCTAGAGTACAAAGGAGGGAAAACAGAGTTAATTGCCATTAAAATGTATTAAAAAGGTAGTTTGAGTATTTGAGTTTGACAAAAATAAATAAATGCACCGTCACAGATTGGTCTAAATAAGACTGACAGCATCAACAAATTAGTAAACAATTGTACCATAATACAGGCTGGTAAACAAATTAAAACAGCAACAGACTGGGCGGCACGGTGGCTGAGTGGATAGCACTCTCGCCTCTCAGCAAGAAGGTCCTGGGTTCGAATCCCGGCCGGACCAGGGCCTTTCTGAGTGGAGTTTGCATGTTCTCCCCGTGTCTGCGTAGGTTTCCTCCGGGTACTCCGGTTTCCCCTACCACTAAAAATATGTCCAATAGTTCTGGCATGTGCCTCCTGTACTGGCCCCGCTCCCATCTCTGTGTGGAGTGAGAGACAAATGCCCAAAATTAACAATTGTAAACCGCTTTGAGACTCAGATCTGCAGTGAAAAGGCGGTATATAAATAATAACTTACTTACTTACTTACTTACTGAGAAAACCCTTTGTTCAACGAGGCCAAGTGTTTTATGTTTATGCGTCTGTTTTATATAAATCTTGTATTAACTAAAGCTACTCAGGAGAGCGACAATTTTTATGATTTATGGCTTGGAGAAAACCATGGATCATTTCAAATTAGTAAACATTTTGTGATGAACACGCAGCAGCTGCCAACGTCAGAAGTGGAGGAATACAAATGGCTTTTTTTGGCCGGCTGTCCACCACATTGGGTTTGGATTTGTCTCCCGGTATAATGTAATTAATATAGGTGTCAAAAGCATTAAGCACTTCATAATATTAATTTTCTCCTGGGTTGTAAACAATCATGTAAACATAATTATCTTGACCATAAAGAAAGAAGATGTCAAAAGAATTGCAAGGCAGGATGGTGTGATTCATTAGCCGACTATGGCAATCTGAAAAGCTTTAATATTGCAGTTAGTTTTAGAACCAAACACAGTATAGTCAAAATGTTGCATATGTTTAAACCATGAACCACGATTATCATATTGTACATGTTTTGATACATTGCTGTCGTCTAATAGGATTACTGATTCTGTTAGTCAAAGTTCACGTGGTGTCGGAGGGTGACAGAGTATGATATTTGCATCTGCTCTTTAGCAGCGGGCTTCTCATAACTGTTGCCTTTTAACGTCATTCTTCCTCTCGGCGTTTTGTCCCCGGTTCCTGCTCAGATCCTCAGGGTGTTTTGCTTTCTAAACGTTGAAAGCTGATAGCAGCACAGATAGTAAAAGTCTTGTTTTATCAACGTGCATCAGCCACTGAAATCGGACTCCAAATGCCCACAGGCTTAGGACGCTCCCTGCATTTAGAACAAGGAAACTGAATCGTTGTTATATATTAAACTGAATATGCCACAGTTCATTCATAATGTATTAGACATTTATATAGTGAAAGACACACATGGAAAAATACATTTATACTGTTGATTGTTTGCATTTAGAGGTTCTCCGTGTTATTGTGTCTGGGATCACTCGAGTTTTTAACAGTTCAAGAGAAAATGGTCATGTAGATTCATGATTCTTCAGTTTAGATGTAACATCGTGAGTCATAAGTGTTTGAGAGACAGCTCTAGTCTCTTCTTTAGAAATGACTTGTAACAAATGCAGCAGAGGGGATTTGAGGCGACACGCGCCGTCGAAAATGCATTTTCTTTAACATCATCCGCCCACATTACTTCTCACTGTAAAATGATCTACAAAATCATAAATCACACAATATAGAAATAGTTAGTAAATTTACATTTCTCGGACTTAATATTGACATTTAAAAGTTGGAGGTCATCCAGACTATTGTTCAATAAATTTGCCAGTTTAATTAATATGCAAACAGACAGGTGATCTGTGACTCGGAAAATTAGAATCTCAATCAAAAAATCCATTTATCTGTAACTTAAATAAACTCATTACATGCCCAGAGAGAGATAAATCAATAAGACATGAGTCTATATAATATATTTGTTTCACATTTTAAGTTGTGTTGCAAAAATAAAAGGATCTTATGAACGACATTCTAATTTTGTGAGTTTCACCTGAAAAAGAATTCACCATGATGAGCTTACATAAAGGACCATGTGTATTCTGCTCTCTCTCCACCTCTACATACAGACATAACTATGAATTCAATGAAAAATCACCCTTTTCCAGATAAAATAGATATTCACCACATTTACTAGTATCTCGACTGATCCTGAATCCAGATTTACCACTTACTTTCTAAATTGTACAAACCTTAAGAATGACAGTGTGTGTAATTACTTTTGTTCTGACCCTGACAACACTGCTTTCACAGAATAACTACCTCAATAATGGTGCCCACATACTTTGACTCTGAATATTTAAATCACAGTAGTTTTGACTCAAGATTAGCAATTTTTTAATAAAACTATAATTAGATGATCTTCAGAAAAGAACCATTTGACTTGCACGTAAAGCAAGTGTAACCAATATGAACGAAGGGACAGTCGCTTGGGAACAAGGCGGGGGACTTCTGTGGTCCTTGGTCAATAAAAACCCTTGATGCGTTTGTTCTCCGGGTCGAATGGCGTCTTGATGTGTGCTTTAGCTTTGTACGTCACTCCCATCCTCTCCAGAGTGAAGTCTCCGGTCTTTACGAAATCATTGTTCACCTGAAAGAAATGCTTCATAGGTAAAGGATTCACATTTGCAGGGTAATGTTAATTGACTGAAGTTGACGGACAGCTAAGGCCGGCACTACTTTCAACTGTCGCCAAAACCTACACATGAAAATTGTGGTGGAAAACAGATCTTTCTTGGTAATTGTAAAAAGCTTCTCTTCTAGACTTAGTTTAGAGCATTTCTGGACATTTCCACCTTAAACAAAAGCTGTCCCATAGTTTGACATCTTCTTGCAGTACACATATATCAAAAACATGCATGATGGTGGCCAGTAGGAAGTAGACAAGAACAAGATGGATCGTGAATCTTATCAATATCAAATAATATTCTGAAAAAAACAATGGGTTTCCTCGTTAAACATTTATTTTTTAGAAATGCCTCCAATGGAATTACAATTCTAGAACGGAAGAAGAAGAATGTACAACGCGTCAAAACCTACATCAACTATAAATATTACTTTGAAACCCCTACTGCTAATGGGCATTGACATTTTCTTTTTTCTAAGTGAAATTAGTTTTAGAATTCAGCTCAGATTTTCTTTTTGAGATATTATCTAAAAATCCAATATATTTTATTGAGCCATTTCTTCTGTTTTAGAGGCTCCTTTAATCACCAATGTCCAGTAGTGTGCCGATATGTCCTCACTGTGAGCTGACTAAAGATTTTTAAAGAGTATTTAGAGGTTTCTTTGAAGTGTAAGGTGCATTATAAATAAAATCTACCACCACCTAACTTTTTGAAACTGGTGGTCACAAATTTATCAGGCTGAAAAAACACAGGCAAAAATCCATCACTTCCAAATTAAAATGCTAACACAATTCAAGGCCTTCATCAGGATACATGAGATAGCTGCCTCTGTGATTTGCCACTTGCGTCTCAATTGCATCCAAGGTTTTAGTTTCTTTAGCCCATCTGCAGACCGTTGATCCAGCCGTCTCTGTTAGGCACATACTTCAGTAATGAAAAGGGCGTTTTACCCATTACTTGAGAACAGACACTTTGACAGAGTTCATATTTGACACAAGGGAGCATTAGCGGCCGAAGTGCGAGTTACGAAGCGCTGACAACCTTTCATTCGCTCATAACTCAACGTCAAGAAACAGAAGCTCATTTTCTCCATTTTCTGCCTACAGCCGCTGCACGGTTCGGCCAGACACAGCTCAGCGTGATCAATGTTTTCACTGCACACATCTCAGGAGTGGCACACCAAGCCTGACAATTTCACAAAACAACTTCCAAATTGGAGACGGGTTAGTTTTAAGTGTTTGTCTTATTGATACGGTCTATGCTACCACTTTTTTGTGGCTGCCATTTTTCATCCGCACAAAAGAATATCAACAAAACAACAGCACAATAGCTTGATAAGCACCACCGACTCCAGCACTTAGCCGGGAAAGAAAAGCAATACATTGGTAGGAGCATTAATAATGGTCTGCTCCTTTTGACCCTGAGTGAGACAGGATAGTGAAGAAACGAAGTGAGTGAAGATATAATTTATAATGTAGTGTTGAAGAACAAAGGAAACATGTCCTGGCCACATGTTTACTAAGATTCAGACCCTTTCATATTGATGAGAGGAATATACATTGCTAATTGGCTTTCTGCAGCCATTGTTGACAGTGAAATCCAGAAAAACTGATGATCTTAGTATTTGGGCCAATAATACAGAAACATTTGATAATTAACACCAATCTGTATCATTTGAATGTTTTATAAACTTTTCCACAAAATTGTTTTGCAAACAGCTGAATATGAGACATGTGTGGTCTACTTTTGTATTAGTAGGCCATAGATAATATGTATAGATATTTAAAGAATTAAATTTCCTTATGAAGTTACTGCAAAGACATATTTTGAGTGATAAATGGTGTATGCACATACCACTCCATCAGGGTTGCGGATGTATCCATAACCGATGGTTTTGTCGATGAAGAAGCCGTAATCTGAACGTCTCAGGTGGCCAACTGGGACACCATTTCTAAAGATGGCCTCAAGACCAAACATGGGCATCTTCCTGTGTTAAAGAAATAGAGTGAATTAGGAACAGAAAATAAGTCGTTCTCATTAACGATATCGTGGACGCCGTGGTTAGCACTACGTCACAGTAAGAACGTCCTGGGTTCTATTCCACCTCCAGACAATACTTTTCTGTTTGGAACAGTGTCTGCGTAGGTTACCTCCAGATGCTCTGGTTTTCCACAACAATAAAAACATGTACAGAAGTACCACACATTAACGCATTTAACCTTTGCAGCCTTTCTGTTTTGCATGTGTATAATTATGTGTGCTTCATTTACAAAGAGCTTCTCATGCATTGTGTGACCTTTTTTAAGTTAGAAGAAAAGTGTTTTGGCTTGTGTGCACCATCATGATTAGTTCAGAGGACTGCTGTGGACTGCTGTGGACTGCTGTGGACTGCTGTGGACTGCTGTGGACTGCTGTGGACTGCTGTGGACTGCTGTGGACTGCTGCAGTGTCAGTCCTGCTCCTGCCCTGCAGGGAGCTGTGAACTGCAGCTGTATTTTACAGTGTATGCACAGCTGGGCTCAGATCTACAGCGGACGGGTTCGATATCTCCACCATCGTACTTCAGCAGTCATGAGTTCAGGAGTGTGTATTAGTGTATAGTATAAAGTGTGTGGTGAAACGTTTTACAGAATTTGTCTTATTGAACGTTTTTTATGAATATTTCAGAATATGACCCGGCATACAACTGTATTAGTTCAAGATGAATGAGAGTTTGAGAGTGCGACTGTTGGACCACAGATGGAAATTAGTCCATGGCTACTATTTGATATTTACAGCACTGCCCTTCATGAATACACACAGTTCCATTCAAATAAACAAATAAATATTCAGACACGTACTCATCGATGGTAAAGCACACGATCTTCCTCTTCAGACCGTCCTTCTTCTGCTGTTCCAAGACATCACGTCCCTGGAAAGGGATGGAGCTCTTGAGTTTGCAAGTGAAGGCAAGACCAGCCTCCAGAGGGGTGTCATCTGGACGGAGGTCTGCGTGCCAGTGCCTATAACCTAAATGGAAAGGAAGAAGAGATTCAAAACGTATTATACATACAAATACTGTAAAAACTAAAATCACACACAACACTTTTATCTGCCAAGCTAAATATTATGCATGCGTAAAAACACCTGACCCTTAAAGATGCATTATTAAAAAAAAATTATGTGGGAAAAAATGATCATCTTTTGACAGAGCGGCTGTACGAGTGGTCAAGCATGGTCCCTTTACATTCCTTCACAGTGGTCTCGAGGATACTCTGACCAACGGACACTATACTATTATGTATAGTTAGTATTTGACAAAAAAAAAATACATTTAAAAGAGTCCCATCTTTTGCCATAACTACAACCAGTAAGAATAATCTAACCAATGAGGAGGGGTCTCAAGGATTTGAATTAATTTCAACCAATCAGTAAGTAAGTAAGTAAGTTAGTAATCTTTATTTATATACCGCCTTTTCACTGCAGATCTGAGTCTCAAAGCGGTTTACAATTGTTAATTTTGGGCATTTGTCTCTCACTCCACACAGAGATGGGAGGGGCCAGTACAGGAGGCACATGCCAGAACTATTGGACATATTTTTAGTGGTAGGGGAAACCGGAGTACCCGGAGGAAACCTACGCAGACACGGGGAGAACATGCAAACTCCACTCAGAAAGGCCCTGGTCCGACCGGGATTCGAACCCAGGACCTTCTTGCTGAGAGGCGAGAGTGCTATCCACGGTGGCCCAATCAGGACGCTGCAGGGGTGAGCATGGGTACAAAAGCTCGTCCTAAAACGGTTTCTCTCCTCACAATTTGACTGTGATTGACATTCACTTTAAGGTTAAGGTAAACTTTATAGTCCCACTGAAAATACTGCATTTAAGCCATCACTTGGTCTCTTTATTGCTAATCACTGACTAAAAGCTCACATAAGCATAGTTTGGGCGACAGTGGCTCTGTTGGTGGGGCATTGACCTTTCTGCCTGAAGGTCAAAGGCCAAGGCCACTCTCACTGATGTCTGCTGCCGTTGTGTCCTTGGGCAAGACACTTAACCCTACTTTGCCTATTTGTGGCCCTACAAAAGCCAGATCCCGTCAGACCTCTGAAGCAGTGCAGTGCAGGGCCTGGTTAGTACAGTGATGGGAGACCTCTGGGAACACCAGGTGCCACAGTGGGATTATCAGTGCTTTATTATTATTATTCATTCATTTTTTCATTCATTCATTTTCAAGCCCTTTATTGTCCATTTCTGGGTCAGGGGGTGGCAATGAGAGCTGCTACCCAACGCTCATAGCACCAGTCCCTCTGATCCTCTGCAGGGGGTGAGTCCACAGAAAGATGGCTGCTCTGTCAGTGGTGAAACAGCCTTGGTCTTTCAGCGGGGGCTTCAGGCAACGTGGGGTTAAGTGTCTTGCCCAAGGACACAACGACAGTAGTGGGAGCAGTTGGAGTAGGTCCCATGGTGGGAATTGAACTCACAACCTCCAGGATCAAAGGCCAACTGAGCTACTGTCGCCCCACACATATTTTCAAACTTCTACTCTTGTGTAAATATTATTATTATTATTAATATTATCAATATCATGATCATTATTATTATTATTAAAAAGAAGTATAGGTATGAACGTGTCCTCAAAATGTCAACTTTTCTTTCTTCACCCTCAAATAAAAATTGCCTGTGCGAGCCATTTTTAATGCTGGGTTATAGAGTATTACCTTTCTCTATGCTGAGGGAGTCAATGGCCCTGTAGCCCGAGTTGATGATACCATGTTTGGCGCCGGCAGCCATGACGGCGTTGTAGACTGGAATACATGAATCTTTGGGAATGTGCAGCTCCCATCCCAATTCCCCCACAAACGACAGACGCATAGCTCTGACCTGAACACAGCAGAGGGTTACAGATGAGAAGACCTGTAGATCCAAGATTTCTATCTATTTTTGAGCCCATATCACACAAATACTTTATCGTCAAGGACTCTCTGGACTTGTGGTGAATGTTAATGTGGACCACTTTGGCGTGCCGATCGTGTGCAAGTCTGTGTGCAGCAGAGAATAATAACGCAGGAGATGCAAAAACCAGATAATGTGTACAAAGAGATAAGTGAAAATACAGTCTTGCCATTGAAATCCACTCTGAAAGATAAAACAAATTGAGAGAAAAAAAAATCAGCAAATTAAGACTTTTAATGTAATCTTTGTAAGTAATATTTATTTATATACCGCCTTTTCACTGCACATCGGAGCCTCAAAGCGGTTTACAATTGTTATTTTTTTGGGAGTGGGGCCAGTACAGGAGGCACATGCCAGACCTATTGTACATATTTTTAGTGGTAGGGGAAACCGGAGTACCCGGAGGAAACCTACACAGACACGGGGAGAACATGCAAACTCCACTCAGAAAGGCCCTGGTCCAACCGGGATTCGAACCCAGGACCTTCTTGCTGAGAGGCGAGAGTGCTATCCACTATGATGTAGTTATAATCAGAGTTTATATGTATTATACTTGACTACAAAGCTATACAATAGAACTATCAGGGGATAAAGTCCTCAGCATAAACGCAACTTGGACTCGGCTGGTTTTGAACGAATCAATCTTTAAAAAACAAGCCAGTTGTGTGATCATCTATGACTGATAATGTGAATGTAACAATGTCATGTATTTTTTATTGTGCTAAAACCTCTTCTTGACACAGACATTGCCAATTTGATGATAAATGTTGAAGTGTTTCACATTTTGATTGTGTTCTTGTCCCTATTCATGCACTTTGGGTTTCTTTCCAGAGAATAGGGCAAAAGTCACCAACAAAGAATAGCTCTGTATAGGTATAAGGAAGAATCCTGTTCAGTTTTGTGATATTATACACAAAGCAATTACATTAATAATAAAGTAGACATTTGTGTTTTACATCCACAAGGCGGGTCTTGCTGTGGAGCTGTTTTCGCACTACCTTACTATGTTGGGGCAGGCAACATAAGATTTTTTTTTTCTTCTTTCTGCTCCTTTTCATTTGTGCGACAAGACGACAATTATTTGAAATTTAATTGGGATATGTGTAGTATTGTTTTTGTCCACAATTGAAACTAATAAATAAATGTTGCACTTCAGTTAATGAAAAAACCATGATAAATTTAACATTTGAGTTGGTTCTTAACTTCTTATGGAACACATGCCACTTAACTATTGTCTGATTTTTATTTTATGTATTGGCAAATTAAGAAACGGCACAATAATATCACTGTCTTGGGAAAGTTGTCTTCTCACTTTTTCCTGCACAAATAACTGATTGATCGTCATTCGCAAAGCAGAATTAAGAATCAGAATGAATGTATTGCCGTTTGCAGAATACACTAGATTGGAATACAAACAGGAGACACCGGGGCACCAGCACAACGCACACACACAACATGTAAAAAATAGCGAGGCAAGACTCTGAGGCACATATAAAACTCTACGAAGCATGACTGAGAAACTACGAAAGAGCTACAAAGAGAAGCAGACATCAGGGCGCTCTGTTCAGTCTTGAACAGAGGAAAGAATCTTTTTGAAGCAGGTGGTCCTGCACTGCAGGGACCGGAATCTTCTCCCCGAGGGAAGAGCATGGAACAAGATCGCTCCAGAGGAGTTATTTACAATCCTCAGGGCTAAATACTAAGTTACCACCATTATTATATTTATTTTTGGGCCTTTATCCCCACCGCTGTCAGACTGTACAATAAGTCACTTTAAGTCACTGCACTATGACTGAAAATATGCACTAATATTGACACTTCTTTCTAATTGCCACTTTTTTGTACATAATAAATCCTGCATTAACATGCTGCACATTTCTTACTTTTTGCACAATTCTTGAGTGTTCCTATCCTTGCCAATGTGACATGTACATTTCTCCTGTGTGAGATTAATAAAATAAATCGTATCTGATCTTTTGAAATTAAAAAAGATGTGTGTAGTATGTGTACTTATTAATAATTTGTAATAGTTAACAACCCAGTATGTTTGCCGTCTTTAGATCTGAGAGCAGGAGTGTTGGCCCTCTGTATTTTAACTAGAATTTGATTTGTTGCTCTTCTTCAGAACGAATGCTAAAAGCCATTTTAGCATTCGCTGAACAGCTGAAAAACGACATGAAAAAGTTGCCATAAGCTTGTGGCAAACTGTTGGAAGCATGCACATAATTATACACAAAGAGATGAAAAACAAAATCCACACAAAAATCCTGAAGTAAACATGCTCTCCAGCAGTGGGAGTGGAGCCATCATGCTCCATCATGCATTCACTCTGAGCCTTGTGCTAAAGCCAACTAACAGTGGCAGTGCATACAGGCTTATGGCTACACACAACACTCACTGGAACAAAAGGACAGCACTGAGATAAGATGGAGACGGCTGCGTGCTAGCACAGAATGGCAGAAATACACAAGAGTAGAAGTTTGAAAAGTGGGGAAGCAAAGAGGAGAGAGGTTAATGAGCTGTGGGGGGATTCAGAGGGAGCGCTCTGTTCTTTCTGGGCTGCAGCCATTAAAATGTCACCCAGACAAGGCCAGAGAGCCAGCAGGAACACAGCCACACAAACCTAATCGTAAGACAAGACGCACTATCGCCACACTGCAGCCTGATTCATGCGACAGTGACGAAGACAGAAGAAGCATGCGTGTGGACATATGTGTCTCTGCGTGCAGGGAACAACATGCAGACTTTGGTGTACGGCCAGGAGTGCTGGGAAGGTCAGGGGGAGCAACAAACATTGACTTTGGCAGAGGCCTCAAGCTCAAAATAGACCTCTGTTAAACCCAAACCGTTACAAAAGCACTGATTGGTAAATAAATATATGCTTGAATACATAATTTGCTTGAATTTGGTTTAATTTATCACATTTGTATTTGTCAATGGGACAAATGAATATGTACATTTTTTCATGAAACAAGCTAATTCTCATTTGCAATTGGAGTATGAAAGTAGTGTGTAGGGTTGTCATTCATTCCACTGGCTAATATTGATTTATGAGTTAATCATATGTAACCCAAACCCTTTTATCAGGAGTCTCCAAATTCTTGATCAGGAGGTACCAGAAGCTATCCACCTCCTTCCAGCTGGTTCTCCAAAGGATCTATAAATTCTAGGTTAAGGGGAGGGTTAGGGGTATATATATATATAAATATATATATATAAATATATATATTTCAGAATGTATTATTTACTTTCTCACAACTATTTAATACTTGGCTATCTCAAAAAGGCTGAAATCAAGAGGAAAAGTATGTTATAATTCATCTTGTGCCTTGCATTTTATCAGTTTTTGCGGTGAACTGTGTATGACTCATCTCAACAGTGCATAATGCAGGTAAAGATACATTATTATACATTAATACTTTATGGACTAACTTTCTACTAAACTCACAAATCGAGGTTTCAGTGCTGATACCAATAATAAATAGTAATGGAAAACAATAATACTTAGATACGCACATTTAAATTGCACCTTTCATTTGAGACCAAATCAAAAGTGCAATAATTTGAGTCAACCGATTGGTTCGTAATTGGGAAAATAAGGAATAGAAAGAGTTTTTTCTCTAAAAATGTAGATATTATTTTTAATACTGCTTGATTAACATGTTTTTGTTATTTTTTGTGAATGTGTGAAATCAGCTTTAATCCTGGATGTGGCCAGTCACAAAATATTAACGATAAAGTTATTGTGTGATAAAGATGTATTTTCTGTCTTGAGCCTGTGTATAGTGTTATTTGTTGCGTATAATGAAAAAGAATACAAGTTGCAGAGGTGTAGTGGGACTGCCTCACCTGATGCCCCGCTGCATTCACCACTTTATGGGAAGAGAAAGGGAAGGCGTCGTTGCTGAGGTCCGTGTCCAACACCTCCTGCAGCACAGCTCGACTGCAAACAAAACAAAGTACAGAAGGAATATTAAATACAAGAGATGCCTGTGTTTTTTTTTATCCATTAAGCAGCTTTCTCTCAATTACATAATGAGTCAACAAAATAGACCTATGTTTGGCATTATCTGTCAGTATCATCCATACACTCTATATATTAACGGACGTAGTCACGCCTATCTCCGCAGTTCTAACTAAAGGGCCAATAATTGGGCTTTCATGGAGTGATTCAAAATGGCCGCGGTGGCTGGAAAATGTGAAAAAATGCATCTGTGCATGCGTCAGCTGCACGAGCTCCATTCATTTGAACGAGAGACTTCAAAAGTCCACAGCGACTAAACTAGACTGGTCCAAAAAAATTCACTCCCCTCAGCATTGACACACATGTGGAGCTTTGGGCCAAGAGACAACTTTTGGACCATCCTGTAAAGACGTTTTCCAGAGGTAAGAAGATGCTATATGTTAGCATTGGCTAATTCTTCTTCTGGGTCCACCCCCACAGGCCCGGGGTGGTATTGCAGCATGTCAGCGCACGTCATTTTGGCCACTTTTGAGCCAGGACCCGCCCCCACTGGTATTATGTTTAGCATCATCTGTCAGTGAGTGATGTTGGATTACAATACGTGCTTTAGTGGGATATTTTTTCACATCCAGAGACTCTCAGTCAAAGAACAGTATATTGGAAGAAATCTACAATTCATGTAGTCAAATTCATATAGTAGGTACCTTAGAGATTGTCCTTTCAGTTTATTCAGTTTTAACATAGCACAAAGAGCACAGTGGGTGTAGGTATTGTTTATTACTCAAAATGAATCAGCTGTGACTATTCCATGTCATTGTGTGCATAGACTTATGGTGGAAAAACAATAATAATACATCGGTTTTAGCGCTTTTCAGGACACTCAAAGACAGAAGTGAGGCACCAGACTCATTCTAGGCAATGTGGCTGAACTGTCTTTACACAACAACAGTTTGGCACTTTACAGCTGCCCCACTGCAGGCCCTGCCCTGCACAGCTTCAGAGGTCTGACGGATCTGCATGGCCACTTGCATGGTTAAAATATATGGAAAAACATTTAAAGAAAGGTCGTGACAGTGGCACATCACAGAAAGAAGTGAGATCCGTTTGGTAGCAGTGACAATAATCGTGAGCAATCCATCAGACAAATGGACCGTTCATTGGTAACTGATTGTATCCGACTGCTTTATGAACCAGGCTGTCTTGATGATAGCTTAATTGTTCTCATTCATTCAATCATTGCATTCCCCATAAAAATTTAGTATACAAGATACTACATATTATTAAGTTTATTTAAAATTACAGTCGTACAGGGATTATTAAAAACAGAGACAGGTTGCTCACCCATCATCTGTATTTCAGTTAGCAGTTTGTTTTGTTCTCCATCCACAGAACTTTCTCAACAAAATGAAAGCTGGAGTGCATGTTGTTGTTTGGGGCCAAACATTATGTCCAACAGAGAAAGGTCAGTGACATGCTAATGAGTTAGGATGATTAAACCTGCACTCCACCTGAGCAGGATTGTGCTAAGAGACCTGCATCCAACAGCTGGGCAGTTTCAGCAGACAATAGAGGTGTTAATGAGTTAGCCTCAGGATCAGGAGCACCATAAGTGTAAGTATTTTTTTCTTCTGCCAACAATTTTGGAGCGCAATATATTATGAAAAAATACACATATATTTGTTGCTGTATCAAATGTATGTGTCGCTCTAACCACTCCCACAGGTTACAATCGCCAATTTGCACCTGAGCATTCATTCCCTCAAAAAGTCTTCAAATGGAGAACAGAAAGTCAGAAAACGTGCGAACTGAAGGACCGATGATGGGAGAACAGCCATCTGTTAATGTCTTTCTCAAGACCGAGTTTTATTATTAATTTCCGGCTATGTGTGCTCCACTTGTTTGTTCAACTCAAAAGCCTGAAAGCAAAAGGCCAATTAGTTGAAAGTAATCAGTGAGCAGCACTGCACTCTGCTGCAGTCTGTGCGAGGGACTAGCAACCCATTTGTTTTTCCAAGTTGCAAAGTCTGCTCTCGAGGCTCAGAACATACACTTGCATGTTTTATTAAAATGTTTGCAATTAACTCATTGAATGCCAGCCTATTTCAGAACAGGTACTCCCACAGTGCCAGCCATTTCTGATGATTTTTCAAGACCCACAGAATATTGTGTACTATGACTATCTGAAATCCGACACCAGATTCTAAAAGAATGGACTGTCTACTTTCCTCAGCAAAAAGAATTTTGTTTATAGCTTCCTTCGTTCCCCTGTAATCCTTTGTTGAGTAGAGGGAAGTTTTACTGAAATCACCAGAAATCACCAGAAAGCTGAGAAAAAAGAGGCACAACATGTGCACCTACATGTTTTCAAACCATTCAGAGAGCAATGCTGCCACCTGCTGGCTCGATAAAATATGGTCTCAAGTCATCCCCATACATATTAGATACAATAGATATCTGGGAACGTGAAAATAGCGAAAAAGGCAATTGACGGATTAATGCGTCAATGGCACACGACGTTACTATTTGCTTTGACGTATTTGTGCGTCAATGGGACACAATGAGTTAAGATGCAGATTGCACTGAACTGCCTAACATGAGCTTTGTGCACAACAAAGGACCATATCAGTGTCTCAGGCAATCGGAACGAGACATTTCTAAGAAGTATAAACGGTCATTTCAGGTGCTCTAGAGCTCAAAGAGACTTAAATGACTTTGAATGAGTTAACGTGTTCTGTAATGTTCTCATCGTCTTCATTGATTCTTTTCACTAATTGTAGGGGTTTTGTGTAATCCTTCAACCTGTTTAGGTTGGATCAAACGCAGGCTGGGGACTAAACTCAGAAATGGGGAGTTTGGATAAAGGATGAAAATTAGCCCACGGCTTCAGTCCGTGAGTGTTCATTAACCTGCCGTGTCCTCTTGACCAATAAAAACACAACATCCAGGAATGAGATTGAAAGGTCAAGGTAATCTGGATTTACAATGAATTTCATGAATTTCATCACTTCTACCAAGAGTTAATTTCACTCAGCACTGTGGCAGAGTGAATAGGACTCTCGCTTTTCAGCAAGGAAATCCTGGGTTTGAATCCCGGTCAGAACAGTCACATGTTGCATGTTCTCCCCATCCCTGCGTAGGTTTCCTCTGGGTGCTCCGCTTTCCCCTACCACTAAAAACATGCACAAACGGTAAATCCTCCAGTTCCAGGAGTCCTGACCAAGCTGAGCATCAACATGTGGAGATGTGTCCCCGGGTGCTGTACTTACTCCTGATAGACGCCCTAGTGGCATCAGAATGGGTCAAATGCAGAGGATGAATGGCACCAATACCTTTTCCATACTGCATGTTGAGCTTTTCCAAACGCTCAAAATTGAAGTCAGACTGTGCAGGGGACAGTACAGTGTTCTATAAGCAGTTCCACCTCGTCACACATTGATTATTGCTGTGACGTAAGCAGCTTCAGAAAACAACGGCATCAGATGAATCCTCAAAAGGTGCAAGTACAAGAGCGCAGGTTGAAAAAGAGGAGTGGGGAGATGGAACTCGATAAAGGAGTTAAGAAAAGCACCGGAAGCAGCCGATATCGACCGCACCACACAGAGGAGCCTCGGCCTGGAGCAGAGAGAAGCTGAGCAGCAGTGAGGTGAAGGGGTCTGTGCAACGGCTTTGACACAACAACCAGAGAGACTTGTATTGATGTGTTTGTGTTTGCAAAGTTTGTGAAATTTACCTTTTAGCCATTAGAACTAAAAAACACATTTTGATGAAAAATGTATAGTTAAAGTAATTTATTCCACGCTCCTCACAGCAGCAGTAGAACCATTGATTTGAATGTAATTTCAAAACGTTCTACCGGTCATTATTTTCTATAACGGACCTCTCAAAACAATAATGACCGCTGCCCTTTGGCAACGCACTCTCTGCTTGTCTTTCAAATGTGTGGATAACTCCGCAAGTAGTTCCGGCCACTCCGGAGCTAGCCACGCTCAATAAACACACTTAAATGTTAATTGGAGAATACTTATACATTCTTCACACACGTGCACGGACATTTTCAGAATTTTCTGGTCTTGTCTTCATCACAAAAATACTATTTTTTTCCACCCTTAAAGCGATCGTGAAAAACCCGGAAGCCAGCCACTCCGGAGCTAGCCACGCTCAATAAATGCAAATGCCAATCAATCAACGCAATTAAATGTTAATCAGAGAGTAAATTATACATATACATTATTAATACAAGTGCACGGAAGTTTTCAGAATTTTCCGTTTACGTTTTCATGACAAAAACACTGATGTAATGCGAGAAAAGGCGATCCCGAAAAACCGGGAAGTAGATAGTAGATTTAGGTTAAGTTTATGTTTGGGTCACTCACCGCTGATGTTCAGGATTCTGTGTTTAGTTTTCATGCAGTTCCAGAGAGTTCTAGTTTGGAAGTTGATAGCCTAACTGTTGCTAGCATAGCCACGGGAAAGCCTTTGGGAACTATTTTATTTTCTTTCTTATTTTAAATAAACCTTTCGGCATTCCTGAAAGTGGACTGAAGTTTATGTTGTGTGTTCTGTTGGTATAAAGCCGTATAATAAGCTTCTGCCCTGTCGGTACTTATTTTCCGATAATGACCTGCGTAATATACGTTATCCCTTACACATATATTATGGAAACATTATGCCACTGTCTTGAAAGGACACTTGTCATGTAAAGGCGCCTGAGAAAAGAAATATAAAAGTGCACTTTATTGTCCCCATAGGGAAATTTGTCCTCTGCATTTGACCCATCCTGATGCCACTAAGGCTTCCGTCAGTTCGCCGTAGTACAGCGCCCGAGAACCCATCTCCTGAGGTTGATGCTCGGCTACAGACCTGTAGATTGCAGTAATGTAGAAGTAATAATAATATTCTCATGTATGTTTTTAATTTATTCATCTGAAGTGAATGACAAGTTAACAGCAGAAAATCTCTTGTAAAATAAGTAAATATTAAGTAAATAACAAACTAAATATAGTAATTATTAAAACAGGCCTATACTTAAATGTATTAAAATGCGAGTAAATATCAACCATTATTCCTTCACTTTCTCTTTTGTTGATACCGACTGTAACAAGAAAGAAAAACGTTTTGAGATCTACAGTATAGTTGGATGGCTTTCATTACATTATTATTATTATTATTTGTTTATTTGGTAGGGACAGAACAAGAAGCATTGTTACAGGAACCGATGCTGTGTTCATAGGCCGTATAGCTAACAGCTAGTTTGCAGACCTGGTCCCTAAAACCTAGAAATACATCACATTTACATTATACATACATCATTATATTAAAAAAAATAAGTAATAAGTTATACTAAATAATAAACAAAAATACAATACAAAATACAAACAAAAAAATAAAATACTATAAATGATTACAGTCTTGCATCAATTCATTGATTACATTGCATCAATTCAATTTAAATGTCATTTTTGTAAAGCCCTGAATCCCAGCAGTCGTCTCGGGGACTATAAAGCTGATGAAGCCAACTTTCAAACCACAAAAACGGAACAACTTCGTAATTTTATGATTCAACCTCTGTTTGTGTAAGCTCTCAGTCGTACAGGGATTAGTCAAGATGGGTGAGAAACCTTCCTTTGATTCAACCTCTGCTTCACTTACCTCTGGGGTCCCTGGATGCTGATCATGCCCATGTCTTCAGAGTGATCTTTGAGCTGGCAGCTAAAGCCTTGGTCTTGAAGAACGGAGGAGATGTGGTTCCAGTTGTGCTCGGCCACTCCACCTCCAACGGCAAGATAATAAGCATCACCTGGAGAAAGGAACCACAACGATTTGATTAGAGTCAAACTGTGTGAAGACCACAACAAAACCCAAGTATTTTTATGGTATTCTTATCCAACAATATGCAAGGCAAGTTTATTTATGTATAGCACAATTCATACACAAGGCAATTCAAAGTGCTGAACAAAACAAGAAAGCATTAAAATCATAAATAATCACAGTACATAAAAAAAATATATAAAAATATAAAATCCCTCAGTTGTAGCACAGCTAAACAGAACTGTCTTTAACCTGGTTTTAAACATTGTCAGAGAGGAGGCCTGTCTCACATCTTCAGGAAGACTGTTCCAGATTTTAGCAGCATGAATCTGAAAAGCAGCCTCCCCATGTTTAGTTCTGACTCTGGGCACTAACAGGAGTCCAGTCCCTGTGCTCCTCAGAGTCCCAGCAGGAGTCCAGTCCCTGTGCTCCTTAGAGTCCCAGCAGGAGTCCAGTCCCTGTGCTCCTCAGAGTCCCAGCAGGAGTCCAGTCCCTGTGCTCCTCAGAGTCCCAGCAGGAGTCCAGTCCCTGTGCTCCTCAGAGTCCCAGCAGGAGTCCAGTCCCTGTGCTCCTCAGAGTCTCAGCAGGAGTCCAGTCCCTGTGCTACTCAGAGTCCGGGCTGGTTCATATGGGACTAACATGTCACTAATATATTTTGGTGCGAGGCCATGGAGAGACTTGTAACAAGCAGAGCTGTTTTAAAGTCTATTCTCTGAGCCACAGGAAGCCAGTGCAGAGACCTGAGGACTGGACTAATGTCAATATGCAATTGAAAGAGTCATATTATGCTTTTGGGATGTATGTGCGTCATAGCCATTACATCAATGTCAACTCTTGTAACTTTTCTCCGCACGTGCAGAAATTGGGCAATGCAAAGGGCAGAGAAACAAACTCTCCACATTATCAGGCTGGCTTATTCATAAGTCAGACACACCAAATAACAAACTATGAAGAATGCCAAAGATTTGAGTATAGAGATCTTTTGTGCGTGTGATACTTTATAATGCGTTCTTGTGTTTAAATTATACATTCCAGAGGGCGCCGCTTCACCACCGCTTTTTAAATTCTAATATTGAAATGTAAATCTAATAGCATTTTGAATTAAGAAACGTCTATATGTAAGCCCCAAAAGGAGATTTTTGTGGTTTATATTGTTGAAGCAGTCCATGTCCTGTTAAAGAAGCCACAGACAAAACTTTACAAACTTTGTCTTGTTTACTCATGCTGTTGCTACTTCTCTGTTGGTCCCACAAAGTTTCAGTGAGTAGTTAGTTAATCAGTTATATTGACAGTTCTGTTAAGCTGTGTGTTAAGATGTTTTGAATGCACTAAAATTATCTGTGCGCAATTTTAATGTTTAATGTATGATAATCAACACAAGTCTAGATAAAAAGTGCATATCTCACCGTTGGATTCAGGAGCCAGAGGCAGATTAGCAGCTCCAGGCTCCAGGCGGCTCACAGTAAGATCGGCCTCAGAGCCTCCTTTCTTATTCAGCATACAGGTGTACACAGTAGACCCTGGACACATACAGGATATCAGTGTACAGGTGTACACAGTAGACCCTGGACACATACAGGATATCAGTGCACAGGTGTACACAGTAGACCCTGGACACATACAGGATATCAGTGTACAGGTGTACACAGACCCTGGACACATACAGGATATCAGTGTACAGGTGTACACAGTAGACCCTGGACACATACAGGATATCAGTGCACAGGTGTACACAGTAGACCCTGGACACATACAGGATATCAGTGCACAGGTGTACACAGTAGACCCTGGACACAGGATATCAGTGCACAGGTGTACACAGTAGACCTGTGTACACCTGTGCACTGATATCCTGTGCACAGGTGTACACAGGTCTACTGTGTACACCTGTGCACTGGTGTACAGGTGTACAGGTGTACACAGTAGACCCTGTACACCAGCGCACAGGTGTGTACACCTGTGCGCTGGTGTACAGGGTCTACTGTGTACACCTGTACACCAGTGCACAGGTGTACACAGTAGACCTGTGTACACCTGTGCACAGGATATCAGTACACAGTAGACCCTGGACACACACAGGATATCAGTGTACAGGTGTACACAGTAGACCCTGGACACACACAGGATATCAGTGCACAGGTGTACACAGTAGACCCTGGACACACACAGGATATCAGTGCACAGGTGTACACAGTAGACCCTGGACACACACAGGATATCAGTGTACAGGTGTACACAGTAGACCCTGGACACACACAGGATATCAGTGTACAGGTGTACACAGTAGACCCTGGACACACACAGGATATCAGTGCACAGGTGTACACAGTAGACCCTGGACACACACAGGATATCAGTGCACAGGTGTACACAGTAGACCCTGGACACACACAGGATATCAGTGTACAGGTGTACACAGTAGACCCTGGACACACACAGGATATCAGTGTACAGGTGTACACAGTAGACCCTGGACACACACAGGATATCAGTGCACAGGTGTACACAGTAGACCCTGGACACACACAGGATATCAGTGCACAGGTGTACACAGTAGACCCTGGACACACACAGGATATCAGTGCACAGGTGTACACAGTAGACCCTGGACACACACAGGATATCAGTGTACAGGTGTACACAGTAGACCCTGGACACACACAGGATATCAGTGTACAGGTGTACACAGTAGACCCTGGACACACACAGGATATCAGTGTACAGGTGTACACAGTAGACCCTGGACACACACAGGATATCAGTGCACAGGTGTACACAGTAGACCCTGGACACACACAGGATATCAGTGCACAGGTGTACACAGTAGACCCTGGACACACACAGGATATCAGTGCACAGGTGTACACAGTAGACCCTGGACACACACAGGATATCAGTGCACAGGTGTACACAGTAGACCCTGGACACACACAGGATATCAGTGTACAGGTGTACACAGTAGACCCTGGACACACACAGGATATCAGTGTACAGGTGTACACAGTAGACCCTGGACACACACAGGATATCAGTGCACAGGTGTACACAGTAGACCCTGGACACACACAGGATATCAGTGCACAGGTGTACACAGTAGACCCTGGACACACACAGGATATCAGTGCACAGGTGTACACAGTAGACCCTGGACACACACAGGATATCAGTGCACAGGTGTACACAGTAGACCCTGGACACACACAGGATATCAGTGTACAGGTGTACACAGTAGACCCTGGACACACACAGGATATCAGTGTACAGGTGTACACAGTAGACCCTGGACACACACAGGATATCAGTGCACAGGTGTACACAGTAGACCCTGGACACACACAGGATATCAGTGCACAGGTGTACACAGTAGACCCTGGACACACACAGGATATCAGTGCACAGGTGTACACAGTAGACCCTGGACACACACAGGATATCAGTGCACAGGTGTACACAGTAGACCCTGGACACACACAGGATATCAGTGCACAGGTGTACACAGTAGACCCTGGACACACACAGGATATCAGTGCACAGGTGTACACAGTAGACCCTGGACACACACAGGATATCAGTGCACAGGTGTACACAGTAGACCCTGGACACACACAGGATATCAGTGCACAGGTGTACACAGTAGACCCTGGACACAGGATATCAGTGCACAGGTGTACACAGTAGACCCTGGACACACACAGGATATCAGTGCACAGGTGTACACAGTAGACCCTGGACACAGGATATCAGTGCTGCCCAGACCGCAGAAGATTACACGGTCTACATACCAAAAAGACACGTTATAAAAGATGCGTTTGTTTGTGGTTATTTTAGTTTTAAGACAGAAAACACTTAATTTTAATAAAAATAGCAAACAAAATTAGAAATGGGTCATCAGAACAAATTAACTTTGTAAAAATTACCCATGATCACATTACTGAGATTGTATTGGGAACAAGGGTTACATTTCAAGAATCTGTTGTGTCAGAATAACTGAAGAGTGTTGAGGTTTCAGATGGTTCTCTTCACTCTCTCTGTGTCAGTGAGACCACAGAATGCAGCAGAGCAATATCATAAACACACCAGAGTAAAATATAATGACTTTATACTAAAGGGCTAGGATTATTTGTTATGGTGCATATAACAAAATATTTAGGACAATTTAGTTGGAAGTCCACCTCTAAAAAATGAGCTTCAGGACCACTCAGCCTTCTACTGTTCTGCTTCCAGCGTCAATGAAAATACAGAGCCGGTGTAACAGGCCATTTTATACCCCCTGCCCAGTTCATACCCCGGGTATTTTAACCCCCCTTAGGCCAGATTAACCCCCCTCTTGTTTTATCTAATACATTTTTTAATTTTTTTACTTCAACATTATTTTAAATAATTTATAAGTAGTTTGTTTGTTAATTACTCTGTAGCTCCAATTAGTGTGATTGCTTTACACTTGATGATGAGGTAATGTATCTATTTACTTCTCACATGAAACTCTTAGAACTTTAGAGTAGATTAGTTATGATCAAATGGATGATGCTCCGGGACTTTGAGCGTGTATCAAAACAGCCGGTCACCGTTTGTGCTGTGATTGGTGTTGAGTGATGAGACTTGACAATATGGTATGTCAGCATTTAGATATTGTTTTGCATAATTGATTTCTAACAATACTTTGTTTTATAGTATAGAACAGTTTATTTCATAAATTATATATTTTCCCTAAATGTATTTTGTAAGAAATAAAGTAATTAATAAAATATTGCTTGTATTTTATTGTTATTATATAAAATGAAAGGGGGGTCAATCTGGACTATGGGGGGTTAATCTGGACTATGGGGGGTTAAACTGGCCTAGGCCATTTTACATCCGGGTATATTCTGGCGGGGAGTTAAACTCGTTTGCTACACCGGCATTAGCCGTTAACCAGCTACATAAACAGACTCTGCCGGGCCTGCATGGGGAAAGTACCAATGGTTCTGAGCAGTGACAGTGAGGAAGTGATGTACATGTTGGTTACATCACAATTTTAATTGGTACAAATATTTCCCTAAATTAATACCTTAAAGAGAAGAATGAACAAAACGACATTGCATTCAAAACATAAACTGTATTTTAAAGGATATTTTGTTAATTGCACAAAAAAGCGCTTACATTTGTCTTGATATGAGAATATTTGACACAAAACGCTTCAAATGTAACTCCTTATTCACCCAATACAAGGGCCAAGCTAAAACGTACCAACTTCTGTATTAACTCATTGCCTGCCAGCCTATTTCAGAACAGGTACTCCCATATTGCCAGCCGTTTCTGATGATTTTTATAGATTTTTCAAGACCCACAGAATATTGTGTACTATGACTATCTGAAATCCAAAACCATGAAAGAATGGACTGTCTACTTTCATCAGCAAAAAGAATTTTGTTTCTAGCTTGTTTCATTCCCCTGTAATCCCCAGTCGAATAGAGGGAAGTTTTACTGAAATCACCAGAAAGCTGAGAAAAAAGAGGCACAACATGTGCATCTAACTGTTTTCAAACCATTCATAGAGCAATGCTGCCACCTGCTGGCTCGATAAAATATTGCTTCAAGCCAATCCCCATACATATTAGATACAATAGACATCTGGGAACGTGAAAAAATCGGGACAACGTTACTATTTGGTTTGACGTGTTAACACGTCAATGGCGGTCAATGAGTTAACAATTGTGTCACGTGCAAAGAATACAACCATTAAAAAAAAACAAAAAAAATTGATTTATCTGGCAGCCCTCTAGTTCTTTCAGAGGCAATGTCACCTGATAATCGTTCCAGACCTAAGCTTCCGGCTGCAACAGGAGGTACCTGGTTTTTTGTTGACATCCGCAGTGAATAACCAATCGGCTGCTTTTTTAGCATCAGGCCCAGTGAGGTAGAACTTCCCAAAATAGGACATGTTGAACACAGCCACACCGTTTCTACAGGAAAGGCACTCGCTTTTAATCTAGAAAACAGAATTAAATAAAACAAAGATCAGTGTATTATCGGAGCCGTGCTCAATTTAGAAATGGATTATACCAATCAGAACAGAAGGAGAATTTTCTTACCACGTCATGATGTGGAGGGAAGCCAAATGTGTATTCTTTTCCCAGTAGGTCATTGTATTTGTAGTTTACATTTTTCGGAGTATCATATGCACCGTAGTAATCATAGTCTTTGACCTGTATACATAAAGAATATACATTTGTATATTTCTTATCAATAAATGCTGCAGATAACTTGCTTTAAAACATCATTTGGCTTTGGAGCAAGTCTACAATCAGCAGCAGAACCTCATGGCATTCACTGCTGACCAAAATAGAATCAGTAATAAGTATATTTTAGGGCGGTCAAAATTATCGCGTTAATTAAATCTTTCATTAATGTGTTAATAAAAAATTACGCGGTTAACGCATGTCCGAATGATCAACCCATGTATCCCATAATATCGCTCAGAACGCCGCAGACACTTGCGTGTGTGAGATGGCAACAGAGCAGGTCTCTGGGAATTCAAGTTTTAAAAGAATATGCGTGTGACCGCAGGGACTTGCTGTGGCCGCAGCGTTTGGCGCCGCAAATGGCGCCGTGTTGACGTGGTCATATCCACGTGGCGACAGTAGCTCAGTTGGTAGAGCATTGGCCATTGGCCAGAAGGTTGTGGGTTCGAGCCCACCACAAGACTTTCTCCACCGACTCCCACTGACTTGTCCTTGGCAAAACACTCTGGGAACAGCAGGTGCCACAGTGAGGCGGCTGCAGCTGAAAAGTTCTAAACTGTGTCCTTAGGCAAGACACTTCACCCCCATTGCCTAGAATGAGTCTGGTGTGAGTGAATGGTTGGTGGTGGTGGGAGGGGCCGATGGCACAGACTCGCTTCTGTCAGTGTGCCCCAGGGCAGCTGTGGCTACAGTAGTAGTTCATCACTACCGTGTTTGGAGAGAAAGAATAATGACATGTGAAGCATCTTTGAGTGTCCAGAAAAGCGCTATATAAAACCGATGCATTATTATTATTGTTATTATCCAAGACCATACACACACAGAACTATTCTCTGCATGTTGTGTGCGTGTCTTTGTGTAACCTGTGCATAACCTGTGTACGCAAATACACAGCTCCGTGTCTCCTCCTGAAACGCAACTAAACTCGCAACTAATCAAAGCTGGGATACGTCAATTTTCCCTTTCACAGTAATGTTGGTTGTGCCCAAAGGCAAAAGGTTGTAAGGTAAAGGTGCACTTTACTGATCCCCGTAGGGCAATTCATCCTCTGCATTTGACCCATCCTGATGCCACTAAGGCTTACGTCAGGAGCAGTGGTCGCCGTAGTAACAGCGCCCGGGAACCCTTCTCCAGATGTTGATGCTCGGCTTGGTCAAGACGACCAGAGCTGGAGGATTTAACCTAGTGTATGTTTTAGTGGTAGGGGAAACCGGAGCACCCAGAGGAAACCTACACTCAACCACCGTGCCGCCCACGGAGCAAATCAAACAGATTAAAGTACATTTGGTATGAATGACAATGTGTTATTACATTTGATAATCTCATTTAACTTCATTTGGAGAGGATTTGAAATAGAATGTAAAAAAGTTTGTAAAAGTAAACTCACCATTACAATTAGATTAATCAACTAAAAAATTTTAATCGTTTGACAGCCCAAGTATACAGTATTTATTTCTTGCCTCAATTCTCTATACCTCTCATTTCATAGTTTTACTAAGTTGTTTGTGCAGCTTCCAGCCCCAGGTCAAGTATTGGAGGTTGTGTTAGGTTTATGAGCTTGTATTCCATAATTATTCAGCCATCATGTGTTTCCCGGGTCCAAAATCTGCTTTTAGGCCTTCAGAAGCAACAGTCCCCGGCCCATGGTAGCTAAGACAGCACGACAACTAACCTGAGGCATTGACCAATCAGCGTCAATGTTAGCTTCTTTAAGGGCCAGCAGGCGTACATGTCTTTAGCTTGGATACGTGATAGAGAGACATCAAGGCAGATGTGTCAATGTCATGAACAGAAACATAAACTACATTGCTAATTTGTTTAGCGCGACAAGTTTTTGTTTTCTAAAAGTTAGACACTCTTATGAGAGACCTGCCGACTTCAGAAAGCGTGACCAAGTAGGAGAAACTATTCATTCACCGTTATGTCTGGTCCCTCTGACTGCAGGCTCAAAGAAGCATTGCAAATTATCTCCTAGTTAATAGTTTATTCTGTCGGTATGATACTTGTGACTCTGCTCTGAATTCGACGGGTTGATTATTTTTCTTTACAGTGTGCCGTGCTCCGTTTTATGAAGAAACTGTTGGTGAAGAAAATAAAACTCAGACTAAAATATTGTTAATTATGTTAAGGTGATGCAACTGGTTCGGTATAAATGCATAATGTGTGGAGTCATGGTATTAGGGTTAGGGTTACAATTATGGTGTTAAAAGGTGGATAAATTGGGTCTGAAGTGCACGATCCGCCACTGTATGAAATGCATTAGTTTAATAAGTACAAAAGTACAAAATACGTCACACTTTATTTCTAAATTAAATGAACTATAGTTTTATGAATCAGCAGTGAACATGATTACCAATCCAGACTATGTGAAACTTACAGGTGCCGGTCCATCCGTGTTGAACCAGCCCGGTCTCTCCCAGCCGTGTCTCTCCTGGAACACACAGCCCTGCTCCGTCAGCACCTGCAAGCAAGAAAACCACTGCATATAATTCACATTTTTAGCTTACATTTTGAGATGATTTTGTTTTGGTAAATCATATGAGACGTATGAAGATTGAAAGTATTTAGAACTAAGCACACATAAATCCTTTCTTTTGACACAATATTAACCTAACGATGCGTATCATTACCCAGTCAAGAGCTAATGAGTGTGTGTAGACGGTTCACCATTTCATCATAACTTATTTCAAAAATGTCTTTGATGGGAAAAGACATTTCCAGTGCTTTTTGAAACATGGCAAAAAAAATACAAATATTTGGGCCAAACCAAAGCTCAACATCAGGGCATGACTAGGTATGAATTCTCTGGCAGTATTTGAGTGAGATTGTTGAGGACACAGACGATAAGATTCTCTTGGGCTGAGAAGAGGAGCAGCGCGAACATGCAGCCAGGAAATCAATACAACTGTTTCAATTTGATTTGAAGCAAATGGAATCCCATTGATTGTGCAAATTAACAACACTTAATCAGATACAGTGAACTGTGTTCATGATGCACAACAATGACATTTTGCACACGTACTTTGTCAATTTATTCACATAATATATTGTATTTTCATCCTGGCTCTGGTTGTTGTTAAATGGACCGCCGGCCACAGTTGGTAGGTTTGCTCGGTTCTGCTATGTTCCGATCTGGCTCTATGTCTGCTGCCAGGACTTCCCACACAGTCTATATTTACGCGCGGTGGTGCTGCGGTGGAGAAGGCGTGTGAGCTGTTTGTCTACTGAAATAAACACAGGACATGTGCGGCTTAAGTGCAGTTCTCATTATTCTACAGAGATTTGTTCCTCTGTGGATTAGGGCACTTATACGAGCAGACTCGGTCATAACATGAGCCCTGATGATTACCGGTTCCTCTAAACAAAAGCTTTGTTATAAAAGGAAAAGTATTTAAGTTTAGGCTACATTTTCCCCTCCTAATTAGTTCAATAGGTTGTCAAAATGATTGAAGAGATCTTAAAATAGAAAAACAGTATTGAAACTAGATAAGACAGTATTGAAACTTTTCCCACAGTGCAACACATTATACAGAATTGTATTCATTCTGTATAATGTGTTGCACTGTAGTGTATAATGTCTTGCACTGTAGGGAAAAGCTCAACCAAGGACAGGAGTTGAAAATTAGCATTAGCGACACACTCTGTATCGCATCAGCTGCATCTTTCATAATGTAACTATGTATGACTAAATTGTCCCCGTCAAAAAATAAAATAAAATAAAAAATAAGCACTAAGATCACAAGACACAAATGACCTCTCAAGAGCAAGTATCACATGTATCGTCCAATTAGAAAAGCTATTATTGATTGAGCTTATGTCCAAATAATGTTGTAAATGGTATTGTTGTGACATCACCAGAGGAAAATAGACGTATAGTCTATAGTAAATAGATGTATGTACAGTAAGTATCAAGACTAGATCAGGTGATTCCTGAAGGGAGAAAAATAAGTTTGTGTTTGTATTATACCGAGCGGGGGGACACATGAGATTATGAACACACTTTCAGAACTATCAGGGCTGGAATTTCAATCAACAAAAGTTCACTTTACTCTAAAAGTTTGTAAAGCAAAAGAATGACAGATCAGGTCACAAGTCGTGCTGAAGCCTGGACGATGGACTGATCATTTCACATTATTTCACTAGAAGCACCGAAAAAGGTGAAGTACAAACAAAAGGGTTATAAATCATGAAGTGGCTGAATCGGACGAACAGCTGACACCGATTATTGGAGTAACCTAGTTCAACATCTCCTGTGGAGTTATTCAAGGCCTCCCTCGGTCTCCGAACAGGAGCATCAGGTCTTCCTTGGAGGAGCAGCAACTCCAAGACCTTTTACTAGTGAATCATCATCATCTAGAGTTTAGGAAAAGTGCCAACAAGATTTTCACCATTCCATGCTCCATCTGAAACAGTGGTCACAGTATTCTTTCAATTATGTTATGAAAAGTAATTGACACAAAACGTAAACATTGTCAAAAAAAGTGACAAATGAGAAATACCCTTTTTAACCGGAGTCATTAACAAAAGAGAGTGAATGAATAATTCCCCACATTAAACTACTGCTGTAGCCACAGTTGCCCTGAGAAGGTAACTAATCTGTGCCATTGGTTCCTACGACCCCCTACCAGTCATTCACGCACACACTGGACTCAAACTAGTGTGGTTGAGGTTAACACAAAACTGTACTTGTTACCAGCAAGAAGGCTGAAAAGCTGGATGGAATGTCTGATCTGCAGGTTGCCCATAATATCCTCACTTTAATCACACTAAAATACTAATCTAAATCAAAACAGCTGCAAACACAAGGAAGATGCTTACCAAATTTTCAATAATCTAAATAACCACCACTTCCTATGCCCTACACCAGATTTTCATTCCCATGCGACCCAATCTACATCATCAGTGCCATTTATATCATCCCTTTGACTCGGCTCAATTCATAATCAGGGGTAAAAAACTCTGAGCAGAAACTGGCTTAATTATGCAAAGACGACGAAACGAAATTAAACAAGCTTCTCCAGATACACTTGCAAACAAAATAACAACCTCACTAACGCGTGTGTGCTGACAGTGCCCTGTTCGGAAAGAATGGAGCAGAGAAAGCCTGTTGTCAAAGGTAAATGGAGTAGAGGGACTGGAAATCAAGGCTAAGTAGATCATTAATGTGTAAAATATAGCGGCAAGGCCCATTAGGATTTGGAGCCAACTGAGAGCCATCTCAGGCAATAGCCACTAGCACTAAGTGTATCGTTTGTAGTGATGTTGGCTCGGCCGCCTGATGAAACGGAGCCAACTGTGTGCACCTTATCAACTGTATGATCCTGGAGCAGATAGAGGACACTTGGACCGGGTGAAGAAAACAGCTAAAACACACTCTTTAATCCCATAATATAGACATTGTATAATATTGTATCTTTAAAAAGGTGCATTGGTTAACTCTCCTGGTATTGGCCTGCTTTTTGATTGGGTTCATCTAAATCTTGTTGTTTTTCCTATCAAACAATTTGTTATCACATTGGAAACAAGCATGAGACTTCACTCAGCCAAGTTACATATATATATATATATATATATATATATATATATATATATATACATGTTTTAAACCAAACTGAGCAACATTTAAACCAAAATGCCTAATGCAAGAAGCAGGTATTGAACCGCTTTACAGAAAGTAGGACTAGGCAATATGGCAAAAAAGTAAAATCTCGATCTTATTTCCTGCTATGGACAATTTTGATTTTAAATTGATCACAGAAGACAGACTTTCCCTTAGAAATATGTTTTGATCTTTCCGCTCAATAATCAAATTTTAAAACTATTTTTTATTTGTTTCCCCCAATACCTATTATGGTATTTTTGGGTAACAAAAAAATATGTTTTGAAAATAGTCCAGGGTTTTTCAGCTGAATTAGACTAATGTTGATGCTCTGAGTCTGAAAATGACCTTGGTTTTGCTCAATCAGGTCAGGATTTTTTGCTAGAAGAATATTTTTTTTAATTGATTTTGCGTAAAAAATTTCTGCGGATCATCAGCTGAGAAACCCTTGATGTTTTTTCCGTTTTCCTCAAGAAATAAAAGTCAACGTATCCAAAGTCATTCAGTTTTTATTTACTCCATCAAATTTGATAAGCAGAATTCATAATAACGTAGACGTACATAATCCGTAACACTATGGCTGTATCTCAAAAAGTTGACCTGATAGAGACAAATGCATGTGATATTCGGACTCAGAACACCAACATTAGTCTGAATCAGTTGAGAAACTCCTGACCATTTTTTGGCTGTCAACTTGTGTTATAAAAGTATCATGTACAGACTGTGCTGATATAAGTTTAATTCATATGCTGCTGGAACACAATATCCTTCAATCAATAAATCACAATATCCTTCATTCGATTTCCTGAATTCGATTTATTTCCCAGCCCTGACAGAAAGAGGGTCATCAGCAGAAAAGTTGAGGATTGCAATCTGTAATATTAGGCGTTTGTTTCGCTGTAAACAAAACCTTTTTGACAATAAAATATATGTTTAAATGTTGCGATGCCACCACGTTAAGGTGGCAGTCCAACTCCCCCCCTGGACTGCCACCTTAACGTGGTGGGGGAGTTTGAGTACTCGGATGATCCTGGGAGCTATGCTGTCTGGGGCTTCATGCCCCTGGTAGGGTCTCCCATGGCAGACAGGTCTCAGGTGACTAGTCAGACGAAGAGCGGTCCAAAAACCACCATGGACAGCACTAAAATGAGACCAGTGACGTCGCCCGGCATGGCACAGCCGGGGCCCCACCCTGGAGCCAGGCCTGGGGTTGGGGCTCGTATGCGAGCGCCTGGTGGCCGGGCCTTAGCCCACGGGGCCCGGCCGGGCTCAGCCCACGGGGCCCGGCCGGGCTCAGCCCGAAGGGATGACGTGGGCAGTCCCTCCTGTGGGCCCACCACCTGCAGAGGGGTCCGTGGCGAAGCGGTGCAGAGAGGACTGGGCGGCAGTCGAAGGCGGAGACCTCGGCGACCCAGTCCACACACACAACAGCTGGCTCTTGGGACGTGGAACGTCACCTCACTGGGGGGGAAGGAGCCCGAGCTCGTGGGGAAGGTCGAGCGATACCGACTAGAGATAGTCGGCCTCACCTCCACACACAGCTTGGGCTCTGGAACCCAACTCCTTGCGAGGGGTTGACGCTCCACTTTTCTGCAGTTTCCCGCGGGGAGAGGCGGCGAGCTGGGGTGGCCATTCTCATTGCCCCCCATCTCAGCCGCCACGTGTTGGAGTTCTCCCCGGTGAATGAGAGGGTCGCGTCCCTCCGCCTCCGGGTGGGGGACAAGTCTCTCACTGTTGTGACGGCCTACGGGCCTAACAGCAGTGCAGAGTACCCGGCCTTCTCTGAGTCCTTGGGAGGGGTACCGGACGGTGCACCAACCGGGGACTCCGTTATTCTCCTGGGGGACTTCAACGCCCATGTGGGAAATGCCAGTGACACTTGGAGAGGGGTGATCGGGAAGAACGGCCCCGCTGATCTGAACCCGAGCGGTGTTCTGTTGTTGGACTTCTGTGCCAGTCACGGTTTGTCCATCACGAACACCATGTTCGAGCACAAGGGTGTCCACCAGTGCACGTGGCACCAGGACACCCTAGGCCGGAGGTCGATGATCGACTTTGTTGTCGTATCATCTGACCTTCGACCGCGTGTCTCGGACACTCGGGTAAAGAGCGGGGCGAAGCTGTCAACCGATCATCACCTGGTCGTGAGTTGGATCCGCTGGCAGGGGCCGGTCAGACCTGGCAGACCCAAGCGTATAGTGAGGGTCTGCTGGGAACGTCTCGCTGAGACCCCTGTCAGACGGATTTTCAACTCGCACCTCCGGGAGAGCTTCTCCCAGGTCCCGGCGGAGGAGGGGGATATTGAGTCTGAGTGGACCATGTTCTCTTCCTCTATCGCCGATGCGGCGGCTCGTAGCTGTGGTCGCAAGGTCTCTGGTGCTGGTCCCGGCGGCAACCCCCGAACCCGGTGGTGGACACCGGCAGTAAGGGATGCCGTCAGGCTGAAGAAGGAGTCCTATCGAGCCATGATGGTTCGGGGGACTCCTGAGGCAGCTGTCCAGTACCGGCAGGCCAAGCGTGCCGCGGCCCGGGCTGTTGCAGAGGCAAAAACCCGGGTCTGGGAGGAGTTCGGAGAGTCCATGGAGCATGGCTATCGGTCGGCCTCAAAGAGATTCTGGCAAACCGTCCGGCGCCTCAGGAGGGGGAAGCAGTGCTTTGCCAACACCGTTTATGGTGGGGATGGAGAGCTGCTGACCTCGACTGGGGATGTTGTCGGGCGGTGGAAGGAATACTTTGAGGTTCTCCTCAATCCCCCCGTCACGTCCTCGGTTACAGAGGCAGAGGCTGAGGATGTTGGGGCGGATACATCCATCTCCCTGGTTGAGGTCACCAAGGTGGTTGGCAGCCTCCATGGTGGCAAGGCTCCGGGAGTGGATGAGATCCGTCCTGACTATCTAAAGTCTCTGGATGTTGTAGGACTGTCTTGGCTGACACGTCTCTGCAACATCGCGTGGCGATCGGGGGCGGTGCCAATGGAGTGGCAGACTGGGGTGGTGGTCCCTCTCTACAAGAAGGGGGACCGGAGGGTGTGTTCCAATTATCGTGGGACCACACTCCTCAGCCTCCCTGGCAAGGTTTACTCCAAGGTACTGGAGAGGAGGCTACGGCCGATGGTCGAATCTCGGATCCAGGAGGAGCAGTGTGGTTTTCGTCCCGGTCGCGGAACACTGGACCAGCTCTATACTCTCCATCGGATACTCGAGGGTTCATGGGAGTTCGCCCAACCTGTCCACATGTGCTTTGTGGATTTGGAGAAGGCGTTCGACTGTGTTCCCCGGGGTGCCCTTTGGGGGGTTCTCCGGGAGTACGGGGTCCTCTGCTGAGGGCCGTTCGGTCCCTGTATGACCGGAGCCAGAGCTGCGTGCGCATTGCCGGCAGTAAGTCAGACCTGTTCCCGGTGCATGTTGGCCTCCGCCAGGGCTGCCCTTTGTCACCGGTTCTGTTCACTGTATTCATGGACAGAATTTCTAGGCGCAGCCAGGGGCCGGAGGGGGTCCGGTTTGAGGACCACAGGATTTCATCTCTGCTGTTTGCGGACGATGTTGTCCTGTTGGCTCCAACAAACCAGGACCTACAACATGCACTGGGACGGTTTGCAGCCGAGTGTGAAGCGGCTGGGATGAGAATCAGCACCTCCAAATCTGAGGCCATGGTGCTCGACCGGAAAAAGGTGCCTTGCCCTCTGCAGGTGGGTGGAGAGGTCCTTCCTCAAGTGGAGCAGTTCAAGTATCTCGGGGTCTTGTTCACGAGTGAGGGAAGGATGGAGCGTGAGATTGACAGGCGGATCGGTGCAGCGTGCGCAGTGATGCGGTCGCTGTATCGGACCGTCGTGGTAAAGAGGGAGCTGAGCCGAAAGGCAAAGCTCTCGATTTACCGGTCAATCTTCGTTCCCTCCCTCACCTATGGTCATGAGCTGTGGGTAATGACCGAAAGAACGAGAGCGCAGATACAAGCGGTCGAAATGAGCTTCCTCCGCAGAGTGGCTGGGCGCTCCCTTAGAGATAGGGTGAGGAGCTCGGTCATACGGGAGGAGCTCGGAGTAGAGCCGCTGCTACTCCACGTCGAGAGGAACCAGTTGAGGTGGCTCGGGCATCTGTTCCGGATGCCTCCTGGACGCCTCCCTGGGGAGGTGTTCCGGGCACGTCCCACCGGGAGGAGGCCCCGGGGAAGACCCAGGACACGCTGGAGGGACTATGTCTCTCAGCTGGCCTGGGAACGCCTTGGGGTCCCCCCGGACGAGCTGGAGGAGGTGTGTGTGGATAGGGAAGTCTGGGCGTCTCTGCTTAGACTGCTGCCCCCGCGACCCGGCAACGGATGAAGCGGAAGAAAACGGACGGACGGACGGATGTTGCGATGATGAGACCAACCAAACGCATCGTTGCATGAATTCTTTGAACTATAACTTAAGTAGAGACAATGCTAGAATACAGGCAATGACACAAGGAAGAGAAACAAGCCAATGCCAATGAATGAGTTAAATATGAGTCAAAGAAGCAAGAAAAACACAACAACCGCGACTCAACCATTGTGAAAAGAGTCAGTCTCATTTGTCTAAAGAAAAGTGTCAATAACTACAACATTTGCTTTCCTTTGTAACTACGAACCAAGAAATGTGGTACAAAACCTCATCATTTTTTAAGTAAGTCTCATTTACAAGACATTTCACCTGTATGAGAAAAAAAGTTATGTTCTTTAGCTGTAATAGAGAATGTATTGAATTGGGTCAACACTTAATGGATTCAGGACATTATTTTCTTCCAATCTCCCTTTAAATATTTAGATCAGCAAAGCAAATCAGCTCTCTGCCTAAAGTATCAAATAGTGATTCACAGGGCGAAGTGTTTTAATAAAAATTAAAACAACCTTTTGTGATTTGTTCACCATATTTTACTTTTGGGTACCCCAGCTTTAATTTTGTGGGTTTCAGAAGAGGTTTAGGGGTAGACACAGCGCAAAACAGGCAAACTTCCCGGGACTCCCAAAATCCAGGTCTGCTTTTTGCAGCCTCAATTCTCAGGGTGTATCTGAGCATGGTTGAGCAGTGAACAGCACTCCTGGGTTCGAATCCACCTCCAGGACCTTTCTGTTCTCTCTGATACAGTAGGTTTCCTCTGGGTTTCTCCTACCTCTAAAAACAAGTACAATAGATGAGGGTTGAATAAGTATCAGTGACTGAGGGACTACCGATGGAAATTAGTTACATAGCTACAATCTGGTGTATATAAAGCTGATGCTTTTATTAAAGCTTATTTAAAGCTAATCCTTGATATGGCTGATCTAAATAAATACATGTAAATGAATACAAATACGAAATATATGTTCAGTCTGTGCAGTCTTTCTGTGCATCTCCAGCAGTGCAAATCTCCAGGGGTGGATCTGGAGCAGACACAGCAGCCATTTCCCCGGAGGAGCCCGATGGTGTGGAATCCTGTTCTAGTACGCACTGTACAGCAAGAAAATTCCCCGGAGGGCCTCATGCTCACCCTGGCTTTGCACCACGCCCCCTAGTATTTGGTAAGGACCGAGTTAATGTTTTATCACCAATAGTAGATACAGAAGACAAACAGGGAAACTGTCCCTGCTCTGACTCCAGTCTTACTGCACCTTATGAAAGGGGTCTTTCCTCATGTTGCGACTGGCCAGCGGCTCATCAAAGGGAAACACGACTGAGTAGTTTTTGGCGTAGGACTCGTGGCTGCGCTCTCTAATCCACCGATTATTATTCGTCAGTGAATGATGGAAACGCCTGCAAAAGAGCAGAGATTTTAAAAAGATACACATTTATAACGGCAGAAATTCCCCATTAATCAGAAAGCGAGATGTATAAACCACACCCCTATGTTACTTAATGGAACCAACCTGATGTCATACCCGTACATGTCCTTCTCTGGGCGCCCGTGAATAATCCAGTGTGCAAGCTCCCGTCCACAGCCACCACCCAGCATCATCCCTGCAATAAAAGAATGAAACAGGCATACACTGGGTAAATTATAATAATATACTTCGAGGTATGAACCTATACAGTATATTTCACAAGAGTAACTATTGGTGGGATATCAAACAGCTATGACGACAGCTTTTGGAATAAATGAAAATGGTAATGCCCCTTTTATCAACAATTTATGCTCTGTATAGTGATTAGGTAGAATTACAGCTCTGTAAGTCCTGACCAAGCCGAGCATCAACATCTGGAGATGGGTTCCCTGGCGCTGTTACTACGACGACCACTGCTCCTGACGTAAGCCTTGGTGGCCTCAGGATGGGTCAAACGCAGAGGATGAATTGCCCTACGGGAATTAATAAAGTGCAACTTTATCTTTACCTTGACTTTTTGGTTCCTCAGGGGCCTTTATATGCCCTTTAAAGGCACACCGCGGACTTTGTGACCTAAAGAGTTGACACATATGAGTTATTTTATATGAATACTTGGGCCAATATACAGCGCTTGACACTTGCAATGCTCCGAGCGGGGCTGCCCTCTTGAAATACCGCCCATGTAAGTTTTGAGCAGACGGACCGTCTGCCACCAGGTCACGTGACTTGGAAGAAAGACTTGCTTTACGGCTACAGGCGCTGATATACTCATGGAGCTAAGGCTTTTGCTACTCATTTTTCACCTGCTCGACTCCTGGTCATGGCTGAGGCAAGGAAAAAATTTAAACCTTCGGAGGAGGCTAAAAAGAGGAAACGCGAAAGGGATCGTGCTGTAAGCTGCATGTCTGTATGAGCGCTGCTCTTCACCTGGTTCCTGGATGTCATCGACTGCAAAGATGTCATTCCACGCAGCACGAGCTAGACGCAGAACTCCCTCATCCAGGATATAGAAGTCCATGTGTGGTAGATTACTAATGCAGCGGTCTGGAGGCTGACCACAGCAGAGTCTCTCAATATCTGTAGGCATGTCTCTACAGTTTGAACACACACACCAGTGCATGCTGTCTGAATACACACTCAAAAGACACCGGCTGACTGTTTGTTGACTTTTGCGACAGTGCTGAGTTGCTTGTGGCCACTAGGGGCGCTAAACGTGAAAGTTGCAGGTCTAGCGCCCCTAGTGGCCAAGAGTTACACGGTGTGCCTTTAAGGCTACTAAATTCTAAATGCAAAACCCTCGACTAAAAACAATACTTCTGTCACAAACAGCAAAGACTAAACTAAATCATTCCAAAACTAAAAATACATAATGCTCAAAATCATATTTTCTAATAAGTTATTTCATTACTCGGTTTACATCTTGTTCTATTCTCTAGATGTTTTGAACACGACATTCTGTCTTAGTGGATTGACCCTTGTTTGACCATGTGGACCATAACTTAGAGCTGCCCTTGAGGAAGATGATCTCATCCAAAGCAATTCAAGCAATTTACGCTTCATATATTCCAGACACGCACTCACAAAGCTTATTCTAAGAAACCTCTTTATATTTTCATGTATTGCAATAATGTATATTTGAGAAAATGCATTTATATGGTTTAAACAATTTTTTTTAGAGTGCAGTTTCCTTGCAATCTTCCCCATTCTCCTTATCCCTCTTCAGTTTAGCTGCTGTCAGTGTGAGCCATGACGTGGGGGATGCATGCCCTAACAGAGGGAGGAGGAGGTGGGAGGAAGTGATGGAGTTGTCCTGAGACAAAGTGAAGACACTCAGAGCATCAGAGGTGACACTGATGAATGTCAGGGGAGATAACAGCCACAATGTGAACCATTTCCTCCTGTCGCTCCAGTGCTACATACTACAGGCTGTGTTAAATGCTCTACTGTAACGTGTGGTCAGGTGAGGTAGGGGAGACCCTCACTTACAATCATGGAAAGAAAAAAGAATAACATTAAAACAATAATACTTGGCCATGATATCAGGTGATTTGTGTTATTGTATTATTTCAAAATAATTTCGAAATTGTCAAATATGAGACAAATATGAAAAATAATAAAGATCGGATTTTGAGGGGATTTTAGTGTCCCTTGTCATCCTGAACTTCTTTTCTTCTTAAATCCTTTGGTTTTCTATAAATCCACACTTTACTGCCACAAACTCTGCTCCTTTTCTTCCCGCTTTGGCTCTGCTCCAATCACCAACTGATTGGTCAAAACGTGGCCGAGCCCCTCTGTGCACGTGCATGAGAACCACACACGTGTATTTGGCGCAACGCATCATGGGAGCTCGTCCACTGCACAGAACCGTGAGGTCCAGACGATGGGCAAATATAGCAGAGTTCCGCTAATCTCCCGGTCCCCGTGAAGTCCCATGCGGTACTGAGCACTAGTCATTCATTTGAATAGGGCGCCATCTTGGATCACCGGGGCTTGCTCATCCTCCACTCCCCACCACTACGACCCTCATCTGGGCTTTAGAAGCATGCTCTGGCCCACCACTCTCAACCGTGCCTAAGCCCAGTTGCCGCGGTCACATAGCACCTACAGTAAATAGGTATCTAATTGCGAAGTGGGCCTAGGCCCACTTTAACCAGGCTTCAGGCTGAGCATGTGACCGCTGCCTTAGATTACTCTCATTGTATCTATGACTTTCAGATGTAAAACATTTTCTCAACAGCTAGTTTAGACCAATACAGTGACATCTATTCTGTGTTTTTGGTCATGGTAATACTGACCAAATAAAAATTGATCTCTAAAGAGCAAAAAAAGAGACTAAGATTATATGTGACATCTCTATTTTGCAAAACAGACTATTTGTGAAAGGCCAGACAGAATTACAACAAAGGGAAACATAAATTGGGAGGAGCCTGGATAAAGAGTAGAATCTGAAGCGCAGTCGTTAGCACTGCAGTTCTGTGCCCACGGACTCCCCCACACAGCTCTTAAACCTGACCTTCAAGTCTGTACAGTTCTTGAAATCCCACGACTATCCATTAACGTCCATTTACTTGTGTGTGACCACTTCGCTCTTGCAATTCTCTGAAATAATCTTTTTTTACTATACAGTTTCACTAACTTTACACTGATGACAGCTTATGAGTCTGTACATTTGAGTTTAGCATTCAAGATACCAGTGTCGTGGGAACTTTCTCAGAGAAAGAGAATGAAGCAATAGGTTTGTGTGACACCGCAAAATTCCAAAGAGCCTATAGTTTATAATTGTGGTGGAGAGAAGATGATCTTTCCTTGTAACTATGGTAACTGTCAAAAGTCACACTTGTAGAGACGTGAAACTACCAAACCAATTAATGACTACTAGAAATAGATTACATTTGTTTGGGAGTAGCTTCTTTCTCTGAAATTCCTAGACCAATCCACGTGAAACCGAAACTGTCAGATAGTTCCACCCCCTCTTCGTCAATATCATAGACCAATTATTTTCTTCTAACTGTGTATTCTCCATAGATTGCCATTGGCGCAAACTATTGTATAAAACGGATGCAAGAGGACAGACGGACACGGGCAGACACACAGTTCACCGTGTTGTGCTAATTTACTTAACATTTAAGATTACATCGTCCCAAATTAGAATAGCCTTGGACACTTGATCTGACATGTATTGCGTGTAATAGTCAGATGATACATCTCTAGCAGAATATTGAACTTACCTGCACTATTGAAACCACAGCCCAAGAAGTATCCTCTGACTTCAGGAGCTTCGCCCATTAGAGGCTTGTGGTCTGCTGTGAAGGACTCTGACAAACAGACAAGCAATACAGATTTAACAGATTAAAACCACTTATTTGATGTCGGCAAAGAACATCTGGTGGAATATGCTTATCTATGACTTCATTTGTGTAAATAAAAGCACAGTTTGCTCATATAATCTCAACATTACATCATCAATTTACAAACTGAAACGATAGGATGAAATTTCAGACTATCCTTATACAGTGTGCTGCAATAGACTCAAGAGCAGCTTCATTTATTTAGTGCTACAATGTTTTGCTGTCTGCCCATTTCTGCTTGTATAATTAATGGACTGCACCCAAATTACATTAGGATCTAACAACCATACCACAAGAATACCAACAGATCTGGTACCTTTAATAACATTGAGAACAGCTGAGAGAACTGCTTCATTCTAGTCCCTCTACATAGGATTCAAAGTTATATATTGTAATTTGTAACAATAGAAGTCAGAAGAACATTAATTCAACTATGGATGTCACTCTGTTACCATTGCTGGTATTGTCCCTTACCATTGCTGGTATTGTCTGTTACCATTGCTAGTATTGTCTCTTACCATTGCTGGTATTGTCTGTTACCATTGCTAGTATTGTCTCTAACCATTGCTGGTATTGTCTCTTACCATTGCTTGTATTGTCTCTTACCATTGTTAGTCCTGTATTACTGTTGTCATATGTAACTCTGATGCGTTACTATGGTAACTCCACAATGTGAATACTCAAACCTTTCTGTGTTAATATAGTGCAGAAGTCGAAAGTTGTTGATAGCCCTGTCTCGCAAAGAAGCACATTTTTGTTGTATACATATTATTAAATTAAATTAAAGGATTAAATAAGTTTTCTTCTTCCTACTCCCTTTCAGGCAAATATTTTGGTTTATTTTTTTTTATTTTATTTTCATGCATGTTAGCAATGCTTTACTTATTTTTTATTTTTTGTTGGAAACTATGATGAACAAGAGGTGACTGCTGCCTCATGTGAAATGCCTGAAATGAATAAATAAACAAAACTCTAGTCAAAACTGAACTGGGAATGTTGGGTGTTTCTGAATATGAGGCTGGAGTGTGTACCTGGTCCGCACACCGTGGACTTGATGCCCGTCTGCTCCAGGGCGGGGACTCTGTTCATGGCACCCTCAATGTGCTGCATAAATATGTCCCAGTCCAGATCAAATAAACTGAATGCAAATTTATCAGAGACCTGTAAAGTCCAATACAGAGGGAACACGAGTTATCACTAATTGATTAAAGTAAAAAGACATAAAGTGACAGATCTTATAATGTAGGAGAGGGAACAATCTGTGACATAATATATATACATTTATTATATATATATACTACAGATATAGACAGATGTAGACATCTGTCTATATCTGTAGTATATAGATAGACAGATGTCTACATATATATATATACTACAGATATAGACAGATGTAGACATCTGTCTATATCTGTAGTATATAGATAGACAGATGTCTACATATATATATATACTACAGATATAGACAGATGTAGACATTATGTGACTTTCAGTTTGCTCTTGGTCAGAGTTTTCTCTTGAGCAGAAGAATGATTAAATTTGAAAAAGAAAAGTCAGAAAATATTGATTGGGTTTCTTATTTGACTGTTTTAAGATAAATAATGCAATCAGGGACATGTATTAACGGCTTATTAACCGAGGGCGAGGTTAATAAATGTTTTATTATATGACTATTTTTAATTTATGCAAATATCGATCTCCGACTTGGTTTTCCTAATTGTGTTTTTAGCTTTCTGGTCTGTAACGAAGTTGTCAATCTCATCTTGTCTGTTAGTTATTTTTTCTTTGTTATTTTCTGTAATTTCTTCCTCTGGCTCGTCAAACTCGTCAAACTCGTCCGATAATAGAATTCACTGGAGAATGCTCCCAGTTGACGCCCATTATTTCTTTTTTACCGAGGAACTGATTGTCATGGTAACGGTCGGAGGAAAGATATCAAATGTGATACGCGTTGTTCAGACCAATTGTCATGGTAACGGTCGGAGATGGGAAAATATCAGACCGGTAATCAGCCAATCAGAGCGCGCGTACGGTCCAAGTCGTATAATAATATATTATATTGTCATGCACAGAAGCAATTCATATTTATTAAATATATATATGGGGCGACAGTAGCTCAGTTGGTAGAGCATTGGCCTTTGAGCCTGAAGGTCGTGGGTTCAAGCCCACCGTAAGACCTACTTCACGACTCCCACTGATGACTGCTGTCGTTGTGTCCTTGGGCAAGACACTTAACCCCACTTTGCCTGAAGCTCCCACTGAAAGATCTCAGCTCCTGTGGACTCAGCACCTGCAGGAGGATCAGTGAGGGGCTGGTGCTCTGTGGACTGGGTGCAGCTCTGACTGCCACCCCCCCCGACCCAGAAATGGATTAAGGGGAAGAAAATGGATGGATGGATGGATATATTTATAAATATGTTTTTTTTCTTTTTTTTTAGATTATCACTGTGGAATTGGTATAGAATATTTAATAACCCCTATGAGAGGTGTTTTTATAACCTCTTTGCCCAGTTACATGTAAATGAACTTGCTCTTGCTTTTTCACTGGAGCAGAAACATCTGTCAAAGCGGAGCAGCCCTCTCTGTTCCGTGTCCAAGCTTTAATTTGCTTCCATCTGGACTGCTTCCTGGTCAGCTGGGCCAAAATGCAGTCTTTAGCTCCTCCATCTCCTGCTGTAGTGTATGCCGCCTTGCACTCCGGTCTCTCCTCCTCCTACACTAATCTAAGTGACTCAGCAGGCTTGGATAAAAAAAATAAAAAAATCCTCCTCTCATCACCTTGTGCTCTCTGCAGGATTTAGAAAGTCACGTACTTCTCCCATTCTTGGCAGCACTATGGTCTCTGCTCCTCTTGACGCCCTCCTCCTGCCTGGCCCCTACATTTTTCTTCCCTTTAAAAGATGTGCCTTTCTGAGTCATACCTAAGCATCAGCTCCCTGCCAACATGCTGGTAAAAATACTTCCAAGATTCAACATGGACTTCATTGTTTAGCCCCCATAGCAACACGCAGGCAACATCTCAACACCAACAATACTAAAAAAGTATTATTTGCAATATACATGACATATCATTTTGCTCACTTTACGGTACTCGAGGTCAACTATGAGACATTTGGGATCATTTTTTGGGGGGGAATATTTTGTCCAACAAGGTTCAATTGGTCTTCTGATACAAATTGATTGTCCTTTCAACAAAAACAATCTGGTCTTAAAAGAATCATCTTCTAGTCTGTACTGTTTTACTTGTTCTACTCTTGTTATTTGGGAGGCGCCAACATAACATTCTCAAATATCAGCATGTGCATCGGAATAAGAAAACCCTCATCTGCAACAGGTGAGGTCTTTGATAATTTCTATGAATGGGAACGATGTATACAAAACAGAATTAAACACCTATTCCCAATTAAGATGGATAAATATGTGGAGCTTATTTTTTATGATTAGCCTCTAAGTAGAGATCTGCGCACTTTGCTTTTTTAATTGTTATTGTAAAAGGCATTTATTACGCTTATATCACTGCGCTGCCAAACGGAAGGTTTTAAAAGATCCTTCGGCTCTCAGACTGTACAACAGATCTGTACGAGTAGTCTGCTGCTAGACTCCGGAATTTCTTCTATGGGGATCAATAAAGCATCTATCTATTTGTAAGTATGTAAGTAAGTATTGTTTATTTATATAGCGCATTTTACAGAACAAGGTACAGACCCAAAGCACTTTCCAATGTTCAGAGTCAGATATTGTTCCAATCCTTCCACACGCGATGATGACAGAAGCGAGTCCAGAACACACTGGACCATCAAAGCCTCTGACCCAACACCATCCATTCACTCTGTCATTTACATTCAGACCTATTGTGCATGTTTTTAGTGGTAGGGGAAACCGGAGCACCCGGAGGAAACCTACGCAGACACAGGGAGAACATTCAAACTCCACTCAGAAAGGCCCTGTTCCGACCGGGATTCAAACCCAGGACCTTCTTGCTGAGAGGCGAGAGTGCTAACCACTCAGCCACCGTTTGTAGTAACTTTTCTCTTAGGGCCCAGACAACAGTACACCCCCAGAAAGGAACATAAGCCATTATTATTCTAGCTTTTCTATTTTAATCAATTTAGACAATTATAAGCAGATGAAAGACTTATGATATTGTTTCACATTTCGATTTGTGTTGTGCATTTATGACACATGCCTATGTAGAACATCAAAACTTCTGAAAATGCCACTGTATTTTGATTAAAATCCAAAAACCTCTTCTTATGCTCTTTCATTCTCTCCCTGTCTGAGCTAATTCTCGCTTCAGTATCTCCTCTCCTTTTTCTCCACATCCATTTGGATACATCAAAGAAACACTCAGCTCAGTGAAAGAACAAAAAGAACCAGCTTCAACACAAACAACTGGAAGAGTCCATATGCAAAGGAATTTAAAGAACAGGCAGCAAGCAAGACCGACTCGTGTCTCTACCTCATCAAAGAGACCATTACCGAGCGTTCACGTTATTAGTGTTTGATAGAGTTAGAGTTTTTTAAGAAGCAGATTTTCTTATTTTAACTCAGTTTATATTCCAACTGTTCTTGAATTGTACATTGAACCACTAACATTTCACTGCTGTGGTTGCCGACAACAGATTATAACATATTACAGACAAAGAAACAAGTGCAAATGTTCACACAGACCATATGACTGTATACTAGGAGTGGACTAACCTCGTTCTGACGTCACCCTTAGGCCCCGCTTAGAGACGGAGACGCCGCGGACACACTGCAAAGCAATCATCAAAAACAACCAGGCTCCTTAGATGGAGTACACAGCGTCGATACGTCAACGAAAACAATGTAATTCTAGCATCTAGCCAGTAGGGGGCAGTGGAACTTTACAACAAGACACGCGCAACCTCCACCCGAATAATCACTTCCTCAACAACATCCTAAGGCCACAGTCGGCACTAGATCATAAACGGAATCGGGACGGAAGCGGATCCTACTTTCAAATTAGTTTTAGACAAATAAGTTCTGCGGTGGGGACTGGTTAAGTTTTAGGCGTCTGAGTAAGATGGTTAAGGTGGTCTGAGTAAGATGGTTAAGGTTAGGGTTAAGGTGGTCTGAGTAAGATGGTTAAGGTTAGGGTTAAGGTGGTCTGAGTAAGATGGTTAAGGTTAAGGTTGAGGTTATTCTATGGGAATGGCTGGTTAAGTTTAGCCATGAATAGGTAGTTGTTTATATTTACTTCCTCTTTCGTCCCGATTCCGTGTATGATCTAGTGCTGACTCAGGCCACTGCAAATACATGAAAGAATGCACCAAAATAATTCTTCAACATTCGCTGTGAAAATGGACGAACGAATAAAAACAGCTCGTACAAAACATCTAATGAAACCATTAGACATTTAGTCTTTGACAAGACATTTTATTTATTTATTTGTTAGGCTATATCATATTTAAACTATGAAAGGTTGTGTGCACAAATAATGTAATTTAGTCAATGAAATTTCCTGAAGCAATGGTAGTGGCCGTTTTCTGTTATAAAGGTGATTCATTGGCTTTTATTAGTGCACATATGCTCAGTGAATGTGATGTGCTTCAAACAAGCAACCAATAATGTTTCATTGTCCCTAAACATCACTGCACTTAAAAAAACCTGCTGCGAAGGATTTAGTTTTTTTAGCGATTGTGTGTGATGTCACAAAGCTGGAGTAACTTGCTGCATTCCTCGATGCAAACGCTGGTGAAAGCACTCGACATCCAAGCAACTTCACAATCTTTCTGGTTTCTATATTTCTCCGCTTTATCAGGTGCAAAGTCTGCTCCTCGCAAACTAAGAACACAGCTTTACCTTCTACTTCAGAAGTAAATACTTAATCATTTTGATTGAAAATCCCCCATTCCGCATCTACCTTTCTTTGTTTTTTATAAGCAGACGTTGTTGAAGGCTAGTGACAAGTGAACGATCATGACACACAAATGCCCTCACATATGATAGGAGTTGGCCGCGAACACCACAGATGTGTCAAAGCAGCGCAGAAAATTACAGAAGAAGTACACTTTAATGAAAAATGAGCAACAGAACAGATTAAATTGCTTGGTGGGCTGGATCCGGCCCTTGGGTTGTACTTTTCCCGAGTCTGATTGAGGACATAGACCTCTATGTGAACGATTGCTATTGTTAGAAAATATTATGTACCGGCGAAAGCTGAGCAGTTAGCCTTGTTATAAATTTGACAATTATAAGTCTGAAATCAGAACACTGAAAAGCACTTTAGGTGACCTTGGTCTGTAAAAATCTGCTATATAAATAAACATTACATTTCAGGTTTTGTATGCTCTTCACCAAAATTATTATCGCACATGTGCAGAGGATGGACTCTGAAAAATGAAGAGTAATATATAGGACCTTTACATTTTGGCTGAAAACATAAAAAATGTGATTAAGAAGATCAGTGATAACTTCAGACTTCTTACCTGGTCCCAGAAAATTGGGTTTTGTTCGTAGCCTCCCACAGACAGGGCATCACCTTGGAGACGCAGATACACGGACGCATCGTGGTCTCTAACATTTGGCATGTTCTGCAAGTGATCAAATGTAACGCTTAACCATGGTTCTACTAACAGCCAACCTGCCAACCCAATAATCAGGTTTCTTTATGTACGGTTTCTTGCAAAGCAGAAAATTAACATTAGGTGCTGTTGTTCTGTAGAATAGCTCCACATATAAGGGGAAATTTAACATTTTCCAATCCAACACAGATCAGCAACGCTTTCTGAGAACAAAAAAACAGCTATAGATTGAAATGTGAAAACCTGCTCGGCTTCACAATAAAATACAAACACTGGTGAAACTCCTAAAGTGTCCTTATTTTGCATTACAGTCACCTCCAGTCCCTTTCCCTAAAACCTTCAAATAAATGGACTCAGACTTTTTAACAGCCCTGTTCAATCATTAACATCTACAGGTTTTTACCATCACAAAACATTGCAAAAATCAAAAGTCTATTGTCTGAACTCTGAAGCTTGTTGATTACAGTATTCCATTTGTCTCCAGTGGGTTTGACAACTGGAACTGCTTTAGTATATTCGAAACTCTGCAGCTTGACTAGAACCAAGAAGACCCAACACATTACATCTTCCCTATATTTTTTTATATAATATATTTTTAAGTTTTGCAAATGACTGATCATTACTCACTCCCAAGGGTGACAGAACACATTACAAAAGGTTTAAAAAGTAGATTTGTTTCTGTAAAAGGGGTTTCTGGATGATGCTGTATAATGTTCCAGATCAATCCAAACATGTAAAAAACATTTAAGCATAAAAGTTATAAACCAAAAATAATATATTGTTATAAAAAAAACATAGCATCTAAAACTTCTACTATACAAATATTTAGCGGTTTTGTTTTGTATATTTGGGAAGTTTTAAATCCAGAAGAAAGACATGGATTTGAAATGGAATGTTTCTACATATTGTAAAACTTGGATCTTGATGTTGGTAAAAAGGTTTGGAAACATTGTTATTGTGTTGATTAATGACCAAAGGAATAATGCAAATAAAAAAATCTAAAACATCAAACAACTGTGATTCTTTTAGTGTATGAATGTAGCGAGTGACAGGTGAGGGCAAAGAGAGAGGAATACCCTTCTGTGCAACTGTGACTACTGAAAGTTTATCTGAAAGTTTATTCGACATAGTAGAAAAATGCCCAAAGTATATAAACCAAATTTGAGCATTTGAAAAGGCACACCATCTGAAAGTTTCATTTATATTGTATTATAATCTTCAGTCACACAAGAGAGAAACCTCAGGTGACTTTGCCCCCACTTCTGAAACGCATCAAGTTTCACAATGAATACACCAGGGACCAATTTCTGACATGTTTTTCTCATGCAGAGAGATGTTGCAGTGAAAAGCCAAGGTGTTTGCTGATACTGCCACCTCTTGGTTAAACTTATTATCACAGACAAGGACAACAACGCCTACATAAAAAGTAGCAAATATATCTAATGGAAGAATGAAAAATGAAACATACTTGGATTCCCTCTATCCTCTCAGTCACCACGTAGGCGTGATGCATTGCTATAAGAGGAACCTTCACTCCAGCCATCTCTCCAAGCTTCGTCGCCCACACGCCTAAATATGACACAGAAAAATAAGTTACACTTTATTGTCCCCATAGGAAAATTTGTCCCGTTTGAGATCAAATAATATGCAATTTTGGTTTTACCTGCACAATTGACAACGCACGGGGTTTCTATGGTCCCATGAGCAGTCACCACAGCGTTCACCCTCTTCACTCCAAGGTCATCAGACTTTACTTGAATGTCAGTAACAGGGCAGTTCTCAATCACCTATAAACAATTCTATGGATTATAAAAAATGTATATATCTATTCTATGCCAACAAATATTGAATATACCAACAATTGGCTGCGATTACTTCTGCTATTGAAGAAGGTAGTGCAAGTACCGTATTTGTAATATTGAAAAATGTCACTCAAATACGTTCAGAATGTCTTCTTTTTACTGTGAGTAATAAGAGAAAGAATTAAGTCACTGACTGTTTATAATCTGAGCAGAAAGGTACAGTGTAAGGAGCAACATCTACAAGTCTGTATAGAGAACCAAAACACAATTTATGATACGAGATATTTACGCAAAGATATTATAAGTGAGCCCAAAACTCTCCACACAACTTTTTGGGAGCTTCAATGCTTCGATTTTGTCAGATCTTCTCTCCTCCACTTTTCCATAGTCACTGCACGGTACGGTACGGCACAGTACGGCACAGTACGGCCGAATGTGGGTCCTTTCCATTAAAAATGGTACCTCCTAGTTTCTCCTCAGTGTGGGAGGAGTTGTCAAACCATGTAATTTACACACGACGCGTAACCAGTAAGATTAGTCTGATGCGTTAGTTTTTGTCATTTGAAATGAAATGTTTTTATTTAGAGTTAAATGCATAACTTAGTTATTTAAAATACATGTATTTTGTAAATCGAAGTATCAACTCGAAAAAGGAGTGAGAAGTAAAAAAGTAATTGAAGTAGATGACAAAGTCTGGGACCGTGTCTTTAATTCAGACAGAAGACATGTTTTATTGTCGACGGTAGAGACAGCACCAACAAGAATGTTACAGACTGAAAGTGATAATACTCAGCGGAGGAATGAACACCGTCCAATCAGCTTCCGCCGCGATGACAGTAGCTTGGCCTTCAGGAATCAAAACATGCAGTGGAAAAGTACTGCCTTGTGCATGTGTTAGAATGAGTTAGAACTTTAACCACAGTTGCTTCAAAGTGTCATGAAATCTCGAAAGAATATATGATAAAAATCATATATAAACATTTATTTTGCCCTTGTGTTTTGATCAAAAATAACACCATTTTGTATTTAGCAAATATGTCTCCATCCTTGTTCATAAATTTACCACGATTATATGGATTTACTGACATATATAATGTATGTAATGTAAATAGAAGTAAAAGTATGTGGTATGAATGAAACAGAGTCTTGATACGATCACAGATTTATTAAAACATTAAAAGTAAAGTGCAAAACCAACAATTTACAAAGTCCAAAGTACGTATGTCTGAGACCAGGTCCAGATGAGGAGAAAGTGAAGTACTCCGGTCACTCTTTGCTTGTTTGTAATCTCCGCCGTGTTCCGTCGAGCTGCCTTTGAATTTTTTCTTCGGCCTAAAGAATAACGTGTGACCAGGACGCTGACTTCTGGGGCTTTCTGTGCGATTCCATTTCTCTGGAGTGAGGAGGACGTTATTAAAATAGATCCATGGGAGGATGTATTGAAGAAGAGCAGCCGGTTTTAAAGATGGCGGGTTGGGTTGTTTTTACCGTAGGGTCGGCCGTCGCTTCCAGTGACGACTCTCGTTGACCAATCAGTGTAAGGCAGTCGGCTGACGTCAGGTCATGGTATCGCTTCGGCGCGGATGGAACCACAGTAAAAAGTACCCCCAACCCAAGTGGAAATGCAAAATAGCCGCGCCGTGCCGTTACTGTGGAAAAGCGGCATAAGTCCCCACGTGTGGTTCTGGGATTTTTGCTCATCGATCATTTTGACTCCACGGGGTGAGATCTTGCGTGGAGCCCCAGATCAAAGGAGATTACCAGTGGTCTTGTAAGTTTACCATTTTATAACAATTGCTCCCACAGTTGATGAAATTTTACACACGCATGTGTCCACGCGGCACTTCTGAGTGTTGTGTGTATATATATATATATATATACACACACACACACACACTCTCTAAGCTGAGGGGGAAACGCTAGGTACCCCACCTTTAATGTGTAACGTGTATGAAACTTCCTTAAGTCCTTACTGTGGCTCCCCGGGCGGAGGCGGCTCTGGTCAGGGTGGTACAGGTGCCGGCCGGGTCCATGGTCCCGTCTTTGGGCACGTACAGTGTTCCATAGAGATCGTCCACGTTCATGAGAGGATAGAGGTCCTTTGTCTCAGCCGGTGACAGAACATGGGACTCAATGCCATAGACTTTACCTAGCTGTAGATAAAGAGGTCAAATAGGTTTGTTATCATGCTTTTAATATATTGACTTTGAAACATTATTTAACCATTGTAGAACATGTATTAAATTAAGTCAACATAAAGAATCTCCTGTTGAACTGGTATCAGCAGGTGAAAACGTTAGAATGGACCGGTGGATCTGGAAATCATTTAGAGCAGGATTATGCTCGCCACCTTACCTTGATTTTTAAGGTCTATGATAGATCACTTCTCAAAAAATTAGAATTACATCCTTAGTAAAAGGTGCATTATGCAGCTTTATATGTGATTTTTGCAGTGACCCAGTGGCTGTAAAAGCAGGCAGCATGATGCATTCATTTTGGATCAGGGTTGTGTCTACAGTGCTCCGGGATCAATTGCCATGTATGGTTTTCTGGTGCTGGAGTCCGCTAACAGAGAAAACCTTCCAAACAATTGATCCTAGAGAGACCACTGTGATGGAAATAAAAGGCACTGCGCTTACCTCCCATACAGGGTGGTAAGCACAGTGGGCGGCACGGTGGCTGAGTGGATAGCACTCTCGCCTCTCAGCAAGAAGGTCCTGGGTTCGAATCCCAGTCGGACCAGGGACTTTCTGAGTGGAGTTTGCATGTTCTCCCCGTGTCTGCGTAGGTTTCCTCCGGGTACTCCGGTGTCCCCTACCACTAAAAATATGTCCAATAGGCATGTCTGGCATGTGCCTCCTGTACTGGTGACCCCACTCCCATCTCTGTGTGGAGTGAGAGATAAATGCCCAAAATAAAATAATAACAATTGTAAACCGCTTTGAGACTCAGATCTGCAGTGAAAAGGCGGTATATAAATAAAGATTACTACTACTACTACTACTACAGCTTCTGGGATACTACAAGATCCAATGCACATTAAATGATTAAGAAAACTGTTATTGTCTAAAGATAGCCTGCAAGGTTGAGTGTTGATGAGGAAAACCCATTATATAAGTATTATCACAGCCAAAATATACTTTTCTCGCACTCTCAAAGCAACAGATGTGTCACCTAAGAAAGCAAGTATAAGCACTCCTCACCGACATGAGACGCTTGTACTCATCCAGCCTCTGTTTATTTGAGGCAATAAACAGGCCTCCATTTTGGATCCAGCCGGTGTGGAGCCCAGTCTCCTCCTCCAGGTCTTTGCTGATCACATTTCTAGTGTGAGCCAGGAGCTCCACTTCCACATCACTGGGACGGAGCTGCCAGAGTAAACCTTTCAACAGGACAAAATATATGTTCAAATGCAATGTTTGAGTAATGAATATGTCAGTAAAATATGGACACTATTTTTTCTTGTTATACTTGAGAAGAGCAGCCAATTTACAAAAAAACTAAACTAAAAGAAAAACTAATAATTTAATGACGGTTTCAATTTAATTCAGTACAATATTTTCCCCAGAGAACATCAAGCCACTACTCGGTCAAGTGACATTAACCACCTCCGTGTAATTACTAATTATGAGCATTATCATAATTAATAAAACAAAACTGAAATTACAACCATCGATCCATTTTCTTCCCCGTAATCTATTTCTGGGTCGGGGAGTAGCATCAGCTGCCACCCACTGAGTCCTCAGGAGGATCAGGAGGTTCATTACCTGCTGTGTGCCAGGTGGTGCCAGCGGTCAGCCGGTCCCTCTCCAGTAAAACCACATTGGTCATCCCCATTTTGGCCAGGTGGTAGATTGTCTGACAGCCCAGACTTCCGCCTCCAATTACCACAGCATCTGCAGACCTTCAGCATTGAGGAAATAAAAAATATATTTGGTTTTATTACAAGAAGAAAAAAACTGTTTTTATATAGTACTTTTTGGGCACTCACAAAACGCTTTACATGGAATTATTTTGTTAGTATTAGATAGCAATATGGCCTACGTGCAGGACTCTACAAGGACTCTACAAGGACTCCATGTTATGACTATGATGTGACTGTCTCTGTGTGACACATCTTTCCATGTGTGACGTGACAATGACTATATAAACTGTGTACTGCCTTTATTCTGTCTGAGAGAAAGAAACAGAGTAAACCAGTGGAACTTGAGAGAAACTTAAATAAACTTCCAGAGTTTGGCACACCACAATCCGTCTCTGTCTGCTAAATCCTAACAGATTTGGTGGAGAATGTGCAGCTCAGTGTGCGCCATTCTCTGGATTGTTTTGAGGGAGTTTGCTTTGTTTCTTTTCCTCGGCGTGAGAGGCCGGTGTTCCTGGGAGCGGAGATTCCAGCAGGCTGGAAGAGCTGTTCCTGGATGCTTCTTGTCGCTTCTGTCACTTTTGTTTTTTAAATTGAATATTCCGACGCGGAAAAGAGGTTGGCAGACCTCTCGGACAGTCCTTGGAACCGGTTTGACAAGAATAAGGTAAGCAGACATCTTTTTTAATATGTAAAGTCTGCATAATTGGATATTAGCTAAATTTTGGTCTGTTTTTGGGGTCTGTCAAACTCTCTAAATTGTATTGAAAGAAATAGTCTCAGGGTTTAAGTCCCTTGGAGCAGTCTCAGGGTTTATGTCCCTTGGAGCAGTCTCAGGGTTTATGTCCCTTGGAGCAGTCTCAGGGTTTATGTCCCTTGGAGCAGTCTCAGGGTTTATGTCCCTTGGAGCAGTCTCAGGGTTTAAGTCCCTTGGAGCAGTCTCAGGGTTTATGTCCCTTGGAGCAGTCTCAGGGTTTATGTCCCTTGGAGCAGTCTCAGGGTTTAAGTCCCTTGGAGCAGTCTCAGGGTTTAAGTCCCTTGGAGCAGTCTCAGGGTTTATGTCCCTTGGAGCAGTCTCAGGGTTTATGTCCCTTGGAGCAGTCTCAGGGTTTAAGTCCCTTGGAGCAGTCTCAGGGTTTATGTCCCTTGGAGCAGTCTCAGGGTTTATGTCCCTTGGAGCAGTCTCAGGGTTTATGGAGCAGTCTCAGGGTTTAAGTCCCTTGGAGCAGTCTCAGGGTTTAAGTCCCTTGGAGCAGTCTCAGGGTTTATGTCCCTTGGAGCAGTCTCAGGGTTTAAGTCCCTTGGAGCAGTCTCAGGGTTTATGTCCCTTGGAGCAGTCTCAGGGTTTAAGTCCCTTGGAGCAGTCTCAGGGTTTATGTCCCTTGGAGCAGTCTCAGGGTTTAAGTCCCTTGGAGCAGTCTCAGGGTTTATGTCCCTTGGAGCAGTCTCAGGGTTTATGTCCCTTGGAGCAGTCTCAGGGTTTATGTCCCTTGGAGCAGTCTCAGGGTTTAAGTCCCTTGGAGCAGTCTCAGGGTTTAAGTCCCTTGGAGCAGTCTCAGGGTTTAAGTCCCTTGGAGCAGTCTCAGGGTTTATGTCCCTTGGAGCAGTCTCAGGGTTTAAGTCCCTTGGAGCAGTCTCAGGGTTTATGTCCCTTGGAGCAGTCTCAGGGTTTATGTCCCTTGGAGCAGTCTCAGGGTTTAAGTCCCTTGGAGCAGTCTCAGGGTTTAAGTCCCTTGGAGCAGTCTCAGGGTTTAAGTCCCTTGGAGCAGTCTCAGGGTTTAAGTCCCTTGGAGCAGTCTCAGGGTTTATGTCCCTTGGAGCAGTCTCAGGGTTTAAGTCCCTTGGAGCAGTCTCAGGGTTTATGTCCCTTGGAGCAGTCTCAGGGTTTATGTCCCTTGGAGCAGTCTCAGGGTTTAAGTCCCTTGGAGCAGTCTCAGGGTTTAAGTCCCTTGGAGCAGTCTCAGGGTTTAAGTCCCTTGGAGCAGTCTCAGGGTTTATGTCCCTTGGAGCAGTCTCAGGGTTTAAGTCCCTTGGAGCAGTCTCAGGGTTTAAGTCCCTTGGAGCAGTCTCAGGGTTTAAGTCCCTTGGAGCAGTCTCAGGGTTTATGTCCCTTGGAGCAGTCTCAGGGTTTATGTCCCTTGGAGCAGTCTCAGGGTTTATGTCCCTTGGAGCAGTCTCAGGGTTTAAGTCCCTTGGAGCAGTCTCAGGGTTTAAGTCCCTTGGAGCAGTCTCAGGGTTTAAGTCCCTTGGAGCAGTCTCAGGGTTTAAGTCCCTTGGAGCAGTCTCAGGGTTTAAGTCCCTTGGAGCAGTCTCAGGGTTTAAGTCCCTTGGAGCAGTCTCAGGGTTTAAGTCCCTTGGAGCAGTCTCAGGGTTTAAGTCCCTTGGAGCAGTCTCAGGGTTTAAGTCCCTTGGAGCAGTCTCAGGGTTTATGTCCCTTGGAGCAGTCTCAGGGTTTAAGTCCCTTGGAGACACACAGTCTCAGGGTTTGAGTCCCTTGGAGCAGGATCCTAAGTGAAACCATGGTGTAAAATTAAAAGCAATTTATAAAAAGGGAAATGTGTTAAAGAGGCCCTTGTTACAAAAGCTTTGAAATTGACGAATTTCAGGCTGATAAATGACAAAAGTAAAGAAGCAACAATATTTCAGTGATCACGGTTTAAATTACATACAGAAAAAGGGAGTTTTTGTTTTCGGCGTGAACAGAGTTCACCGGAGAATGCAGAGTTTTATCTAAAGTTGAGCTATGAGAGCTTTCGTGAGTTATTTACATTTTTTGCCGAGTTTTATCTACAGTTAAGCTATGAGAGGGTTGTATCCAACAGTTGTTTTTGTTTTTTAGAAAGAGATTTTGAGTTTAAACTAGTTTGCTACCTCGATAAAATAGAAGCGTAAACGTTAAAGACAAGAGTGCCTTTTGTTACTAGTGTGGAAAGTGATCACTTCTAGACTTGGATGACAAAAGTTTAAAGAACAACATCAGTTATATTTGCTTAACAAAGTAATCTTGAAAGTTATTCTTCTTTCTGTTTTAGCATTTTTGCTGAAACACTACTTTCTGCCTGTGTGTGCGTCGCTCTATCTTGCTGCCGTTGTCAGGGGAAACGGCCCCCACCTTCGCTGCTCTGGCTCTGAATCAGAGCTACTGCGTTTAGGATTTCTGGCTTTTCATAGTTGTTATTCCGTTAAATTTGCGAAATTTGCCATTTGAACATTGTGTTATGACACAGTTAAACGTTTTTAAACACCATTTAGTAAATATAAGTTTTGAATATTATATGTTTTTTTTTTAAACCCAAAGATTAGTGCTAAAGCTGTGCAATTCTTTTTAGACCTAACATATTTCTAGATTCCATTCTTTTAAATCTGCTGCTTATTTCTTAACTTTTTGTGAGTTGTGTTTGTTTTTATGTTTTTATTTTAGTTACAAAAGCCGTTTTTCAAACATTTAAATTAGAATCTGTGTTAAAAGTGCTTATTGATTATAGACTTCGTCTAAAAAGAAAGAGGGAATTAGGCTGTAAAAGTATTATTAAGTTAAACTACCCAATTCACCCATTGCAAGCGGTGATGTTTTTGTTTTGACTACACGCCTGACCTTCCTCCTGCTGCCCAGAGACAGGAGGAGGCAGCTCTGACGCACAATTGAGTTTTATTTATTGAACCGAATCCAGTTTAGCTGGAGTTACATTTTTTGTTTGATTTCAGGTTATGTTTTAATGTTTTCCAAAATAATTTCATTTCATGGCGTCTTTCAAGAAACCCAAGGACGCATAGATAATTAAACACACAGTACAAAAGTACACAATACATATTTTAAAGTTTGAAGATTTTTGAGATTTGAGTCTTTTTTATATTAAGAGTTTCTGGTTTTAAAAAGTTTCACATTAGTAAGATAATAAGTCATCTTTATTTACATAGCGCATGTTGAAAAACCCAGAGCGCTCCAAAATTGTTTTGACTTCAGAAAGAAAAACAATCTCATTTGCATACTGATATCTATTGTTTTTTTAAATTGGCCGTCTCAAGGATTGTTTTTCAGACTCTGCCACACTGTACGAGAGGTCACTGCTGGACACTGGACAGCAAAGCCCACCCAGCCACAGGTCACAGATCAAAGAGCAAAGGAAAATGCCACCTCCTTGCCCCTCCCCACGCCACTGCAGAGCTGAGTGGGTGTGAGTGAGACCGGGGCCATGAAAGAGAGGTGTCTGGAGACGTGATGGTGGAGCGTCAGGGAGAGACCTGGAGGAGAGTTGAGAGTGTGTCCACGTGGTTACATCACCACAGTGTGACCTTTGAGACCTACAGGTGGTTCGAGGAGTCTGGAGACACAACCCCAAAATTCACACCCCACACACACACACACATACACACATTCATACACTCACACATTCACATTTACATATAGATACATGAAAAAGCAGAACATGAGAAAAAAGCATTTTAAAAGTTTACTCCAATGTAAACACGTATTTTTAATTGTCTATCACTTGAATCAGTATTTTTTGAGACCAGAAATGTTCATTTGAATTCTATATTGTCATGGACTTAATTGACGTCTGTCCTGACACTTTTGATTTGTTGATTTTGTACTGTGTGAAGTAATTACATTGATGAGAATTAGATCTGATAAAAACACAAATTAGAGAAGTAAACTGCGCTTGCTTTTGTCTGAGGGACAGAAGCAACAGCATGAATAGAAATTGTGTTAAAGTAGAATCAAAGTGACTAACCATAGAGAGTAACTATTGCATAACAAGCTGTGTACAGGAACTGAGACACTGCACCATTGACCAGAAGTGCATCGCAAATGACCTGATGTGCTTCGAGTGAAAAAACTGTATCTGGAGATCCTGATGTGCATCTGGAGAGACCAAAACCATGGCTTGGACCCTACTGATGTCCAAGATGACATCTCTCGAAATATGACCTGACCTGATGACGACTGAGACTCAACCTGAGGATCTGAGAGAGAAAAACTGGGGAGTGATGTTTATATTATTGAAATAATGCCATTGATGAGTGCTAAATGAGAGAGATACTCATGATTCTTTCTTTTGTTTTTGTTTGTCCCTAGCTTCTGGACATCTGATGATCTATTGGACACAGCCATTTGCAGAACAAGAACCAGCCAATGAAAAACGTCTATTGCCGATGCTATTGCTACAACCACAACCTGTGACCAAATGCAATATACATGTTAAGTATTCAGACATCTGACAGACAAAAACTTTGAAAATGATAAAGTATGAGTATTGTAGCGTTTTAGTAGATGTTAAATAGTAGTAAAAAAGTAGAATTGTCCTTCCTTTGTTGTTCATAAACACATTTCCACATAAGAGTTAAAATAGTACCCTACAATGTTATCCTTTTGATAGATCAGCTATAATATTAGAATCAGAGTTATGTTACAGCCATTAAAAGTGACAGAAGTCACAAACTAGAAATATGCCTTTGCTCAAGCTGCAGCCGAGCTTTGGAGTTAAAAAATAGAGTAAAAATAGGAATAGATAAAAGCATCAACCATAGATGCTTTCAAAAATAGAGAATATTCTCAGCCAGTGCTAATATCAAATGGTAAAGGGACCATTTCACAAACCTTTGCTTCAAAAGTAGATAAAGTTCATTACAGTTTATGTACAGTTTTATTAGATACTTGCCAAATTCACTTGTGTTCACACATGAGTGAATGTTGACAATGCAAAAAGTTCATATGAGTGTAGCCTAGATTAATGCCTAGATTAATGAGATAGATTAGAACCAACAGAGATTCAAAAGCATTTAAAAGCATTTTGATGTATTTGTGTGTAGCACAAAAACAAAATAGTTGATATTTAGATATTGAGAAGTTTCCAGCACAAACACCATTGTAGAACATTGACCCCAACCCCAAACCTGCTCAAATAGATTAGCTCTTGTAAGGATAATACTAATTTGATTAATGATGTACATTCATCCCAAATGCCTGACAATAATATCTTTAGATAATAAAAAGTAATAAATCACTGACCACTATAGAAGTGTAAATGTTGACCATTTGCCTTACTGTGTTCAGTTTTATTCCTGAGAATGTAGAATAGTTCCACATGGAGCAAAATCCCACTAACAATAAGCCACTGATAATGAGAGTATAAAACCACAGAGAGATTTGTTAGATTAAAATGTATGTTTAAGAATATGGCTCAATAGAAGCAAATATACAAACATATTTGTGAATAGATTAGAATAGTTTTAAACTATAGTGAATCATAAAAGTAAAGTACACAGTCTAAGATTAAAGTGAAATAAGTGTAGTGTAAACAATCAGCATTAGAATAATAGTAGAGTAATAAAAGTGAAATTAGCTTCTAATTTGAAACTCAGCTCGTTTTTGTCTGTGTTTTGACTGAATCTGCTGAGTTCTTGTGTGTCCAATAGTGTTTGTTTGTTTTTATTTTTGATTTGTTTGTTTGTTTTTGTTTTATTTTTCCCAGGATAGAGGATAAAATCCACTGATATTGATTTGATGATTATGAGTTTAATGCATACATTTTCTTTGTTTTTAATAATTTTTTTAAGTTTTTTTTTTGATTGTTTTTTTTTCTTTTTCCACTTTATTGATTGATCAATTTGAGTGATCACATGTGATTATGTGATCAAAGGGGAGGGTGTTAGTATTAGATAGCAATATGGCCTACGTGCAGGACTGTACAAGGACTCTACAAGGACTCCATGTTATGACTATGATGTGACTGTCTCTTTGTGACACGTATGTCTTTCCATGTGTGACGTGACAATGACTATATAAACTGTGTACTGCCTTTATTCTGTCTGAGAGAAAGAAACAGAGTAAACCAGTGGAACTTGAGAGAAACTTAAATAAACTTCCAGAGTTTGGCACACCACGATCCGTCTCTGTCCGCTTAAATCCTGACAATTTATTCAGTTTGTATACCATCTGAACTTACTATTGACTCGAAGCTACTTGTTTTTTGTGTATTTTGAATGAGACAACATGCACTGATCAACAGAAGAACCACGTTTCCATGTCACACTGACAAACACTCACTCATTCACCACATTGAAGCAAGCTAGCAACATTGAAACGTCCCCATGTGTAGACGTTGAGAGAAACCAATTGATGCCGTTTGCATTGTGACTATAATGTAACAAATTAAAGTCAAAAGAGCAATTAGAACTATGATCATCAGGAGAGGTATACCTGGGGAGTGGTTTGGTGGGCCCAGACGTGGTCCCATCATTTTGCTTGAGGGTTTTCTCATAGGGAACACTCTTTTCTGTGGTGGGTTCTGAGCTATAGGCCCGAGGATTGGTCCGGCACAGAGGAGACAAGGGAGGCCGGAGGGATGATACTCGGCGAGCGGCACTCCCTATAAAGGCCATGGACTGGACAGACAATCAGAATACACTGTTAGTCAGAGTCAAGTAAAACCAAACAGCTTGACAGTTAGTAAGAGATAATTATGAAAGAATAAAGAATTGTTATTGTCATATGTCATGGTTAACGTTATAAAACTAGCCGTAGGAGAAATTTAAGATAAATGACATAATATGTAGTAGGAAATGTGTATATAAAACTACCGCTGGTTTTGCTTTTGTTATATTTCCTTGTAAATGGCGACAACCATATATTTGAGGACTTAATGGGGGTGGGAGTAAATAAGCTCGTCTTCATCCCACTCCCTTCCAAGCTGTTTATTTATTTGTATTTTTTTTCCTTTTCTATTGATGTTAATATTGTATAGCATCGTAATGTATTTCTTTTTATCTTGTGTTGTATTGTACCGGCTTGGAATAAACTAAACTAAACTAAACTAGCCTGACCCTCCAAGTCAAAGTTGAATCAATGTTGCAGTGTTGTTTTATCAGTGTAGGGTCAGGCAACAAGGCATGGCTGTCATGTCGAGGGGCTATCCAAGGTTAATGGGAATTATAATTCAGTTTAAATCTATGATAAACTATGATATTGACATTCTAAAACGCATTCACTCCACAGACTTGAATTTATGGACCAGTTTGCAAAGTTGTATGACGTGTCATCTGAGTGACAGTTTGATCCGGATAAAAGCAGATTAGTCACAAACAAGTCAGAGGGTTGTAAGTGAATTTGCAACAGAAAGACTTGAGCTGCTAAATGAATGAAAGTCTGTGTGGGAAAGTGCCACATCAGTGCAGTTTAGCTTCTCAAAGTAACCCCTGAGACTTGGACTTACGCAACCAAAACAACGTTATGAGTAGATGAAGTTATATTTGCACACACGTCACAGAAGCTTAGTGTGGGGCAAATATATTACATAAAAACTCAGTGGAAAATGCATTAGGATATATGTCTTACAGCACGTTTCTTGCAATATTCACATGCAAACTTACGGTTGATCCTAACGCCAGAAGATCCCAAAACACAATCCCGACGAAGTGTGGCTGCGCTGGTTTGGTAAGCTCCAAGCATGGGGCTCAGAGTGTGGTAGGACTGGAGCATGGGCTGCAAGCAGATGTCAGAGGGGTTCCTTCCTGCATGTGTCCCGCCCACTACTACGACTACCACACATTAGATCCACCCAAAAACGAAGGGGACACATGTTACATTCATGGTTACATTAGGATTCATGCAGTTTCTTTTGCAGACGTATGTAGGCATTATAAAACTGCAGGGTTCCTTATCATAGAGTTGGCCTCAGATTATCAAAAACTAACATTGCACGAACAAGTTGGTTCTGAAAGGGACAGATAGCTGCAGAGTGTAGGATTATCGTTATTATTATAGATCCATGAGGATTATTAGCCATGCATTCGTGGAGCAGAGGTATGCGTGTGCGTGTGCGTGTGCGCGGTTCCTGCTTCGCCAAATTCATCTCACTCGTCCCTCCTCCAGCATCAGCCACTCACAGGCGGCCTCATGATCAGGCCTTCGGGCAGACCGCCTGCTGCTGTCGCCTCCTGTCGCCTCCTGCCGCCTCCTGCCGCCTCCTGCCGCCTCCTGCCGCCTCCTGCCGCCTCCTGCCACTTCCTAGCGTCTGCGAGGGGAGTTCATTCCAGTTCCGACAGACTTCAACGTGTGCGACACAAATGCCGTCGCAATAGATCATTGACCGGAGTTTAAAACATATCCTCGCCATATACTAGCTCCACTTTGGTCTTATTATGTGCTTCCACCTTGTGGTGAATGTCTGAAACTACAACAAGAATTTAAAATGCATTATATTACACACATTCATCCCTGACTATAGACCATGAAGTGCACACACACGTTATGGTAACAGAAAACAGAAGGTTAGAAAACACAACAAGACCATTTCGTCACCAGCTCCCACCTGTAGTCAATAAATAGTAAAAATACACAAAAACAGCATTATACAGATAAGGCCTCAAAAATATCAGAATGTTTAAATTCAACTTAATTTTGTTCATGACAAATACTGAGACTTGAATCAACATTGAGAACATATGAGAGTATCAAATGTGTTTTTAAAAACCGGGCACAACCTTGAACTGAGTCTGTCAATCTGTTATACATTGGAAATAACATTTGCAATGCTTGGGTTGTGCACATGACTTAATAACCACCCACACGACAAACTATGTGCAAGTGCAAGAAAAGGTCCCATAATATTACAACAAAATACAAACATGTCAAGAGGGAAGCTCATCTCATCCATGTCCAGTTATAAAGGCTGATGCGCATGTCAGAGCACAGGTAACCACATTTTCAGTCTGTGTAAGCCTCAGACTCCGATCTTTGCGACATCTGACAACAATTTTTCTCTAAAGTTCATCCTTGTAAGTGGCGGAGAGCATTTCTGGGGGTGGGGATCCTTTCAGCAGCTTGTGTGACCCTCTCCAGTCAGTGCGAACAGAGTCATCGTCCCATAGAGTGGAGGTTTCTGTGTCGCTCACCCACTCCGGATCCCCTGCATATTGACTGGGCTCGACCAGCAGTGGCCGTGTGCTGAAGGCCTGCAAGTTTCTGTTTAGGAAATGAGATTTGTACGCCTCACTGTAAGAGAAGAAAAGTATATAGTTTAATCACAGAGTTATTAAAACCTTCAGACAAATAGAAAATGTGTTCAGCATTTTAGACCACTTCCCAAACTGACCCATTTTTTTCTTTCATTGATAACAAATCTACTTTATACCAAACGAAAGAGTCTTGTATTTTGAATATGTTTAAGAAAGAGCTCTGTCACTGTTTGACTCTCTGGGTTGAGAGCTGATTGAGCTGAGTGAGGGTAGGCCAAAAATCAACACATATACAGTGGCCCTCAAAATTACTAATGTCTAAATTTTTCCTTTTTTTGTGTACAAATTTTAGATTTGTATTTAAAAAACATAGATTTTTTTTTAAATTACATCATAATTGGGCCAAGGAGCACACAAGTGAGGTCAGGCATAAAGTTGTGAAGAAGTTTAAAGCAGCGTTGAGTTATACAAAAATACCAAGATTTGAACTTCTCAAGGACTACTGTTTAATCCATTATTCAGAAATGGAAAGAGTATGGCACCACTGCAAACTTACCAAGACCTGGCCAGCCACCTAAACTAACTGATCAAACAAGAGAAGGGCAACCAAGTGGCCCAAGATGAATCTGGTAGTGCTGCGAAGTACTGCCGCCGAGCTGGCAAGATGAAAGCCATTATTGAAACGAGGCCATGAGAAATCTTGTTTGAAGTTGGCCAGAAGTCATAAAGGTAAACCAGTAACCATGTAGAAGAAGTGCTTTGGTCAGATAAGACAAAATCATCAAATGTATTTTTGGTGGGGGGAGCGTGAAGATCTGGGGCTACTTTTCTTCAGTGGGGACAGGGAAGATTGTAAGAATACTGTAGCTGGGAAGATGGATAGAGCCAATCACAGGGATATTTTGGAGGAAAACTGCCTAGAGTTAGCCTGACAATGACCCAAACAAACCCATCTTCAATGGAATGGTTAAAAATGGTCAAAATGGTCAAAATCCAAACCTAAATCCAATATAAAATCTGTGTAAAGACAGATTTTCAACTTTTTTTTATTTTTTTAAGAAGCTGCAAACAGACCCAAGTGATTGTAAAAGAACATTCCATAGGTTATTTTAATTAAGACAGCAAAAAATCTAATAACATTTTCAGCAGGAACAACCACACTTCCTTGTGCACTGCGTGGCTTCTATAAAACCAATGCAGCTTTAAAGTGATAGTCTGTAACTCTAAATGAATTGCAAATTTTAGGAAATGTATTAAATTGACCTCCTGGCCTTAAATGTTGATATAAAATAAGTCATTTTATTAATTCTAATATTACGGGCAAGTCCCGCCTTCCCTTCTCTTAGCTATAGTTAGCTATAGAATCCACGGTGCCGTCGAGGTTAACCAATCGAGTCATGCCAAGGGCTGTCAATCATCGGCGCTGATGCTGCAGCTGCTCATGCTCAGTTGCTTGTTTTTGCGGAGCCTCTATTAGGCTCTGGAACTACATGAAAACTGAACAAAGAATTCTGAACATCCGCGCTGAGTTACCCATTTATATATGAACCTATATCCATAATCAGATCCTCTGCAGATGTTTCTATAATGTGCAGTTCATGATAATAGCACTTCCTGGTTTGCCGCAATCGCTTTTTTGTGTGCATAAAAACATTATTTTTTTCATTAAAACGTTAACAAATAATTCTGAAAACCTCCGTGCATGTGTATTAATAATGTATATGTATAATGTGTTCTCTCATTAACATTTCAAAGTGTTACGGAAACATAGGCGTAGACCAATCAGAAAGGAAAGGGGAGGAGCTTGCGTCGTTTTTTTCAAATCAAGCACCTCTCTCTTTCTGACAAACTCCAGACAATCACTTTAATGGTTCTTTCAGCCTCATCAGTCTGACGGTGGTTCGTGGTGCCGTTCTGGCCCCACCGAATGTATATTTATCTGGAAAATGCGGGATACGTACTTGGGATGTTTGTCATACATTATGGGGAGGAATTCATCGACTGGTAGCATTTTGGAAAGTGGTTCAGCATTCATCATTTTCTGAGCTCCTTGCAGAGAGATGGCATAAGACAAGGTCCAAAAGGAATAGTCGGCCCACACCAAGTTATGAACGTTCTCCACTGGTTCCTCGTCTCCAACAATCACCTTCTTTCTCCCCAGGTAGCTGTAAATGAGACCAAATTACAGAACCATGAATGATATGAGTAGGCCTGTCGCATTGAATAAACTATTTCAAACCTCTCTTTTGATTGCTTACACATTGTAGGAGACACATTTGGGCACTGTGTGATTGAATGGATATTTGGCTGATGGAGGAGTGATGTATTGTGGGCGTGCATGTATGCGTGAGTGTGGGCGTGTGTGTGAGTGTGGGCGTGTGCGTGAGGGCCTGTGTGTGTGTGTGTGTGTGTGTGTAGGCGTGTGCGTGTGGGCGTGCATGTGTGTTTTGGGCGCGGTACACAAAATTATGAATACACCTGCGGGGGCACGGAAAGGGGAGAGAGGTCTGTTTGGGAGGCCATAATTTTTGTTGACCGCTATTATAGTTTGTCTGATTTATTTTTGCTATTTTCTCTGGCTTAAGTTTATTCACAATTTTTTTCTGTATAATCACCACGCATTTTTTGGCCTGTGACCGCTGCGTTTATTATTAATTAAATCAATATCATCGCAACTGGATCCAGCCTTTGTTTGTTTTCTATACTAATTTAGCGCGTCAAACAATTTTACCGGACCCAACTCGCCTCTCCGCGGCTTTAGGCAACAGGAAGCCGCTATACACATTATTCTACAAGTAAGATTAATGCAGCACCATGTTAAAATGAGAACCTTCTCTGTAGAAAACATGGATTCTACATAATTCTAAAGTTCAAGCAGGTATAGTGTACACACATGATATCCCAGTCCAGCTGTGTCTGCTCCACCTCCTCCATCAGTCTGAGCACTCTGCGTTTGAAGTTCGCCTGGAATCGGATGTCATCTTCAAAGATCAGAGCCTTGTCCATTTGAACATCCACAATCTAAGAAAATGAAACGTTTTGCATGAACCACACAATAAATTAGACAAAAAAAAGCGTTTTGTGTTATAATGTAAACTGTGGTATAACTGCCATTGACGTATTTGTCTGAGACCCTCTATTCAACTGGGGATAACAGGGCAACAAAAATAGCTAAAAACAAACTTATTGTTTTCGATCAAAGTAGACAATCCAGTCTTTCAGAATCTGGTTTCATATTTCACATAGTCTTAGGAAATAATATTCTGTGAGTCTTGAGAATCCATGGAATCATCAAAAACGGCAGGCAGTCAATGAGTTAAAACTGGGGTACATAACTTAAGTATGTAATGAAATCCATCGAGCTAGTTTTTAGCTCTAAAAACAGTTTTTCAGATTCAGATTCAGTTTATTTGCCATTTGCAGTAAAAAAAAAAACACATTGGAATACATTAGCAAAAGTCACCAGTGTGCACAGACAAATACAGACTTTTATAATATAGTTTATAGTTTGGTTTTATAACTAGTTTTCTAAGCATGTCATTGTTGGGTCTTTTTTTCAGCTGATTTTCTGAGTGAGGGCTCAAAATCTACAAATAGTAGCTCACAATAGTTTGTTCAGAGCATTTTACTTTTACAAGATACTTTTAAAGACGCAAGAATAAACAGTATTATTTATGACTACCCCAGCTTAACTCGTTGACTGCCATTGACGCATTTGTCTGAGACCGGAGATTTCTGTCAAACTTCCCTCTATTCGACCTGGGATTACAGGAGAACAAAACTAGCTATAAACAAACTTATTTTGCTGATGAAAGTAAACAGTCCAGTTTTTCTGAATCTGGTTTCATATTTCACATAGTCAGAGCACACAATATTCTGTGGGTCTTGAAAATCAGTGAAATCCTCAAAAACGGCAGGCAGTCAATGAGTTAAGGATCCCATGACATCATCTAATCATCTCATATCAATATAAAGTATCTGTTTTGTCTGTGCAGATCCTTGTGCTTGGAACATTCTACAAGAAGACTGGAAGATGCCAGAGGTTGTGTCCTTAAATGCATTAAAGTGTGCACACAAGCCAATCAGCTCCAGTGTCAAATAGTGACTCACAGATTCAAACTCATTTTCTCCAATAATCTTTACAAGACAAACAAAAGCACAGTATATTTACAGGAGAGACATTAAACGTTATTTGCTGTAAAGACCACATGAAACTAAATGAGCTCCTTGTTCCTACCTCTTTCCAGATGAAGAAATGGCTCAGAAAGCAGCCCACTTCTCCTTTGGTCAGAGTGCGTCCAGAGAAAGGGTCGTGATAACCGGGCAGCAGGTCCACTCCCAGGATTTTTATATCACTACTGTTCAACGCACTAAAAGCCAACATCACAAAGAGGTTTTTGATTTGCTCTTTTTACGAGACAACACTGACAATTCTTACTTACTTCCCATCTACAGCAGGCACCACCTTTACATCAATTTCCAACTCATTAAGAGAATATAACATCCTGTCTCTGCGATCAGTGCGACGCTGCAGATTTATAAGAAATATCTGAAATAGAGGGAGTAATTTAAAATACTTTTAACAACACAAAATCATATACATTACAGTATAAAACTTTAGAAATGAAGCTTGTAATATATTATTTTAAACTTGAAAACAACAAAAAGTAAATAACTGTTTCATGACCCAATGGTTAACAAAACATGTCCGTTTGGGAAGTTTAGAACTTCAAATTGAGCTATGACAGGAACATATGATTTATGTGTATGGAATGGCAGATAAAACTTTGACCAAAAACCATAACTTTATTCTTAAATTTGTTTCCAGAAATTATTTGACAAACCAACACAATATTAAAATCAACTGTTTTCTTTGCCTAAACCTGCCAATGATATCAAAAGATCGGTTTCTCACTTCATCAAATCCCATGAGGTCTCTGTGTTTGGGGAACATGTGGACATGACGAGATGGCTTCATCGGGGGACCATCAACTGAAGGATAAAAACATGATCAGATTATCTACTCATGCATTGATGGTGACGTCAGCTGTATTTCATTTTCAAAAGAACCATAATGATTGTACAACCCTGTGCTATAATGTCAGGCAGTCTTTCACAAATATCCATCCATCCATCCATTTTCTTCCGCTTTATCCGTTGCCGGGTCGCGGGGGCAGCAGTCTAAGCAGAGACGCCCAGACTTCCCTATCCACACACACTTCCTCCAGCTCGTCCGGGGGGACCCCAAGGCGTTCCCAGGCCAGCTGAGAGACATAGTCCCTCCAGCGTGTCCTGGGTCTTCCGCGGGGCCTCCTCCCGGTGGGACGTGCCCGGAACACCTCCCCAGGGAGGCGTCCAGGAGGCATCCGGAACAGATGCCCGAGCCACCTCAACTGGTTCCTCTCGACGTGGAGAAGCAGCGGTTCTACTCCGAGCTCCTCCCGTGTGACTGAGCTCCTCACCCTATCTCTAAGGGAGCGCCCAGCCACTCTGCGGAGGAAGCTCATTTCGACCGCTTGTATCCGCGATCTCGTTCTTTCGGTCATTACCCAAAGCTCATGACCATAGGTGAGGGAGGGAACGAAGATTGACCGGTAAATCGAGAGCTTTGCCTTTCGGCTCAGCTCCCTCTTCACCACAACGGTCCGATACAGCGACCGCATAACTGCGCACGCTGCACCGATCCGCCTGTCAATCTCACGCTCCATTCTTCCCTCACTCGTGAACAAGACCCCGAGATACTTGAACTCCTCCACTTGAGGAAGGACCTCTCCACCCGCCTGCAGAGGGCAAGGCACCTTTTTCCGGTCGAGCACCATGGCCTCGGATTTGGAGGTGCTGATTCTCATCCCAGCCGCTTCACACTCGGCTGCAAACCGTCCCAGTGCATGCTGCAGGTCCTGGTTCGTTGGAGCCAACAGGACAACATCGTCCGCAAACAGCAGAGATGAAATCCTGTGGTCTCCGAACCGGACCCCCTCCGACCCCTGGCTGCGCCTAGATATTCTGTCCATAAATACAGTGAACAGAACCGGTGACAAAGGGCAGCCCTGTCGGAGGCCAACATTCACCGGGAACAGGTCTGACTTACTGCCGGCAATGCGAACACAGCTCTGGCTCCGGTCATACAGGGATCGGATGGCCCTCAGCAGAGGACCCCCGACCCCGTACTCCCGTATTCACAAATATATATATCAATAATCCTCCTCTAGGAAAACCAGAATCATTTTGAAGTAGAACCTTGAAAATTAAATTAAGATTAAGATGAAGAGATCCTTTATTCGTCCCACAGTGGGGAAATTTCAGTGTTGCATCACAAGTTATAGAACAGTAGGAATGAGGAGTACACGGCTCTGTTCTCGCTCTCTCACATCAACTATCTGATCCATAATAACATAATAATATGCATTTAATTCAGAGTAATAATAATAATAAAAGTATGTTGCTTTATTTGAAGAGAGCAGGCACTTACTCATGGATTCCAAATGGAGATGGACAAAGTTCAGTCGATCGTCCTCCATGGTCTGGTGAGGTTTGGATGGCACATTCTGATAGCCATAACGCTCCTTGTTGCACAAATACATCTGAATTTCTATATTCCACAGTAAATTGTGCAGGTAAGATGTACATAAATAGAAACAGGTCAAACCAATGACATTTAAATTGTAGTGTTTTGTAGAAAAATCAGAGGTCTCAAACCTGCAGCTCTACAAGAAAAGGCAAAAACAATGATATCGTCATATGGCCAGGAGTAGTCTCTGTGCGGAGGGAAGAAGGCCAGGTTCTTCATGCCCTCCTTCCTCAGATCCAGAAGCATCGTGGAGTGGACCATCGGCACTGGAAAACACCCCAATTTGTTGCGGTTTCGGGTGGGGAAATACTCTGCAGTCCGGCGATAGTAACCCTAAAACGGAACGTTTGACAGCATATAATAGGGTTAAGGTATACTTTATTATCCCCTTTAAGGTGTCTTGCCACAATAGGGAGACTACAGTGTCCAGACACATCCTAGATGTTATGTGTTTATTAATTGAAATGGGACAGTATGCATTCATGAAGCAGGTGCTGTAAAACAAGTGATTTATCTCATGGCGAGCTTCAGTCTGGTGGATGCTCAGTTAGAAACACCTTCACAGAGGATTCAAATTTAAGATTGCATCTGACTTTAAGACTGTACAACAGATACGACAGGTCAACAAAAGCCAAAATAAAGAGTAAAAACTAACTTCCAAGTTTCAGTCGGGGGTGCACTGACATTTGAATGAATGAATGCTTTATTTGGACATTTGAGATGAGAAAAACAAAACAAAAGCAATATAATTATACATTGATTATATGAAATAAATAAACAATCAATGTCCAAAATAGGAGCGGGAAAAAGTAAAAAAAAACTAGTGTAATCCCGCCCCTACTTACAACTCTGATCTGTTCAGTTACTAGCCTCAGAGGCTAGTCAGATTGAAACTGTGTGTGCATGTGTGTGTGTGCATGTGTGTGTGTGCCTGTGTGTGCTCAGTTACTAGCCTCAGAACCTAGTCAGATTGAAACTGTGTGTGTTCCCCGCTTGAAGTCTAAAGCACTATATGCGAGGAAATCTGACCTAGGTGTCAGACACAGTAACTTAATAAAAGTTCAGACAGACAGAAATAGTTCTAGCGGTAGGGTTGTTAAATGTGGTTTAATGAACGTCAGATCAATCTCGTCTAAATCGCTTCTCATAAACGAACTTATTATAGACAAGGGCTTGGATCTGTTTGCGCTCTCGGAGACTTGGCTCCAACAGGACGACTACGTTGGATTGAATGAGTGCACTCCTCCGCCGCATGTTAACTACCAGAAAGCCAGAGCTACAGGTCGCGGCGGTGGTGTTGCGATTATATCACACACCAACTTGGTTCTTAGTCCCAAAACCAACAACGCTTTTCACTCGTTTGAAAACTTAACACTTTCAATCACCTGTCCTGGGTGGAGAAAACAAAAAGCAGTACTATTTATAGTTTTATACCGACCTCCTGGTCCTTACAGCGAGTTCCTAACAGAATTCTCTGACTTCATTTCAAACCTAGTTTTGGAATGGGAAAACATAGTTATAGCTGGAGACTTCAATATACATGTGGACGACAGCACTGACAGCTTAAACAAAGCTTTCAGCGCCGTACTAGATGGTGTTGGTTTTACTCAGAATGTTGAGGAACCTACTCACATTCATAACCACACCTTGGACCTTGTCCTGACCTACGGCTGTGATGTCTCCAATGTTGACATCCAGCGTCAAAGCTCGTTGCTGTCTGACCATTTCTTGATCACGTTTGATCTCGCTTTGGAGGACTTTCCTGTCCCGCAAGATAAAACCATAATGAAAAGAACCTTAAATGATAAATCTATCACAAGGTTCAAAGAACTAATACAGCCTATGTTGAATACTGCTGCAGGTGAACCTGTTCACAGCAGCTGCAGTCCCTCAGTCATTGACCAAACGGTGGACAACACTATGGAGTCTTTCAAATCTGCATTAAATGCAGCAGCTCCTTTAAAACAGAAAACCATTAGGATTAGATCATCGTCGCCCTGGTACAGTGTTCAACTCCACACTTTAAAACAGGACGTCAGAAAATTGGAGAGGCTATATCGCCACTCCCACTCGGAGCCTGTCCACAGGGAGTGGAAAGCAGGTCTCCGAAACTACAAGAAGGCCCTTCGCGGGGCTCGAACTCAATACTATTCAACTTTAATAGAAGCGAATAAAAACAACAGTAGATTTTTGTTTAGCACCGTCGCTAAACTCACAAACTGCCATAGCGCAATCGAGCCTAAAATTCCAAGCTCACTGAGCAGTGTCGACTTTCTCCACTTCTTTAATAATAAAATTACATCCATCCGTGACAAGCTGGAGGAGGTTGCTCCTGCTGTTAGTGGTGGACAGGTTGAAGCGGCATACGTGACTTCCCACTTAGACTCTTCAGTGGGCCTTAATAAATTCATGGCTGTGAGCCAAGCAGAGGTGATCTCTGTGGTCACATCCTCCAAAGCCTCAACTTGCATGTTAGACGCAGTCCCGACATGGCTCTTCAAAGACATACTTCCTTTGATAATTGAGCCTATCGTAAATATAATAAACGCATCCATACAATGTGGCTATGTCCCACAAGCTTTTAAAACCGCGGTAATCAAACCCCTTCTGAAGAAAACAAACCTGGACCCAGAAATACTTACAAACTACAGACCGATCTCAAACCTCACTTTTATATCTAAAATCCTGGAAAAACTTATAGCTGAGCAGCTCCGCTGCCACCTGCAGGAAAATGATATGTTTGAAGTCTTTCAATCAGGATTCAGAGCTCATCATAGCACTGAAACGGCACTAGTCAAAGTCACAAATGACTTACGGTGTGCCGCAGGGTTCGGTACTCGGACCGATTCTTTTTACTCTCTACATGCTGCCACTGGGAAACATTATTAAAAAGCATGGAATTAATTTCCACTGCTATGCAGATGACACACAGCTTTATCTGTCGATGAAGCCTAACCAGACAGATCAGCTAGAAAAGCTCAGTGCCTGCATAAAGGACCTTAAAATGTGGATGACTCTTAACTTCCTACTTCTCAACCCGGAGAAGACAGAAGTGATCCTACTCGGTCCGAAGCGCCTGCGTGACTCCCTCACTAACCAGATGGTTACTCTCGATAATGTCAGTATAATACCCAGTAACACTGTGAGGAATCTTGGAGTCATTTTTGACCAAGAACTCTCCTTCAAGGCTTATATAAGCCAAGCAACTAAAACGGCGTACTTCCACTTACGGAACATCGCTAAAATTAGGAATTTCCTTCCTAAAAGTGACGCGGAAAAACTCATTCACGCGTTTGTCACCTCAAGGCTCGACTACTGTAACGCTTTACTGGCAGCGTGCCCTAAAGCCTCTTTGAAGAGCTTCCAGCTCGTTCAGAATACAGCAGCTAGGATCTTAACAGGTACCAAAAGGAGGGAGCACATAACTCCGGTGTTAAAATCACTCCACTGGCTCCCTGTGGAGTACAGAATAAAGTTTAAAATCCTACTCTTAACATATAAAGCCATGAATGGCTTGGCTCCTTCTTATCTCCAAGACACGTTAGTGTCGTATCAACCAGGTCGAGCGTTGCGCTCACAAAACGCCAGACGTCTGGTGGTCCCTAAGGTCTCAAAGGTCACTGTTGGCGGCAGAGCATTTAGCTACCAAGCTCCTTTACTGTGGAATCAGCTTCATTTATGTTAAGGAAGCAGATACGGTCTCCACATTCAAGGCCAGGCTTAAAGCACTTTACTTTAATTTAGCATATAATTAGGTAATATATAATATGTAGTGTATATATTATATATATATGCTGTATTATGTTATATATTATGTTATATATTATTCAATAATGTATTGTGTTATGTTGTATATTATGTTATATATTATGCTGTATGTTATTCTTTATTCAAGGCTAGGTTTAAAACAGTCCTCTTTAGTTTAGCATATGGCTAGGAAGGTAAGACTCGGAGAAGGTTAAACTCCTCAGAGTGTTAGTCAAGCTGCATAGGGAGTCAGTTTGCTGGGAGAAGTATGGTAACTTGAGCACTATCCTCTCCTCCTTCCTACTTTATCTGTTTAGCATTTTTAGGATTCTGACTGTAGTTTGTTCATTGCTATTCACCCGTTGTCCCATTGTCTGTTTCATGGTACGATGACGGGATCTCTGAGCCTGGCCTCTTCCATCTACACCTGCGGACTGCCCCGCCCGACCCGCCTGGGAGTGCTTCGGTCCTGCACCGGACCTGTCCACGTTCAGCGGCCACTGGTCCACGTCCTGTAGCTAGCTTAGGTCCTGGATCATTAGCCTGTCCGTCCGGAGGAGCGGATCCCTTTCTCATATGGGTCTCCCTCCCTGTGGGTTTCCCTAGTTCTCCTCCAAGGTTTCTCACTTTTTCCCACTGGGTTTTTTAAGAGTTGTTCCTTGTGGATGCAGGAGGGTCTTGTTGGACAGTTAGTGTCCAACAGAAAGGATTGGTGATGATCAGGACACTTTAGCATTCTACAACATGTATGGACATTTTCTTCTGTGTGTGCTTTATATTCTTCATGTGTTTTAACTGTTGATTCTCTGACCTGTGTTGGTGATTTCAATGGTTTTGTTAAGTCTCTGAGATGACTTCTGTTGTGACCTAGGGCTATACAAGAATAAATTGTATTGTATTGTATTGTATTGTATATTACAAAATAAATAATATCTTCCATACATTAGACTTTGACTGGGGAGAGACAGCTGCTCAATATCATATCTGACGTGTGTACTCACCTGAGGAGTGATGCCACACCAGAAGTTGGAGAATGCCCCCTGAGAGTCCAGCATGGGGGCAATCACCGACTTGTTCTCAGCGATCATCAAATTGAGGGTCTCTGCATTGGTGAGGATATTGTCTGTGTCAGCATACTGCAAAACATTTACAGAGAGAATTGAAAACAAAAACTATGACCCTGCAGCAAAAAGGTACCATTTTTTACCAATATGTAGTCGGCCCAATGTTTTCTTGCAAAGGTAAGAGCTGCCTGCTTCAGTTTCATCACATACTCGTATCTCGTGTTCGGCCAGTGCTTAGGACCCAGCTCTCCTGCATAGGACCTGGGGAAGAAAGGCAGTGATGAGATACATGTGCCATGACGACTATAACGGCGACATCATGCACTTGTTGTATGATAATGGACAATATGAAAGATAAGGTAGCAAGGCAGCTTTATTTGTGTAGCACCATTCATACACGAGCCAACTCAAAGTGCTAAACAAAATAAGATAAAGACAGTCACACAAGACAAGAATGTTTAAATATTTTCCAGGGGGCGATATTGAGTCGCCGTGGGTCGGACGGTCTTGAGACTTTGGTTTGAAATCTCCGAACCAATCCCATTAGACCCCCAAGTGCTAACATGACAGCGTCACTTCGCCCAATCAGCTTGAAGTATTCTGCTGCTTATCCCTCCTTTCCCCGAAAGGATTCTCCTGCAGAAGTCCCAGATTGATATTGTGGAGAACGCATTAGATTTCTACACAATCATCAATCTGCCTCTTGCCAGGTTATAAAAAGCTATCCTTTCAGCAGAAAAAAAATTATAATCTGAAACTTTATTATAGCCCTTCCCAATACTTTGTATTAGCTCGGGCTAATAACAATGCATTGCTTTATAATTCAATTATCTATTCACATGGCACTGTCCTTTTCACTCCCTACACTGGGGCAGACGGACAGAAACGAGGCAGAATAGGTATGTGTCCTCTGCCCTTCCGACAACCACCAACTATCCACGCACACATCAGACTCATACAGGGCAATGTGGGCACTTTACAGCCACAGCCACCCCATTCACCAGGCCCCAACGTGCTTAAGCCTAGTGTATAGTCGCGCGGAGCTTACGGTGGTGACGTGACGTCACTTGCGCAACGCAAGGATCACCGCAAGACCCTTGTGTAGCCTGCAGCGCACCCTCGAAAATGTCTAACTACGCAGCCGGCGCCGCAGAGAAGCATGGACGAGGCACTTCGGAGCATATTGCTTCGTGCTTCAAAGGAACCGAAGGAAAAGTAGTTTGGGCTCAGAGCCTGATATACACAGAGACTGTGGACTAGAGTTCTGTTGCATATCTACCATATATATAACTTATATCTAACATATATATAACTTATAAACTGTGCAGTCGTTTGTTTTGCACTGTTCCTGTCTTTGTTTGAATCGTAGCTCATCGCGTCTGTTCCATTCCTCCTGCACTTTTAAATAGTTCATGTTTACCTCAGATATTTACCACTGTTTGTGCTGAATACACTTTAATAATAACTGTTTCCAACAAGAACTGTGTCTTTATTCACAACATCACAGTTAAATGAGTTATGAAACAATGAGTCCATAGAACTATCACATAAACCTACAGTAGAGACACATGTAATGATCTCAAACAGCTCGGTTTGATAATGTTTTTGTTCTGAAGAGGAGAAAGAAGCTCGCGTACATGGGACCGCTTTGGTTTCCCAGGCAACTCCAGTGAGATCGCCATCATGTGGTAGGGTGTGGGATTACAACATTCTCTTCAAAACTCTGCAAGGGGAACACGCAAATGTACGAGCAACTGTGGCTACGTAGGTCCAGCGCAACCACAAACGTAACCAGCGCCGCGCAAGTGTACACAGGCTTTAGCTTCAGAGGTCTGACAGGATCTGGGTTGTGGGACTTGAGTCCAGGAGGCGACAGGCAAGAGTGGCAAAGGCTTTAATCGCTGCTTGCGGCTTTAATTAGGAATTGTATTTTTTTAATGTTTAAATAACTTGGTCAATGCAATTATTCAAAAACAATGTGTGTTTAGAGGTCTGATAATTGAAGAATATGACAGTTATCATGAATTCTACAATATTATACAACTATCGCACTATAGCACACTATTAGTCGAGCCCCTGCCGTCCTGAGTGCTCTCATAGTTCCTCTGAGATCCGTCACACGGGGCTCCTCTTACGGGAGTGTGAAAGTGCCCCTCAGGAGAACCACATTCAGACAGTCGGTCTTCTCGGTCCAGGGGGCAAAGCTCTGGAACTCTTTAAGCCCTCAGCTAAAACTGAACTCTAACTGGGCTGGTTTTAAACATGAACTAAAGTGATTTTTTAAAACAAACCAGTTGTGTGAGCATCAAAGAGTTGGAGAACATCTGCTTTTGTATAATGTGAATTTTATAATGTATAATGTGTTTTAATTGTGTTAAAAGCCCTCCTAGGGACGGACATTTCAAACTAGCCTTGGCTATAAATGTTGTAGTGTTTCACATGTTGATTGTGTACACTTGTCCCTATCGAATAAATCAATAAATATTATTCCATTATAATGTGTTAAAAGTGCCATAGGTACATTGCTGTGCCTGGTCTTCATTCATTCGTTGCCAGCAGATGTCAGTGTTTTTTGTCTGACTTATCTCAATTACACACTATCTGTGCCGTTGTGAATTTGAACTTTTTTTGGTTAATTGTTGAAAGTTGTCATATAAAAAGCGTGTGAAGTATAGGAACTGAAAGTGTTTTAAATAATATTGTTGATCATTTCACTTACGTGGGCTGGTCCATTGGCCTCCATTCAACATGATGGTAATTCTTCTGCATAACAGTTAGCCATTCTTTAAGTACAGCTGTGGTGTTATCAGAGTTGTGGTCGGTTGCTGCCCTGTTAAACAAATCCCATTTCAGACAGACATGATTAAGATCACATTATATGAAGTTGGAGAGTTACTTGCAGTACTTTGGATATTTCATGACACTTTGAAGCAGCTGTGGTTAAAGCTGAATTCATCATCATAACTCATGCATGGAGCAGGCACGTTTCCACTACATGTTTTGGTTAAATCAAGGTTGAAGTTACTGGACCGTGGCAAATGCTTATTGGAATGTCCATGATTCTTCTTGTATAATATCTCTTGCATTGTGTGAATCTCTGTTCGTGCTCATCTACCATCGTCAATAAAACATATCTTCAGTCTGAAAGACACGACCCCAGACGTTTGTCATTTTCTACAGTACATTAGACAGTTGTTTTTGTCTTTTCAAAAATACAGCTGAAGATGCCAAACAAACCATTATTGTCTGTGCACTGATACTTCTCCCTTCTGCAGTTTTTCAATATCTTTGATAAGATAAGATATTCTTTATTTCTCTCACAAGGAGGAGAAATTTACATGTCACATTTGGCATGGATAGAAACACTCAGATTGTGTTAAATACAGGATATATTATGTACATAAAAAAGTGGCAGTTTAAAATTGGCAATCAGAAATAGTGTCAGTATTAGTGCAGGTTTGTCAGTCTTATACAGTGACTTAAAGTGACTTATTGTACAGTCTGACAGCGGTGGGGATAAAGGCCCTGTGGTAGCGCTCCTTCCTACACTGAGGGTGTCTCAGTCTTCCACTGAAGGAGCTCCTCAGCTCCTCTACAGAGTCCAGGGGCCTCCTGTCCCTCACCTCCTCCACAAAGTCCAGGGGCCTCCTGTCCCTCACCTCCTCCACAGAATCCAGGGGCCTCCTGTCCCTCACCTCCTCCACAAAGTCCAGGGGCCTCCTGTCCCTCACCTCCTCCACAGAATCCAGGGGCCTCCTGTCCCTCACCTCCTCCACAGAGTCCAGGGGCCTCCTGTCCCTCACCTCCTCCACAGAGTCCAGGGGCCTCCTGTCCCTCACCTCCTCCTGACCAGCTTGTTCAGTCTGTTTCTGTCCCGCTCTGTGCTGCCCGGGGCCCAGCACACGGCAGCGTAGTAAATGGCAGAAGCTACCACAGAGTCATAAAAGGACCTCAGCCTCCTCAGAAGGACCTCAGCCTCCTCAGAAGGACCTCAGCCTCCTCAGAAGGACCTCAGCCTCCTCAGAAGGACCTCAGTCTCCTCCGAAGGACCTCAGCCTCCTCAGAAGGACCTCAGTCTCCTCAGAAGGACCTCAGCCTCCTCAGAAGGACCTCAGCCTCCTCAGAAGGACCTCAGCCTCCTCAGAAGGACCTCAGCCTCCTCAGAAGGACCTCAGTCTCCTCAGAAGGACCTCAGCCTCCTCAGAAGGACCTCAGCCTCCTCAGAAGGACCTCAGCCTCCTCAGAAGGACCTCAGCCTCCTCAGAAGGACCTCAGCCTCCTCAGAAGGACCTCAGTCTCCTCAGAAGGACCTCAGCCTCTTCAGAAGGACCTCAGCCTCCTCAGAAGGACCTCAGCCTCCTCAGAAGGAAGAGGCGACTTTGGCCCTTCTTGTGCAGGGCGTTTGTATTATGGACCAGTCCAGTTTATTGTTAATGTGAACACCCAGGTACTTGAAGCTGTCCACCAGCTCAATGTCCTCCCCCTGGATGTTCAGCAGCGTGTGGGAAAGTGGTTTTCTCCTGAAGTCGATGATCATCTCCTTGGTCTTACTGGTGTTCAAGCACAAGTGGTTGCACTCACACCAGTCGATTTACTCTATTCTAAAGTTGGGCAGATGATGGTAAATGTATAACGTAGTTTTCAAGATGAAGTATCAACAACAAGCACATGTAAGGTAATGTAAGTAATGTCCCTGCAGGGAAAATGTCCTCTTTGACCAAGACTTTGATGCCACTAGGACCCTTGGCAGGAAGTGAAGCGCCCAACAACCCATCTCCAAATGTTGATGTGTGGCTAGTCAGACATTTTCACAGTGATGCCTGTTTTGGCCGGTGAGGAAACCGGTGCGCCCTGAGGAAACCTACTCAGACACGGGAAAAAAGCAACTCCAAACTCCAAGAAAGGCCTGGTATTGCTCAGGGATCAAACCAGTGACTTTCTTGTTGTGAGTGTTATCTGTCTTTCGTTTCTTTACAAACACAGAAAATAATGACACAAATGTTTTCAGTCATTGGATAAATGTAATCTGTGAGAAATACATTTAAAGAGTTAAGCATAAAGCTGCTTATGGGAAAAGTCCCAAATATGTGCACTGTTGTACTGCTCTGTATCTATTCAACTTTGTTCTCCTTGTCCAAGTCATTTAATTGAATATTATTACCATTTATCTTTTGCTCTTAGTGTACATTGTAATGAGTGGGCGACCGTGTCAAAGTCATCTCCTTCCTGGATCAATAAGGCTTAGACCCAGACCAACAAAAATTAGACTACACATAGGAAATGAACAATGCCATCACAGTTCCCTTAAATTAATGACACTGAACTTGCCCCAGACTTACAGAGAAAGGGCACAAATGTTACAATGCTCACTCCCAACAGAAGGAAGGCATCTAATTGTCTCACTGTAAGCCCTCAGACAACAAAAAACTCACATTTATCTACTAATACAGTGCATAGATCCCTACACTGTCACCAAGTCTAATGAATATAAAGAATAGCAGGCCCTATAACTTCAGTCCTCTATAGGAAGAGGCTGGGGTGCATGCAAAGTCTCAGAGGGAACAGCTGGGGAGGGCTGGATCCGCATTCACAAACTCATTTAAATGCCATTGACCTTTTGAACGGCTGCTAAAGTCAGATGAAAAGAAGACCCCTCCACTTCCATGCAAACAGAAAGAAAACGGCCCCGTATTGTGAGCACGGCTATACCCACCATATTGAGATGCGTTCTTTGGGGTAGTTCAGTCTTTCCAGAGCGCCAAGGTAGTAAGGCAGCGAATGAGCGGCGTTTCGGGCTATGACCACGATGACCACGGTGGGAAGTTGCATTTTGGACTCCTCTGGATACTTTTCCTCCGAGAAGTAGCCATGAGACTTGATCAAAAGAGTCCAGAGCAGAATAAAGTAAAGTCGCATGGCTGAACTACGGACGCCCGGAGCTGGAGACTGTTGCGCATTCCCCCCGTACGCGTCAGCACTTGAAGTATCCAAAACTTCAGCCCCCCTCTTTTTTTTTTCTTTTCGCTGCTGCCAACTCGATCCTAAAGTTATCCACAATATTGCGCGTCTACTTCCGCTTGGAGAAAAGTTGCGCGTAAAAGTGTCCAATTGTCCAAACGAGATGGCTCCATTAGATCCTTCTAATCGTCATATTTTAATCGAAATACAATTGTAAAATGGTAGCGGCTAAATTTGCTTTTTTTGGTTTAATGTATCTGCTCACTGTATAATATTTTATCTTGTGCGTAATTGTTGGACATGCATATTTTTTAGGAATAGATAGGAAAGGTTTAAAATGTACTTCTTTAGTGGTAGGCCTACAACACATCCAAACGTCTCAATCTCATACATGTACTGTGTAATGTCGCATTGTGTCCAGCAGAGGGAGAATTTGAGTCAAAACAGCCCGAGTTAAGACCATAGATCCATGGTCCATGGTTGAGACACACAGTCTATGGTTGAGACAACTAAGGAAATAATATTATTGGGGGGGACATGTACATTATTTCAGAATATCAAATGGATGAATAAACATGAACTATGATGATTTTGATGATGATGATGATTATTATCAAGATACAAGATAAGATATTCCTAAGATCCCACAGTCCCACAGTCGGGAAAATTCAGTGTCATCGTTGCGCACATTACAACAGAGAAAGAAGGAACTCAGATTGCATCAAACAGAGTATATTATTTTAGATAAGATAATAAGATGGTAAAATAGTACTCTAGCAGCGGAGAATATGAGCAGAATAAACAACTGCAGCAGGTAAAGTGAGTAGTGACAGACATAAATATCAGATGGATGATATGTATTATTGTTGTTTCCTGCTTTGTTGAACGGCAAACAGGTGCTGAATTATTATTAGTGTTATTGTTATTATTAATACTATCATGTTTTCCTCATCATAATTATCATAAATGTATTATTATTATTATATTCTTCATAGTAGATTTTCACAAGGTCGATATTACAAGGTCTTAATTTAAATGCATTGTCGTCTTTTTAGATGTCCATACAAAGTTAGTCTCTTCACACAGTTTCAGAGCTCTCGTGAGACTTTATGTGTTCTATCTTCTATACATCTCTATTGAGCTTTAACATTCCCATTATAGGAGCAACACTGGGAGATGTGACTGTGTTTATGGCCTGTGTGGTAAACCTGCTTTATGACTGCTTATAGTGTCCTAGTGTGAACAATATTGTAGACTTTTTATCCTCAATTCAAGAGGTTATAATAAAACTATGCATGTCATGCATAAAGGCAAGTTCATTTGAATTGCACAATTCAGGGTAACTCTGAGTTATTCACAAAACAAGAGAGAACAAATTGAAATCATACAGGTATAATCACACAACATTCATTAAAATAGTGAATATAAAAAACTGAAACAATCCTTCAATAATCTGAATGTGAATGTTCAGAGTAGAGTGGAAGCCATGTCCTCAGGAAATCAGTTTGGATTTTAGCTGCATAGCTTCAAAATACTTCGCCACAGAAAGACTACATAATATGAAAGGTATATTACTAATGCCATCCTGTTATCATATCATGATGGCAATGATTTGACACATGTGTTTATGAATGGGGACCCAGGTAACGCTCACAACAACTGTAAAGCCCTTTGTGACTCTTTGCTTAGCACGTACTGTACTACTTACATCCATTTAATTGAGTTGTGATGGTTGGACAGTTGTAAGAACCCTGTGGTTTTCACCGGCGGCACAGTGGCACACTTGATTCACAGCAAGAAGGTCCTGTGTTGAATTCCGCCTCCAGACGTGGCCTTTAAGTGGATTTTGTATGTTCTCCCTATGTCTGCATAGGTTTCCTCTGGGTGTTCCAGTTTCTCCTACCACTAAAAAGTGTTGCATGGCAACACTGCTCCCATAAGAGAGATAATTAATGCCAACAACAGTGTAAAGCGCATTGTGACTGTCCGCTGCATAAACTACTTTACCATTATATGTTTCTGCTTGTATCAATGGCAACTGATCAGAACTTGAGAGTGTGGTCTGGCAGATGTTAGTGATGGGAACTACTCCTGCAAAAATGTGGGAGGAACATTATACACAAATGAGCTCAAAATGAAATTAAACTGTTTTGGCGGGCTTCAGGAGTGAACCAGGGCAGTCACGGCTGAGAAGGGCCAGGATAGGCTAAAGGGGTCATTTCTCTGGACAGGCCATAGGTCCAAGGTCAGGTGAAGCCTATTCATGGCTCCCGAAGTGTCGCCACATTCACACAATATGCGCCGGCTCGTGCACTTATTAATATGTAAGGGCCACTTTCCCAGCGTTTACGGCTCAGGGTTCAACCCCGAGTGCACTAACTTTTCACTGAGAGGTCAAGGGTGGAGCTGGTGTCCGTGTGAGGGTGTGTGAATGCATTGCAGTGGGACAGACGGAAGAACGGCCGCATCCGAGCGTAGTCTTCAGGAGGAAGTTGATCCTTTCTAAAGTGCATATGGAGAACCTAAATTTGGCCCTCGGTGACCCCTTTTTTTGCACAGTAAAAAAAATAAGTACAAGGTAGCAAAGGCTTGAATCTAATGGGTCATATCATGACTTAGGTACATTTTGACTTAAAACAATGAGACAACAACTTTAGCCTGATTTCCAGAACAGTTGCTATATTTTTCTCATTCAAAGTGAAAATGTGTTTTTCTCTAATAAAACAAGGCATAGTACCATGTTCCATTGGCAACATCAGACCCAGGAAAGAGAAATCAAGTCCACATTGGGCCCTTGTAAGGTTCTGGTTCAAGCTAAAACACACAGCTAAAATATACAACCGTCTTCCTGATAATGTGAGACAGGCTTCTTTAAATCCAGGGTAAAAACAGTTCTGTTTAGCTATGTATGTATTCAAGGACATTTGTCTATTCTCTTTTTAATGCACTGTGATTATTTATGTCTCTATCTTTCAGCACTTTGAGTTGCCTGGTGCCATACAAATAAACATGACTTGCTTTGCCCAAGTTGTTCTCAGTTTTTGCTGATTCCCAGTTTCATTAACTTATTCTATATATTACTGTGTTTTTTTTTGAGTACATAAGTTTGAAATAAATAGTAATTAGACTATACTATCTTAATTTTAATATTACCATGCAATTGTGAACACACAGTCCCACATTTTGGTAATTCCACATTTTATTTTTACCTAGACTGACTTGTTTCAAATGGGGCTTAGACCTGGTCTTTATGAAGTCAAATGTTTTCATTAATGGTACTTGGAGTGTAAGGACCACTATTATAGGCATTCATGTTTGGAGTGGGTTAAGTTCTTAGGCAAACAGAAGGGATCTAGGGATCCAACTAAAAGCTCGTAAAACCTTACCCAATGTGAAAAGCACAAATTATCTGATTGAAAGTAAGTTGTTTTAAGAATGATAAATACACCAAATATTGCGCTGTTTGACTCTGGTCTGTGAAATTCACAATAAATAGATTGGAATTTCTTACTGTAAAAGGCAAACTTGATATTTTCAGGTTTTCGTGCAAAAGCACGAAAAGCCAGTGTGAGAGCATCATGGCACTGGTTTGCCAAACATGTTGCCATGAAGTTTTTCTTTCATCTTCAGTGAGAGAATGCTTCAGTGTATCACCCTCACAATGTGTGTGCCTTTGTGTTTATGTGCTGGGCCGTTCTAAACGCTTTGGACAGTCGTGACATTCTCTTGAGCTTCCGGGACCTTTATTGCTGTGGCAATAATCAATAGCCTTTCCACTGAGACATCTTTTGGCTGAGAGGGTCAATACTTGTCACTCAGGGTCTGAGCAGCACCCTCTTACTCAGCACCAACTCAGGCCGCTGTCTGCATGTGGTGCTCCAGTGTGGGATCTGGAACATGCTATAGGCTGCTTATCCTTCTACTCTAATACATTTGGAACTTCCTTTCAATGCAACAGAAAGAAAACAAAAATAGAATGTGAGCATGTATTCAATGAAATTAACAGCAAGATATGTTTGTTTTACCGTAAAAGCTTGTTCTCAACTCCTGTCCTAGTTATGTGTTTCACCACAGTACAAACAAAATACACACAATATGTAAAATACAATCTTTAACTACTTTTTTACAAAGCGATCACATATGTTCCCACATTCTAGTTCAAGAGCACACATAACATGCAGACATTTTGCAGTGCAGACTCACACATGATTAAATATATTATTTACAAATGTTTACAACTTTGGTTTGTTTGATCCATAACTGAGTGTTGATATTAACAGTGTAAACTCAGATATACATTTCAAGTCATTTGCCAGTGAGTTCTACAGTTTGGCATTTGTGATGCGGACTGACTGAATGTGGACTGACCGAACGTGGACTGACCGAACGTGGACTGATCCAACGTGGACTGACCGAACGTGGACTGACCGAACGTGGACTGATCGAACCGAATGTGGACTGACCGAACGTGGACTGATCGAACGTGGACTGATCGAACCGAATGTGGACTGACCGAACGTGGACTGACCGAACGTGGACTGACCGAACGTGGACTGACCCAACGTGGACTGACCGAATGTGGACTGATCGAACCGAATGTGGACTGACCGAACCGAACGTGGACTGACCGAACGTGGACTGACCCAACGTGGACTGACCGAATGTGGACTGATCGAACCGAATGTGGACTGACCGAACGTGGACTGACCGAACATGGACTGATCGAACGTGGACTGATCGAACGTGGACTGATCGAACGTGGACTGACCGAACGTGGACTGACCGAACCGAACGTGGACTGACCGAACGTGGACTGATCCAACGTGGACTGACCGAATGTGGACTGACCGAACGTGGACTGACCGAACGTGGACTGATCCAACGTGGACTGACCGAATGTGGACTGACCGAACGTGGACTGACCGAACGTGGACTGATCGAACCGAACGTGGACTGACCGAACGTGGACTGACCGAACGTGGACTGACCGAACATGGACTGATCCAACGTGGACTGACCGAATGTGGACTGACCGAACGTGGACTGACCGAACGTGGACTGATCCAACGTGGACTGACCGAACGTGGACTGATCGAACGTGGACTGATTGAACGTGGACTGAACGAACGTGGACTGATCGAACGTGGACTGACCGAACGTGGACTGACCGAACGTGGACTGACTGAACGTGGACTGACCGAACCGAACGTGGACTGACCGAACATGGACTGATCGAACGTGGACTGACCGAACCGAACGTGGACTGACCGAATGTGGACTGACCGAACGTGGACTGACCGAACGTGGACTGACCGAACTTGGACTGATCCAACGTGGACTGACCGAACGTGGACTGATCGAACGTGGACTGACTGAACGTGGACTGACCGAACGTGGACTGATCGAACGTGGACTGATCGAACGTGGACTGACTGAACGTGGACTGACCGAACGTGGACTGACCGAACATGGACTGATCGAACGTGGACTGACCGAACGTGGACTGATCGAACGTGGACTGACCGAACATGGACTGACCGAACCGAACGTGGACTGACCGAACGTGGACTGATCGAACGTGGACTGACTGAACGTGGACTGACCGAACGTGGACTGACCGAACGTGGACTGATCGAACGTGGACTGATCGAACGTGGACTGACCGAACGTGGACTGATCGAACGTGGACTGACCGAACGTGGACTGATCCAACGTGGACTGACCGAATGTGGACTGACCGAACGTGGACTGACCGAACGTGGACTGACCGAACGTGGACTGATCCAACGTGGACTGACCGAACGTGGACTGATCCAACGTGGACTGACCGAACGTGGACTGACCGAACGTGGACTGACCGAACGTGGACTGATCCAACGTGGACTGATCGAACCGAACGTGGACTGACTGAACGTGGACTGACTGAACGTGGACTGACCGAACGTGGACTGATCGAACGTGGACTGATCGAACGTGGACTGACCGAACGTGGACTGACTGAACGTGGACTGACCGAACGTGGACTGACTGAACGTGGACTGACCGAACGTGGACTGACCGAACGTGGACTGACCGAACGTGGACTGATCCAACGTGGACTGATCGAACCGAACGTGGACTGACTGAACGTGGACTGACCGAACGTGGACTGATCGAACGTGGACTGATCGAACGTGGACTGACTGAACGTGGACTGACCGAACGTGGACTGACCGAACGTGGACTGATCCAACGTGGACTGACCGAATGTGGACTGACCGAACGTGGACTGACCGAACGTGGACTGACCGAACGTGGACTGATCCAACGTGGACTGACCGAATGTGGACTGACCGAACGTGGACTGACCGAACGTGGACTGACCGAACGTGGACTGATCCAACGTGGACTGACCGAACGTGGACTGATCCAACGTGGACTGACCGAACGTGGACTGACCGAACGTGGACTGACCGAACGTGGACTGATCCAACGTGGACTGATCGAACCGAACGTGGACTGACTGAACGTGGACTGACTGAACGTGGACTGACTGAACGTGGACTGACTGAACGTGGACTGACTGAACGTGGACTGACCGAACGTGGACTGATCGAACGTGGACTGATCGAACGTGGACTGATCGAACGTGGACTGACTGAACGTGGACTGACCGAACGTGGACTGACTGAACGTGGACTGACCGAACGTGGACTGACTGAACGTGGACTGACCGAACGTGGACTGACTGAACGTGGACTGACCGAACGTGGACTGACCGAACGTGGACTGACCGAACGTGGACTGATCCAACGTGGACTGATCGAACCGAACGTGGACTGACTGAACGTGGACTGACCGAACGTGGACTGATCGAACGTGGACTGATCGAACGTGGACTGACTGAACGTGGACTGACCGAACGTGGACTGACCGAACGTGGACTGATCCAACGTGGACTGATCGAACCGAACATGGACTGATCGAACGTGGACTGATCGAACGTGGACTGACTGAACGTGGACTGACCGAACGTGGACTGACCGAACGTGGACTGATCGAACGTGGACTGATCGAACGTGGACTGACCGAACGTGGACTGACCGAACCGAACGTGGACTGACCGAACATGGACTGATCGAACGTGGACTGACCGAACCGAACGTGGACTGACCGAACGTGGACTGATCCAACGTGGACTGACCGAATGTGGACTGACCGAACGTGGACTGATCCAACGTGGACTGACCGAACGTGGACTGACCGAACGTGGACTGATCCAACGTGGACTGATCGAACGTGGACTGACTGAACGTGGACTGACTGAACGTGGACTGACCGAACGTGGACTGATCGAACGTGGACTGACTGAACGTGGACTGACTGAACGTGGACTGACCGAACGTGGACTGATCGAACGTGGACTGACTGAACGTGGACTGACCGAACGTGGACTGACCGAACGTGGACTGATCCAACGTGGACTGATCGAACCGAACGTGGACTGACTGAACGTGGACTGACTGAACGTGGACTGACCGAACGTGGACTGATCGAACGTGGACTGACCGAACGTGGACTGACTGAACGTGGACTGACCGAACGTGGACTGACCGAACGTGGACTGACCGAACGTGGACTGACTGAACGTGGACTGACCGAACGTGGACTGACCGAACGTGGACTGACCGAACGTGGACTGATCGAACCGAACGTGGACTGATCGAACGTGGACTGATCGAACGTGGACTGATCGAACGTGGACTGACCGAATGTGGACTGACCGAACGTGGACTGACTGAACGTGGACTGACCGAACGTGGACTGATCGAACCGAACGTGGACTGATCGAACGTGGACTGACCGAACGTGGACTGACCGAACGTGGACTGATCGAACGTGGACTGACCGAACGTGGACTGACCGAACGTGGACTGACCGAACGTGGACTGATCCAACGTGGACTGATCGAACCGAACGTGGACTGACTGAACGTGGACTGACCGAACGTGGACTGACCGAACGTGGACTGATCGAACGTGGACGTGTTGACTGAACGTGGACTGACCGAACGTGGACTGACCGAACGTGGACTGATCGAACCGAACGTGGACTGATCGAACGTGGACTGATCGAACGTGGACTGATCGAACGTGGACTGACCGAATGTGGACTGACCGAACGTGGACTGACCGAACGTGGACTGACCGAACGTGGACTGACTGAACGTGGACTGACCGAACGTGGACTGATCGAACCGAACGTGGACTGATCGAACGTGGACTGACCGAACGTGGACTGACCGAACGTGGACTGACCGAACGTGGACTGACCGAACGTGGACTGACTGAACGTGGACTGACCGAACGTGGACTGACCGAACGTGGACTGATCCAACGTGGACTGATCGAACCGAACATGGACTGATCGAACGTGGACTGATCGAACGTGGACTGACCGAACGTGGACTGACCGAACGTGGACTGATCGAACGTGGACTGACCGAACGTGGACTGACCGAACGTGGACTGACTGAATGAAGAACTCATCTCACTTGTTACCTGCGTAAATTCTCACTATTCTGAACTATTAGAATTTGTTTTTACTTATTTTTAAAATAAGTGTAAAATGTTTTGGGCAGTTTGGGTAATTGAGGAATTCCAGCTCCAGGCTATACTATTACTATATTTGTAATGTTTTATCATGCTTGTATTTTAATGCCTTTTTACATCTTGGCCAGGGGACTACAGATGAAAAATAGCCTTCTGGCTAATTCTGGCTTTTTTAACCATGTTTGTTCATGTGTTACATGAAATTGCACTGTCCCCTTTCAAATAAACCATCCATCCATCCATTTTCTTCCCTTTAATCCATTTCTGGGTCAGGGGGGTGTCAATCAGAGATGCCACCCAAGTCTCATAGCACCAGCCCCTCACTGACCCTCTGCAGGTGGTGAGTCCACAGGAGGACGGCTGCTCTCTGACTGTGAGCATAGCCTTGATCTTTCAGTGGGGGCTTTGGGCAAAGTGGGGTTAAGTGTCTTGCCCAAGGACACAACGACAGCAGTCATCAGTGGGAGTCGGTGGAGAAGGTGTGGAGGTGGGAATTGAACCCACGACCTTCTGGGCTTAAGGCCAATGCTCTACCAACTGAGCTACTGTCGCCCCTCAAATAAACCAATCTAATCTAATCTATACAAAAAGATAGTTACGACTTTGCGGCCGTTTGCATTTACAAATGAGACCATAGCATGAATCAAATAATCAATGCTATGTCACTTTTTCTACCTTTTGCCTGAAAAATACATTAAATATTTATTTTCTGAAGCGTTTACACACCTCCTACCACAACTCAAAAACCACAAACACAAATTCAAAGTCTTGTAACGCGTTTTGTGCCATTCTGCATCTCCAGATTCAGATTCAGTTTATTTGCCATTTGCAGTAAAAACACCGCATTGGAATACATTAGCAAAAGTCTCCAGTGTGCACAGACAAATACAGACATAAAACAACATTAAAAGACACAAATAAAACAAATAAAACAGTAAACAAATGTCACTGTGAAAAATCATTAAAGTGCTCTGTTCACACTGATAACAGCCTGTGGATAAAAACTGTTAGCGTAACGAGATGTCCTGCATCTCAGAGAGCGATATCTTCTGCCAGAGGGAAGAAGCTGGAACATGGCTTTCCCAGGGTGGCCAGAAGAGTCATTGACAATCCTAAGAGCTTTGTTAAAAAGTGTGGATTTATAAAGAACCTCCAGAACAGGAAGCTCACAGCCCACGGTCCTCTTTGCAGAGCGGAGCACCTTGTTTAAAGCTCTCTTTTCTTTATCTGTGATGTTTCCAAACCACACAGACACAGAACCAACAAGTAAACTCTCAATGGTGCAGCACTCAGACACGATTGGTTCAATGAAAAAGGGGCTTTCGCTCGACTATAGTTACTTAGTCAGCGCAAAGAGATCCTGGGACAACAGCTCTGCCAATGCCACATGTAATCTGATTATGAGCTCTGTGATAGCACTACGATTACATTATCACATCTCATGAATATTATATGGACCAATCTTTAAGCATGTGGAGCTATGGGAGGGTCCTGAACGCTTCTGCTCAAATCCAAATACAACATTACATTATGAAGTATTGGGAGGTGATACCAAACTAAGTCGTATTGATTGTTAAAAACCATAATTACTCAACAAACTGGAAATCTATGCGTGTTATCAACTTGAACAGCATTACTCCAATTACAAAGGTTGGAGCCACAGACAGTGATGTGCACAGACAGCCCTTGTTTTAATTGACAGTTTAAATGTCAGGTGAGGGAGATAAAGCCAGGGAAAGGGAAAGGCCAGGATTGCAAGGCATGGTGTTGTATCAAGAGAATATTTGTGGAATGATAATATTACTTGTACCCTACTGAGCTGTTCCCACCTGCCCATGTTGGAATATAAGCATGAAAAATCTAGTAACAGCAAGATAAAGTCATCTTAAACATTGTGGTTTGCTACAAAAACACATACACTGCTCTGTTATCATGTCCTTATCTCTGGATCCCAGAAATATGCAACATGGGAGAAGACCAGGTGCCACAGAGGCCCCTGTGGATCTTAAATGGTGAATTGTTGTTGTATTCTAAGGTGAATCGCATAAAGACAGTGTTCAGAGGGGCAGATTCTCAGGTTGGAAACCTCAGAGGGGCAGATTCTCAGGTTGGAAACCTCAGAGGGGCAGATTCTCAGGTTGGAAACCTCAGAGGGGCAGATTCTCAGGTTGGAAACCTCAGAGGGGCAGATTCTCAGGTTGGAAACCTCATGTAATTTTGGGCAGCTACGTAGCATAGTAATGCAATGTAATTGTTCCTTGAGTGTGAAGTTTAATTAATGTATCCACAAATACAGTTAATGAATATATAACTTAAAAGTAGTGACTCTAAATATCAAGATAATATAAATAAAGTATTCGGTTTGGATGCATGTTTAATTTGAACATTTGAAAAGTTTTAATGGGCACATTTGAGTCTGAACGTGTCTATTAATCAGATCTGTATGTTTCCTCTCAGAGGCAGTAACAGATATGATCTCACTCTCGTCGAAGCGTGTTTGTGTCATTTGCATGTGATCTGCTCACAGTGAGTGCAGATAAGCAGAGACTCCTCTGCCTCATCTTCTTCCTGGATGACGCTGTCCATCGGCCCGTTGCCAGGCAACAGCACAGCCTCTCAAAGAATTCTGGGGGACATTGAGGCAGCGGCAATAGGGGGAAAACTGTGTGTGTGTGTGTGTGTGCGTGTGTGTGTGTGTGTGTGTTTGTGTGTGTGTGTGCATGTGTGTGTGTGTGTTTGTGTTTGTGTTTGTGTGTGTGTGTGTGTGTGTGTGGTAGAGACAAGAGAGGAGCAGGAAACACTAGTTCTGCATTTATGAGAGATTCTTCTTTTAATCTTTTAATCACCACATTATACTGCTGTGCTTTCTCACTGGGACAATAGTTCTGATCATTGTGTTAGTGAGAAAGTAAAGGAGACAATTGTGAATCAAAATGATGGAATAGCAGGTCCAAGGTTGGGTTTGAGTTGACTCTTACTGTCAGATACTAATGATTCATCTTAAGCTTTAGCTACATATCACTTCAATCATATCTATAGACATATCACTGTAATATTATAATATTCTGGAACAGAAAATTGAACCATGGATGTGTCGGTGAAACAAATGAAATGTGTATAAGTATATTAAATATGCAGAGTGTTAAATACTATAAAGTGTTTCTAGTCTGTTTAGGCCTTCAGCAGTTGTGTGAATCCTGCATTTTCGTTCTCTGCTGCTTATTGCAGATACAGCTGCTCTCAGTTCTATCACTCTAAAGTCAGGCTACTTAGGCTGTGGTCAAAAGCACAACCTAAAGCCCTGTTTAAGTTGGCCAATGGTCCAGAGCATGATTACATCTGGGCTGTATTTAAGGGCACAGTCACAAGGGTTTTTGCCCTATCCAGTTTTTATTATAGGTCCACGGTACGGCGGCTCGATACAAACACATGCGGGCCCCAATCAGAAAGCAGCAAAGTGCTCACAGGGACACAAGCCGGTCCAAAGAGGAAGAAGAATACACTTGAAAACAACCAAAACATGTGCTAAACCAGGATTAAACCAGGGCTGACAATGGGGGACATAATGTCTTCAACCCTGAGGGATGCTAAAGTGTCCGGGGCACCAATACAGAAGTACTAGTTAATAATATGATACATTCATTGCGCAGCTCTATGGGAGGATTACTCATGTGACGTCTCTGGAGGATCTCGGGACACCGAAACGCTGCAGAGCTGCACTTGTGGATGAGAAATGTACATAAAAAGCAGAGGTAGCCTTGACTAAACAGGAAGAGAAACTGAAACTTAACGTGGACCTAGAGGTATAGCTGACGTAAGTGTTAGCGCTACCATCTGGACTGAAGTTGTGCTCGACCACATTTGGGCTGGCCCCGTTGAAAATAAAAACCCTTGTGATCGTCATCTTCACAATGCTGTGACGATGATCCGGGCAACCTAGCCTAGTTTGTTTGTGAAAACACCGTGCTCGTGATAACGCTGGTTTTTCTGAGTGTTCCAGACTTTTCTATTCTCCATCCAGGACTTAACTATATTCTGAATGGAACAAACCCTTTAAAAAATGTAAATGGCCAGGAAGGACTTACTGTGCCTCTCAAAAGACTTTAGCACATTTTTTTTATGGTTGAAACCATAAGCATAAAGATTTTATTTTTATTATTTTTATTGAAAGTTCACACACAAGTAATCAAGCCTCAATTCTCCTGCTGACATAAGCAGTTTGGGCCAGTGTGGTGGGACACTCTTTCCATTTCCAAATTATAGATTGAACACGTCTGTGTGAGACGTCTTCGTATAATGAAACACTGCTTTAAACGTCTCCCCTGACGTCTGTGGCGTGCTCTTTAGCCTCTATGATGCTGTTTAGTGACTAGTACCTTCATTCCGACCATAGCCCTCACGGAATAGCTGTATTTATACTGAGAGTATATTCACAGGAGGCCTCTGTTTAATCATCAGGGCAAGATGTGAACATTCAGCAGTCATTATGAATGTTTTTAACGCACTCACAAAACACTTGTGCAGGCCGAACTTTTCACTTTTCTATTCTCAAAATAATAACAGAATCATGTACCATTTTACTGTAAGAACAATTATTAGATCAGGAGGGGGAAATGACTCAAATGTGACCAAAACTCATAACTATGGGAATGTGCTTGGGCAATAAACCACTTTCAACCTCTGCTCGGCCCCACATGTCAGCAGGAGGACATGCCTTCACCAGCGGAGGTCTCCTTTTTGTCTAATATGTACCCTCAGCTCTGGATGGGACATTTCATGGCCCAGTCGCCTTCTCCCCTCTCCCCTGCCAGGCCCCTTTAGCCAGCGGGTTAAACATTGATTTGTGAATGGGGAGAACCACAGAGGCCCCTGCTGTGTCTGTGTGTCCACTCATCCCCCTCCGCTATACACCACCAAGAGCCGCGGCCGACATGAAA